TTCTCTTTCTTTCTCTTTTTTTTCTCTTTTTTTCTCTTTTTTTTCTCTTTTTTTTCTCTTTTTTTTCTCTTTTTTTTCGGTTTCTTCTTCTTCTTTCTTTTTTTTTTATTTTTTCCTATTTTTTCTTTTTGTTGAAAAATCCCGAAAAGGGGGGGGGGGGGGGAGGGCAAAGGGGGGTGGATTTTTGCTGCTGTAAATAGAGTGATTTTATCCAAATCTTAGTTTTTCAACAGTTTGCCCTCTGGGCATCCGTAAGTAGAGTATCGCATGGGCCATACATGATCAGATGACATTTTTCACACATTGTTTTCTTCTTGGGAATATGCTATTTTATTAATCATTTATTCGAAGAAATATTCATCACAGGTGATCAGACTTGTGTATGGGAAATGGAAAACGACTTTTTATTCCTAATCATGAAAAGTAATGCTTTTTGCCTCCATGATGCGAATGTCGCATCGTTGATGATTGTACGCTCCAAAAATGCAAATTCAAACGACAATGGTATATGAACAACGAACCCTCTCATCTTTCAATAACTCATCAAGAATGTCATGTACGCCCCCTTCTGAACCGACTCGTCTGTCTCAGCTTTGCTCCAAACTTCCAAAAGAGCAGAGGCGCAGGCACACCGACGACGACGGCCACTAGTACGAGCACCGAGCCTCCCCAGCCATAGCCGAGTGACTTGAACAGCGACGGGGCGAATAGAGGAAACGCAAAAGCGCCCATGGAGCGGAGGAAGCAGCAGGCTGCAGAGGCCGAGGCGGTGTAGTGCTTGTAGCAGTCGGCAATGTAGGCGCTGATGCACTGGTAGGAGATCATGCTGCTACCTGCCATGATGGCGACGCCGAGCTAAATGGAGAAACACGGTTGAGCCAGAGATCATACAAGGATAATGGGCGGGACTAGGTATGTTGACTTACATTCGGAAGCAAAAAGTGACAATGCTTCTCGGCAGTCCAGGCAAAAATGGCAATGCCGCACGGCGTGATGAGTGCAGCCGGTATCATGAGAGGAATGCGAAACTCGGGGACACCCGGCTCGTTCTCTGCGATTCCATGACTTTGTTTCTGTCTCTTGTAGACCCAGTCTGTAAGCGGGCCACAGATGGCGACACCAATGAGCGAGCCCAGCGCCAGGGATATGTAGTTGAGCGACGACGTGCTAATGGACATGCCATAGACGTCTCTCCAGAGCGTGGGGAACGACGAGATGATGAGGTACATCATGCCATAGTTGAATGCCTGGTACAGCGCCAGGGCCTGTATAATGGGCTGCGTGGCGAGCATGACCCACGGCCGCGACAGGGACGTCCTGAGCAGCAACGACAGCTTGCGGTCCTCCCTCTCATATTCGGTCCGGTAGGCAGAGTTGCCGGTCGTCTTGCGGAGGGCTCGGGCCTTGAGTCCGAGGATGCGCGGCGCATATGTCTCGTGCAGAAAGAAGAAGGCGACAATCTGGGTGACGAGGTTGAAAATCACAATGGCCCAGAATGACCATCGCCAGGTCTTGCTGTACTCGAGGAGATATCCTCCCGCTGTGCGACACGGTCAGCCAGGAACTATTCATACGATTGTGAGATACTTACCAATAGGTCCAATTGCGGGACCCAATACGGGCGCCAGCTGGTACACGGCGAGACCTTTTCCACGCTCCTCTGATCTCCAGCAATCTGCGAGAATACCACTACCCATCTGCCGAGTACAAAGTTAGCCAAAGTGACACTGCAGCTTTGTTGGGCCGAGACATTATTTCTTACCCCCATGGTTGCGCTTCCACCCAGGCCAGACATGAAGCGAAAAGCTATAATCTGTCCCTTTGACTGTGCAAAGCCGCACAGCGTGGTGAAGATGATGAAGATGAGGTTTCCGAACCTGATGATCCGTCGACGGCCCCATACTTCTGAGCACGGCGAGAGCACGAATGGCCCCACGGCGTAGGTGATCATGAAGATGGACATGACCAGGTTCATCTCCGAGGAGGATTGGATGTGTAAGTCGCCGGCAATGGTGTCGAGAGCCGGCGCGGCTATCGACGAGGAGAGCGGCGAGAGGAATGCAAAAGCAGAGACAATCAAGGATATCTAGAGTACAGAGTCAGTGTTTGGGTCATCTTGGAAAGACGTTATCGATGAAGACGTAAACTTACTGTCCATTTCCTGCTTGTACTCCAGTTTTTGGGGTTGGCAGGATCATCTGGACCCTCCCATGTCACCTGTTCGTAGGATAAGTTTATGTTCATATTCCCGGATAGACAATGGCTTTACCATGTAGTTTTCTGGTTCTTTCTCTTCCATGACTTGTGGCGTGGATGTGCCACTCCGTGGAGGAGAGGGAGGGGGTTCAAGATTCATGGTGGTGGCAGTGGACGGTGGGCTACCTCTCCTCAGTTGCTGTTGCCGGCGGAGCTGGAGGATGTAAGCCCAATTCAACTCTTCCTCGTGGTTCACCATGTGTACTTGAGCCTAGAAGGAGAACAAGGTGTAAGTGAATCAGAGCTACAGTCATTCAAGCGAATCCTGCTTGTTTGATCGAAACCCAAAAGTAAAGAGAAGGAAGGAGAGAAGAAGAAAACATTCCAGTCAGTCTCCCATTATTACCAAATGTCCGCCATGAGACTACCACACATCTATTTGTAGTTTTAAGCTTGTTGCCCAAAGCCATGAAAATGGTCACAGACTATTGTCGGCCACTTTTGATCCATGGCCGTTATGCATATATGGTGGGGTGCACATACACGGGTTAGGTAACCCAGCACACACCTCTATTATACACGAACATGTGACTCGTGTGCTAACAAAATGCCGGCGCGCATCCCACCAAATGTTCATTGGATGTTGGACTGGATCGTTGAAAGCTTCATTGTTGTTTCGTCACTGATGACAAGTCATATTATGCAATTGTATTCGACGAGCATCGTCACTCTGGGAAGAAAGAGCACAGGCAGGCGGGAGGAAGACTGCTGCGAGCGACTCGCTGGTGCCATACACAAACATTTCTGCAGCTATGCACATTGCGCATGCACACAACACACGAGAATACACGGATATTACAACTCAACGCCTCTGCATGTTCCACAAAACTGATTCGTGATTTCATTAGGACTCAGCCTCTCCAACGTTTTAGGCTTGTTCGGTTTGGACCCGCTTGGAGGTGTGTGTTTTGCTTCTCAGCTAATGGAGCCCAATGGTATGGAAATGAGGTGTAAATTGACAACCTGAAAAGTTATGTAATTAGTCTTCAGCCAGCTATATAGCGCAGGGGTCACCTGCCGCTCGTATCGTCAGCCATTCACAGCTTGGCTGTGATTCATGGTCATTAGGAGACGCGGCTGTGACGATCGAGCGAGAGCTTCTTTCTCGGGACGGATTTGCTCCGGTAAGCAGGAAAAAAAAAAAGAGGGCGGCCGTTGTCGACATCCTTCGTGTTGTCAATACATCAAAGTTGAGTTTTTACGGCCTCTTTCTGGGAAACGGCTCCCGTAGCACAGCCCGGGAACATGCGAACCCTGACAGTCAATGTTGGTTCAATGTTCATGATGGGAAGTCAATAGATGGAAAATGTATCACCTACTACCTAGTACCTAGGTACCCTTCCCTTCCCGGCGGCAGCGTACTAATACTAGTCTGAAAATACAATGCGCACCCTGACCATGTTGTCGCTGGGCGCTTCTCTGCTGGTTCTGGCTCTATGGTGCAAAGGTGATCAATGCATGGTTCCGCTCCTCTGGGAATTACAAAAACGAGATGAACTCCGACGGTCTGGAATCTCTGCGACAAGAAAAAAACGAAGACGGGCACCTGCGTGTGACATGGGGGCGGAAGGATGGTGTTGTTTTTGACCTGCAGCAATGGCGTTAACGGCCACCGCCGAAGGCTTATAGGGCTTGTGGGGTAGCTGAGCCTGGGAAACGCAAGGGGACAACGCTATTTGCCTAGCACCTAGTCAAGCTCAAAGAGGCTTAATATACCCCTGATTCGGCAAGCCACGACGCCACTGGGCCGGTATTCATCTTCTTTCCTCTTTTTCTGGCTCAGCATGTGGGGTTCGGACAATAAACTGATTCTGTGAATGGCAATTGCTCGTGTGAGTCCAAAGCTGAAGGCCCCCCGGGGGCTTGGAAGCGGTCAAGGAAGCAGAAAGAAGCTCAATAATTCCCCGTTGCCCGGGTATTCCCCCCCAGTCTCGATCAGTAATACTTTCCTTGAAGCGGATACGGGAGGTCCCTTGGCTTGGCAGAACAGGGGAAATTTTCTTCAACGATATTATCTGCTTTCCACATATACAGTACTAAACTAGCATATATGAGAGGATGAGAAGAGGCTGCCCCGGGAGATGACATTGTTTGTCGCAAACACGGGCGCACAGCTGGAGCACAGAGACGAGGCCTACCAAAAAGACGGCCGGATGCCGAAAACAGTCTCGGCTGCAACAATAAACAAAAATCCATGACCGGCTGGAACAACTCCTCTTTTGCCTACCTGACCTTTCCGTTTCCGCTCATCAACTTACCAGATGCGGTGGAACGAGCGTCGTGGAGCTTCAGGCACGTTTTCTTCAGCAGCTGTCTCCTTGGATCCCCCATGGGTAGTATCGTGATCCCACGCTGTCAGAGCCCATCGGTTCGTTGGACATGACACAAGAGCCTCATGCTTCTGAACGCTGTCCACCAAGGTTGTGTATTCTCCGAGGACTGTACCACCCAAGCACACGCGGGAATACTTGGAGACATGTGTGTAGACACGTTGAAACAGATACTCCGCCGACCGCTCTCATTGGCAGCAAGCCGCCACCGCGGGTGACTAGAAGCCGTCGCGATGCACAAAGATCGTAAAGGCGCACTCAACTCGAGGGGCTCGTGTAGGTTCTCCCATGTGAGATTGTCTGCAAGATGTAGAAAAGGCATATGCAGCCGGGTATCAACAGGAGATGAGGTCATGGCACAAAGTGCAATGCCGAGAATAGTCTGCCGGCGATTTTGCTCAGCAGCCATGGCTGTGACACGCAAAGGCCCGGACTTGAACATACGGCGACCCGACCGTGGCTTTTAGTTCACCTGTCAAGATGCGCCTAGCCGTAGATATGAGGAGATTTTCTCTGGTCATTAGATCGCTGAGGAGTGATCTCGAGCCAGAAGCAGGCGGCTTCTGTGTCACTAGTAGGCTCGTCGTATGCTCGTCTCCATCTCGAGTACCGACCCAGCCACATCGATGCGTTCTTCATTGATTGACACCCATATGCAAGTCAAGCTTCATGGTGATATATTGATATCATCGTAAAATCATGACGAGACCAACCAATCGCAGCCCTCGTTCCCTGCTCAACATCACTAACGCACCCTCAAAGTGAAGATTTGATCCTGCAGCTCGTCATTCAATACCATGGACCTGCACCCACTGTAAACATTGAACGGGCAACGAAGACACTTTTTCCCATTCTCTTTCCGATACCCCCACCGGCCCAGCTAATTTCCATTAACCTCATCCTTCTTCAAGGCAAACTGCTTAAAAGTGTCCAGGTCGGCATGCTTGAGGGCGCTCTCCTCGGTGGCATCCAGGTCGACGCGCGGGACGCCGTCGCGACTAATCTTGCCGTCCTTGAAGGCCTGCACGGCCTCGAGCCAGCGCGTCGTGCACAGGCACCACTTGCAGCCGCCCGTGAGGCCAATGGTGCGCAGGTCGTTGCCCTGGGCGGCCGAGTACCGCAGGAACTCGTCGCTCACGACGCCGGCCACGGCGTGGTTGCCCGGGTCCGACTGCATGCTGGTCCGGCAGAAGCCGTCGCGGTAAAAGCCCGTCATGGGCTGGGTGGAGAAGAGCTGGAGCGGCTTCTTGAGGACTTGCTTCTGTGTTGGCGGTTTTGCTGGTCCTTTCAAAGTGCGGGGTGGGAAAGCTTACTATTGAGGCTGGGCATCTTGTCAAGATGGATGTGTTGTTGTTGTCTTTCTGTAGCTGTTACTAAAGAGACTGCAAAGACAAGATATATGACCGTCAAGAGTATCAAGTGGGTATAGATTTTGGGAAAAGTCATGATCAACGTGACTGGAATGCATACCTAATCAATTCGGGCTCAAGTCTCCACGCGAGGGTCGTGTATATCTCCGAGCTTCTGAGCATTAGGTTAGTGATGTCATAGAAATCAAAGAATGCAGAGCTCATGAATCCAGCCTGTGCATTTTTACTGACAAAAGTGATATACTTGAATAAATGATCTAATTGCAATCGGGGAATGAAAATCAATAATCCAATAGCATGAGCAACGAGTTTTCACGTATTTACCATCGTGGCGACCGGAATATAAAGTGCTCATGTATAATGGGGCAGGGATGGCGGGCATTTTTAGCAGGGCAGTTCAGCACCAGAGACCCCTTCCATCGCGCTAATGGAGAGATATAATTATTCCAAGAGCCTACCGTAGAGGGGTGCAAATTAGAGCTTTCAGGGTACCACAGGGAAATCTTCTTTCCCCGTCATCAATTAAGCTACACCACCTCTTTCTTGGAATCTTCTCTTCTGTCCTATTCCAGTTCCTCCAGTTCTTCTGTACTTGGCTGATGACCGGATCAGCTCCGATGCTGCCTACCTGGATACCTACCTAGGCCACAGCATCTTATGCAGCCTCGGACCATAAAGTTTTGAAAAAGCCCACGTAAATAGCCGACCTCCGGAAAGGGAAATCGACAGATGAAACGATTACCAAGTATGAAGAAAAGCATGCAAGAATTGGGTACATTTCTGACTAGAAACAACATGTTCATTGTAGCTTTCTGGCATGATACCAATATTCAAGACCACCAAACTAATTCGTCCCCGGTACAATTGAATATAGCTGGTAACAGGCACTATGCAAAAAACCTGTCCTCATAGCAACCATATGACTATGTCCAGACTGGTGAGGTGAGTTTGCAACTGCCTAGGTACCCATTTAGGTTACTTCACCTACCGACATTCGACCGGTCGGTACACCTAAACACCACAGAGAGTTGTCGCGAACCCCGGCGGTTGTATGGACTGGAACTCAAATCTCATGTACTCGATTTTTTCTATCAGGTTTGGTTGCTGCTGCCTAGGCGCTGTTTTTCTTTGTCTGATCTGGCACTCAGAAGCAGTATTAATAAGCGGTCTGTCCTCCTCGAGTCCGCCTTCTGGTCATTCCATACTTAACCATCACTTCACATGTTCCCCTTTCACAAGTGGTGGAAACCCTTTATCAGCAACTACAATTCCTGCAACCCTCATTGGTGGAATGCTCTTCTCTGAGCCCAGAAGATACACCTGGCAGTCCGTCTCAGGCGATGTCTCAACAACCTCAAGAAACACTCGACGGTCAACCTCAGACAAGGTCTGACGGTGAACCGGCGGCCCTCAGTGGGAACACGGTGCCCAATGTTGAGTTGAGCACTCCCCGGCGCGACGCCCAGTGGCCTGATTGGTTCGATCTCGATGATCAAAACTACAATCGGCAACTAAGTCACGCTCAGGCTCAAGTACAAAGGTTCAAGAGGGATTGCAAGGAAGCGGTCCGCCGATTTCGCGAGGTCCGACGTAGAAAACATCTGAATGAGTTGTGGTACTCAATCCCCGGTAAGAATAATCTCTGAGTTAATTCTTATCCCTATTCCGAGAATATACAAACACCCATATAAAGCCATGAGCCACAGCACAGTAGCTTGAAGCCAGGTGTTCAAAGTTCAAATACTACCTATTCAATCGCAGATTGAATGGTAGATAAGGATAGAAATGCTGACTTGTTTCCATAGACCTCGAAATATGTATGAATACTATCAAAGAGACGACCAGGAGATTTCAGAAAGATCGTGAGGCGATCACCAACTGTCTTGCTGCGATACTACGCAATGTGAGTGACGTGATGTGTTGGATGCGGCACGTCGACAACAGGAGAGAGAAACTCCTTGCCGCCACTACCAAAGCAAGAAACTTTGGCGAATTGCAACCGACGATGGCTAACATACACGCTCAGAGCATAAAGAAGCGAAAGCCATTCAAGGCCAGAGTGTACAGAACGATACATGAGATAGACGCAATAGAGGAGGCCATGACCAGCCAGCTGCAGAAGGTGCACAGAGAACTCTCTTTGGAAGTCTACATGCGGAAAGCGCAAGCACGCATGCTCTCCGACCTGGGCGCGTCCAAGGACGCTGTCGAGCGCTGTCTCAGTGGCAAGGGCCAGTATGAAGCCTTCAATCAGGATTCGGAGCTTTTGGGTTTTTTGAAGGAGCGACATTTCCAGGATCTGATGGCAGATTGGGGCCTTTTGGCTTCAGGCCAGTGGAAGGGGGTACCAATCGGACACATGCTTGCTCTGCTCGGGAGTGAATATCTCATCGAGGCGCTTCGAGCAAAGCTGGATAGAGAGGACCACCTGAATGTGGTGTCCTCACTGTCGCGGACTTGGCCGTGCCGGTAAGAGCGCGTGGTTGGAAGCAAGGCTGGATAGGATACATGTACATACGCAGCAGGCACGCCCACTCTCTTGAAAGCGAGAGAACAAAAGTGTCGTCGAGGTCTATTGTCATGATGCCGAAAGAAGAATGATTATTGTCGCATTGCGCCGGAGTTTGGTTTTGGTTGTGCTCAGGGGCATCAGAGGGATTGGCATCTGGTTTACTTGGGTTATTCAGGCGTAGGTGTACCATCGTCATTGAATCAATTGGACTTGCCATACACACCTCACTTCCATCATAGCTATTCTTCCTTGTAGAGTGAAGCCATGCATGTGCTAGAGGAAGGCACGAGTACATGCTCCTTGTCCCTTGGGTAGATAAAGAAAATAACAATTCCTCTTGTCTAGAAGCTCCTCTGGGAATGATAATGGTAGCCAGGATGATAAGTGTGTATAGCTGCATCGTTGTTTATTGAGCCCTCGCCGTCCTGGTGTAAGTAGTGATTATCATCGCAAATTATCTGCTCTCAAGGGGCCAGGAGCGGACGAGTCAACCCGAAAATACCTACTCTTCATTTTCCTCTCCTAATCGCAGCATTTATTTCTGTCTTCAGTATCTCATCCATTACACCATGGCCGGCTTGTCAACTCACAAAGGCAAAGTGCCCTTCAAAATCTCAACAGATGACAATAATGAAACTTGTTTCATTCATCATAAAATCATTGGAGATCTTTCCCGTGGTGGTCCTTTGGTTGTCATGATCCAGGGTGTGCCTGGCGGTGGACATGAAAGATAGCGGAGACTTTGAAAGCATAGAATACAAACGTGCTTTGGACTACTGCTATAGATTACATGTATGCCGTCCGATCCGTTCCCTCCGGCAAAGTTGTTACCCTCGACGAAGAGCTGAGCACTGATACAACAGTGTAGCATACAATGTAAGCTCCCTGGTAGACACCTTGAACAAGCTGTATTCCTCACTTGTCCTCTTCATGTTCAGGAACGGTCCGTCCCCGCTAACGAGAGTGGTCGGTTATATCGCGACTACCAAAAACCACAGCTCCGACACTTGTATGCAATGGTGAACATGATACCTTGCCCAAGTCTCCTTTTCAGAACTGATGCCACGACCTCGCTGGATTACGTTTCTAGGCGCTAGCCACAAGTGTCACTTGGAAGGGTCTGCGTTGCGGGAGATGATTCTCGACGTGGTTGGCGAGTTTCCGACACAAGGCGAGGTGCGCGATTTGAGCATCATGGTTTCAAAGGGTCCCTTTCTAATTTGTCAATGCCCTGTATGATCTCAGTGTGTTCAGGTGCATGAGCGTCGATATTCTCTACCGAAACCAGTTGCGAGCCACGATAAACATTGCCCACTCCAAATACAAGGCCTTGTCGAGCAGCGGCTCGGACGGCAAGATCGAATTTGACAAAGGTGCTGAGGAACCGGTTTTTGGACTGGATGGTATGTTAGAGAACAAGAAATGCAGATTAGCTGGTGCATACTCGTTTGCGATGGTGGACAATGTCGGGTATGGGTTCGACTAGAGATCAATGTGCTTCCATATCTTCCTGCCACCCTCTATACCCGCATCCCTGGCAACCATTGGCTGCGATAGCATTGCCGCCTTTGGAATTTCAAGAAATCAGCAACTCATATATGCCAGGAAGCTCGACATTCTGGGTGCATGCTACATGCTAGTGCGACCGAGCTCTCTCGAGCTCTCCCTTCGACCATGTTCTGGCCAGGCGACAATGATATCGACCGCGACTATTCGCGGGGAAATTGCTGTAGCCAATAAAAGATGAGCTCATAGCACATGGCGGAATTAATGATGGCACATCTACGTATCTGTCGAGACAATTGAGATCGTTGAGTTTGAAGCCAATGGATGAAAATCAGGCACGAGAGATTCATGCGGCTGCATCGGCACATGTTAGATGAAACTCAATTCAGTCTAGCAAAGAAGCACTAAAGCACTATAGGTGTTTGTCGATACTCTAAACTGTTGATAAACAAACTTGACAAGCATTTTGCCGTGTTCGCAACGTTGATATTGACTCAATGACGAAGCTATGCAGAGCTTCTTGAACAACGGCGGCATGGTCTGCATGAGCTAGCTGGAGCTTGGGGGTGATTTTTAAGCTCTAGGTCTTTTGGATTGAGCCGTGAGATCGAAGCGTTTTCAAAGCAAATTACCTAAAGGCCTCTTTGGCCTCCCAAGCCTCATATCTGGTTTTTGGTGCATTAGCGGAAACGACGGATTCGGCACTGGGCTGTAGGGTTGGGCAAGCGGCATTTGCCCACTGACGCTCCTTTGACGCTCTTGGCTTCTTGGTAGGAAGGTGGATGATCCTGTTTGCACGAGTCTTTTCATCCAACACTACCCAACTTGCCAACTGCCATGATGAGCTGCGCGTCCTCGTCGGATCGAGCGGGAGGCCGAGGGAGGGAGCTCAGAGGTCGTAAAAGACAATGATTGGACAGACAGTGTGGCTTACTATGCGCTGTGGCTAGAGAATCAAGGAACAGCCACAATTTTCGACAGGCGAGACAGGGCACGTCTGCGGATCGCTGCCCAATCAGACACGATCGCCTCGCGAATCCGAGCGTGATGTCATGGTTCGGCCTGGCCCGCAGTAAAGAGCTTGCATGTGGTGTGTGATGTTTTCGTCACTGGATGGGGGCTCATCGAGGCGCGCGAATGCAGGGTCCAACCCACTCAGTGCCCTCAGTACCCTCCTTGACCAAGGCGACCCAATACCCGAAACGACACTTCTCCTTGCTGAGGAATCCGTCCATGACATTGTGAGGTGCGGCACCATGTGGAAAGGGAGGGCGACTCGGACCAAACAGAGTTCCAGTCTTTCCGTCATCGCCACTTTTAGTCCCATCGACTTTTTCAGCAGCACTGGGTCTAAACAATGGGTTCCAGAACTCGTCTGTCAACGCTTATTCGATGACTGACTTCACTGCCTAGTCCATGATCGTCCGGCATGCTGAATCCGAGACCCTGTCTCTGCCGGGCGTGTGATCTTTATTTTAACTCTTTCTCTTCCCCCGGTATCTTAAAGGTTTTCTCATATTTTCACATCTTTAAACAATATTTTTGACAGTTATAAGGATTATAGCTCAATTATTCGACAACATGGGCGCAAAATCGGGTCTCGCCCTCAAGTTCCTACAATGGTTCATTCGCGGCATTCAGTTTTGCTGTGCTGCTGTCGTCTTGGCACTATTCAGTTATTTCCTCGCAGCGCTACACAACCACAGTTTGAGCATCCCTACGTGGCTTAGGGCTGTCGAAGGTATTTCAGGAGCTGCAGTCTTATACACCCTCATCGGTCTACTTTTGCTCTGCTGCCTTGCCGGACACCCGTTTACGTCTTTCATCGCCATTATCTTGGATGTCTGCTTCATCGGTGCCTTCATCTACGTTGCCGTCGCCAACAAGAATGGAGCTAGCTCTTGCAGAGGAACGGTCAACACACCATTTGGCTCTGGTAATGCTGGCGACCAGGTGACGAGCAGCAACAGTGGATTCACCAACTTGCCCACCTACCGCCAGGCTTGCCAAATGCAGACTGCCTGCTTAGCTGTATCTATTGTAGCAATGTAAGTCGAGTTGCTTTGAATCCATACCAGCACTATACTAATTGTAACCAGCTTATTCTTCCTCCTCTCCATCTTGGTCGAGTTTGTGCTGGTCCGCCACCGCCGCAAGGAGCAGCGTTTCGGTCCTAGCCCTGCCAACAACTACACTTCTGGCTACGGACGCCGCAACAAGTTCATGGGCATGTTCAGACGCCGCGGTACCGGGGGCACCACCTCTGGTGATAACGCCCTGCCTCAGCATACCACTCCCGAGCAGGTTCGCCAGAGCTACAACACTGAGAGCACAGCTGTCGGCCACGACGGTCTCGCCCACAACAAGTATGGTGAGGCTGGTTACGGCCACGAGGGTGTCAACGGTGTCAATGGAGTCAATGGTCAGCACGCCTACCACGAACCTGGGGTGACGGGCACTACTCAGCACGCCTACCACGAACCCGCGGTGATGGGTACTACTCAGCCCCCTACCGGTTACCAGTACAATGATGGTACTTACAACCGATACAACGCTTAAGAGCATGACTTGAATTGAACTCAATGCGGAGGATACCGAGTTGAACAGAGAATATTGGATGGATGGATGTAATGACTGGACATTGGGGACTTGGATGACTTGTGATACCCGAGGTAACAATGCGAGTCAAAGGTGATTTTGACTTGCTACCAATTTTATGAGAACAATGATTGTATATTAAAAAGTTTCAATGCACATAGCTACTATGCTACAAATTCTAAGCATGTTCCAATATTTTCCCCATTACTCTGTGATTGTGGTCACTCTATATCATAGACGTTCAACTAAATTTAAAAAAAAAAAATTGTGACTTAGTTTAACTCTATCCAACCTAAGATACACTTCCATAAGCCTGAGGAAATTCTTCACGCATCGAGCGACTCCCTGATGTTGCCTTCTCGTGGCAGACCGTTGTTGCGACGATGGGATTCTGAACTTGTAATTGCTCATGACAGATTGAGCTCCGTCTTGCAGATTTGGTTATATATTCTAGATAAATAAGACTGTCTAGCGATTGCAATCATTTTGAAAGTCATTGGTTGATCTGGGATAAGCGAATACTGACAGCATACATAAGCCCGATGTGTGAAGAATGCTGATCCGACCTTGTTCTGTTGTCTAGGTGTGTAGTGGTATTATTGCCCAATAACCAACAACCTTGGGATTTTTCTTACAGAAAATTTCTTTTTCACAAATAAAGCGGCATGATTTAATATTGGCTAAGTATGTTACAATTGTATCACATCCCCTTGTCAAGCCGTACGAAGCACGGGATATAAGATTACTTGATCGATCCCGAAGTTGATTCACAAAATATGGTATCTCACAACCATGCAGAAAATCGTCTCCAATTTGTAAATAGTTTTCAACTTCAACTCTAGGATAAAACCCATAGATAACGCCTTTATTCATATTCAATGCTCAATGTTTCCTCCCTGACCCTGCTTCAGATGCAATGCAGCCCGTCTCCTTTTCTGGTATATATAAATAAAAAATATATAGCTGATTACACATGTCCATTGCTCTCAAGCGTTCCGTCCTCGCCATATCCTGCCCTACTCTCTATCTATACGCTCAACGTTCCCTTGGTGCTCGGCACCTCGCCCTCCTTGCCAGCGACCCGGCTGGTGGCGGCCTTGACAGCCACAGCGAGGGCCTTGAAGGCGCTCTCGGCGCGGTGGTGGTCATTGAAGCCGCGGAGGCAGTCGACGTGGACGGTGATGCGGGCGGCCTGGGCAAAGCTGTCGATGCAGTGGGGGATCATTTCGCAGCTGAGGTCGCCAATCTTTTCGCGCTTGAGGCCCAGCTCCACGACCGAAAAGGGTCGGTTCGACAGGTCGACCACGGCCCGCGACAGCGCCTCGTCCAGTGGCGCGTAGGCCGATCCGAAACGTGCCAGACCCGCGGCCGAGCCGAGCGCCTTGCCAAAGGCGTATCCGAGGGCAATGCAAACGTCTTCGGCTGTGTGGTGGTCGTCGACTGTTTGTAAAAGATGGGCAGGTTAGTTGATGGCTGGTAACCTCTGAATTGATGCCTCTAGAAATACAATCCAAGGCAAAGAAAAGCACTCACTGTGTAGATCGCCCTTGCAGGCAATGGCCAAACTCCAACCAGCGTGCTTGGCCAAGGCGTGCAGCATGTGGTCCAGGAAACCAATGCCCGTGTTGATGGAAATGGTCTGTGACTTGCTTGCCTGACTGGCGTGGGCATCCGTCTCGGAGATGAGGCGGGCGTCTGTGTCGGGAGGAAAGTCACCGCCGTCGAGGTTCAGAGCCAGCTGGATCTTGGTCTCGTTTGTGTCACGGGCGAGCGCCGCCCAGCGAGTCCTCGGTGCTTCGGAGCCCATTGTGTCGAAATGCTGTTTGTATGTGGTTATTCAAAGGCTATGAGGGATAGCGAGAGGTTGGGCCGCAATGTGATTCCAGAAGGTGTAGATAATAAAAGAAAGAGGCGGCATATGATCGCATAGCAAACCGGATCGTATAATTTTTAGAATCGCTCTCCGCTAATCGGATAGCGGCCGATTACCTTCTCAAGCTCTGTCTGTGTCTCACCTCCCACCCGAAAGACCCCCGCCAACGTCAGCGCCAGAAGCGGTGGATTCAAACTCTGCCCCCAAGACCCCCTACGATGCAGGCCTGGGTACGTACCGTAGGCGCCCCTCCCGACTTACGGGGGGCAGAGCTCATCCTTATCGATAAGAGAGAGGTCCGCCAAAAATTATTTCCCCATTTCGCGGTCGGCTCGTCAAAGATCGCCAGCAAAAACCGACAGCAGCCGAACCGAAACACATTCGACTTGCGCACGCTCAAACTGTTTTCGCGGAGACAAGAATCAAGATGGGTGTTTCAAGGACCAAGACGATTAAAAACAAGCATGCCACCAAAAACTCGGGCATCAGCAACAGCAAGGCCTCCAAGTCTGGTGGCCCCCCCGATGGCATCGTAAAATCCAAGAAGAAGGGCCCGCCGCCGTCTTCCAAACCCAAGGGCAAGGGCGCACTCGCTGCCCTACTGGCCAAGAGGAAGAAGAAGGTCTACTCGGAAAAGGAGCTCGATATCCCCAAGCTGAACACGGTCACCCCGATTGGTGTGGAAAAGCCCAAGGGAAAGAAGAAGGGCAAGGTTTTTGTGGATGATCGTGTATGTTCATTCTCCTTTATTCCACTCTTGGAGAGACCAAATCTTGACGTGTAAATACTGACGAAACCTTCTTTTATAGGAGAGCATGAACACGATCCTCGCGTTGGTCCAGGCGGATAAGGAGGGCGAGATTGAGTCCAAGATGATGAAGGCGCGACAGCTTGAGGAGATCCGCGAGGCCAGACGGGTCGAGACCGAGAAGAAGGAAGCCGAAAAGAGGGCCAGGCTGGACGAGACCAAGGAGTCGCTGCGGAGGAAGAGAAACCGAAGCATTGGCAAGCCCAGCGCCGACGCGGCCGACGACTCCGTGGTCAAGGAAGCCGTCACGTCTGGTAGCAGGGCCGTCAAGCCCAAGAAGAAGAGAGTCTCCTTTGCCTGAGAAAAGCCAGAGCGAGCTCTCTTTCACTTGAGTATTGGTTTTTCCATTTTTTTTCGTTGAAAGCATTTCGACGGCGTTTGGGCGTTGTGGGAAATCTTGTCAAAGCCCGCTTGGCGGCGGCAGCGCATTGCGAGTGCTCATGTATATGAGGACGACAGAAAAAGAAGATACCCTAGGTATAGCATCTCGAAACAAAAGCTTTTCAGACCTCGGCGGAGCAAGGGATATTGACAGGACTAGTTTCGGTGTAGCAGGCTCATCTGGGCAACATTCATCTCATTCAGTAATATAGCAAAGAGCATGCTTGTTGCGATTGTAAACTTTCTTTGCAAATCATCGCTGCTGTAGCCAAGTACTAGACATAATTTGGGATGTAAAGTTGTGTTGGATCATGTTTATGATATCTGCATATGCTACGTCTTTGCCCTCAAGTTGAAGTGAGATACTATATGGATGCGGATATGGTAGTCGGGCATCCAGGATGATTTGATTTTCTACTTGCGGAATGAAACTTCCCTAGCTAGGTAAGAAGTATAAATTGACTAGATGTCCCTTTTCTAAAAAGTACAATTCACAAGATTAAAAATAAAAATGTGTACAGAGTATAGTCCCGCGTATTATACAAGACTAATCACGAAGAAACTGCATAGGAAATTTCTCAACCCCTGTTGAGTCACGTTACGTTGCGGTCAGATATATAGAAAAGCCAATCGAGGCTTGGGTAGACCAAGTCGCACAACGCAACACAGTATAATGTCACAAAGAGTCCCGAGCACGCCAAATAGCCACGATCATGTCAATTACCTGGCTGGGTGGCTTCTTTGCAAAGACCTTCCGTACTTCAGAAAGGCCGGTTGTGTTTCATGTCGCCTGGTAAGGCAGACCTAAAAGTTTGTGATCGACATTGGACCAACACTTGGATAATCATCTAGACGCAGAAGGGGATGGTGTTGCCGTGGCTGATGAGAAGTTCCTGAAAGGTAGGCCACTACTACAAGTGCCTATCGAAACAAGAAATCGCGAACTTGATAGCATCTCGGCACTTGACGACTCTTTACACTATCAGCGTTTCATCGTGACTGTGACATGCTCAGTACTATTGTATCTTGATGCAAAGAATCTGTGCCGATCCAGGTGATTCACCACCCAGGAGCCTTGTCAGTCAGCCGCATACTGTAGTACTGGTCCAGAACACTTGGAGACCATGTTGAAAACAACCAATGCAACGATAAGCAGGCCCTGGCTGTCTGGGACGAAAAAAAACATGCGACCGAGCGCTACCAACAAAAGCAGTTACCATGTGATGAAGGAAATTGCGTCTTCCTGCTAGCGACGATGCCAAGAATGTTTGAGGTAGCACTCTAATCTATTAGCATGGTCTCGGGAGCTAGGCCGATCAGTCGGGACTTTTTTTCTTCCTCCTCTTTCTTCTTCGTTTTCTTTCTCTGTCCCCAGACAAAGGGAAGAAAGAAAAAGTACCGGGGCGATAACTGGTCATAACATGCCATCCCTAAGACCCGGGATTGCGCGTTCTCGCCCACGTCGTCTGAACTTTGGAGTTATGCAGATTACTAAGTCATGACCGTTAGACGTGTTTGAGACATTCAGGGTGCCCAAGTATCTCGTCTACTTTTCTATTTCTCCTTCTTCTCGATCCTTCATATCTCACGATTGAAAGCATTGACTCAGGATGATTTCCCACGAGTGCTGATCATGACGTTCCGCGGGTAGAATGCTCAATGAATTGTGGGATGTCATTGGGTTAATGGCCTGCTTGCCTGCAAAGCATGCAATCTGTAAATGAAGAGCAACGGCGCAGTGGTCCACTCCGGCTTCATGGGGGGCCCCTTGAGGAACCGACTGACATCAAACAAACCCGGTCCTGGCGACTGAATTTACGCTGGCGCTAAACCTCGGTCGATTGTGCACAGTAGGCGCATGTTTGGAACGGTCCTCAAGTTGTCCTGCGTTTTTTTTTTTAGCGACCAGGTACGCAAGCAAAACGGGTGGGGGGCCTGCCTCATCTGGACTCCAGACTGGAGACTGACTGCGCCCATTGGCGACGTGTATGATTATGTTGGGGCCATGGATTGATTGTTTATTTGTGAAAATCGCAGATGTCCTACATTCTTTGTACATGATAGTTCGGGACACCACCGCCGAAACGCGATCGATCAACATTCATGGGCCTCCCTCATGGATAAGCGTTGCTGCATTGCGTTGCGATGACGAGCAAGCGGATAAACGGGAGGATACTAGATTATGCTCGCCCCGGGGAAGACCGAACACTGTACATGAGAATGCACAAAAGAGGCCAGACCAATGATGGAGAGCATACACTCCTTGGTACAATATTCATAGTAGTAGTCTATGAATAATAAAGGATCCAACCTTGGCCTCTGAAAGGTGATGAAGATGCCGTTCCTGCAGCTTAGGAGACACGATTATGTATGGATGCAGGTGAAAAGAATAAGAATTGGGGTGTACGGGTACTACCTGGCTGCAGCCTCAACACGAGGAATTATTTTAGTGGGCGAATACGAGGCGCCTATGACTGCAGCACAAAACATCAACGGCCACCTCAGGTGGAAGTGCTTAGGGTGAGCGCCTACTGCTACCAACCTATTAAAAGTGCATTATTACCACCTACTAGATACATTACATGAACTAACTATATTACCTGTAACGTACTGTGTAAGGTAGGTATGTAGGTGCGATCCTGACCTACTAATGTACATATTCCAACGAGCAAGCAGCCAAGTAAGCAGCTTCATACACAAGAGTGAACCCACCAACACGCTCCCAGTTAGAGTACAAATGTACATGTTCAACAGCCTACAGCACTGAGCGCCGTCCGTCTGTCGTGCCGCCGCCGCTAGTATCTGCTGTGCATCGTGCGTCGAACACGGCAATCTGCGGTGTCTGCATGCTTCTAGCGACGAATGAGGAAGCCGTCAGACCTCGAACTCTGCCTCGGGTTGGGTTAGCTCGTTGCAAGCTCCTGCAAGTCGGGGGCAGAGAAAAGGGAAAGGAGTGGGTTGCACACGAGCAAACACACGATGGTTTCGTCGTCTGTGCCTACATAGTATTGCCTAAAGGTTTTAGGGAACATTATTTTTAGGCGCAATCTACCAACATATTCCGTGGAAACAATGCACCACACCCACTTCATCAGTCCAGAAAGCGTCTGGGACTCTGGGTAGTCCAGGTACGGCACCGCTTAGCGGACGGAGCGGGCACGCTACTACATTGCCTCAAGGGTAGGTGAGAAAACCACCAGCATTAGTCCAGGTACGTGCTGGTTCGTTGGTCTACAGATCAAATGCGTCTCCTATGCAATCATTTCAAATCCAATCAAAAAAACCAGATGCAATGGAACATGACCATGGCCAAGGGGGGAAAGCAGCAGTAGACAGCAAGTCATGTAGCGAGCACGAGCAAAATAGCGACTTTAATACTTGTGCAGTAGGATTATCCAATGTCCGGCTCTGCAAACCGAGCGAAGGTCTATTACAGTATTTGCTCAGATCCCCGATTTCGTAACCAATGAGACAGGAGAAAAGGGCGCCCTACCACCAGGAAGACCCTGGCCGAGTCGATGTTCTGCTTTTTGCTGGGCTTGGCATCACCCCCGGCCGGTGCTCCATGATTGGCCCCTGTTAGGATTGGCTTGGCTCGTTGTTTACGACCCCTGGCTCAAAGGGAAGAGATGGCCCATGGTTTAGCAAGCGAAATGAACACTTGGTCTCGCTGCGTCGTAAGTGCCCATCTATCTCCATAGTGCCGCAGTCTTTTACTTGACCCATCCCATCCATTCTCTGGTGTCCCTCTGCAGCAGGGGACAGAAGCGAAGGTAAAGTCACAGTACAGTAGTAGTCAGTAGTAAGAAGGAGAAGAAGAACCACTCAGTGACCAAACAACCGTCACAAAACAGCAATACCCTAGCAGTAAAAGTGCACCCGTTCCCCCCCAGTGTCCAGTGAGAGGAGAGAGGTAGAGAGAGACAGAGCGAGCGAGCGAGAGAAGGGACAAAAAAAGAGTGGCCCACGGCCCATGGGCACGTCTGCTCATTTTAATTAAAACGGCTTTTCTCTCTTTTCCATGACATATTATCAAATCGTGCCCCCAGCAGTCGTGTCGTCTGGCAATTCTCGCTTCTTGTCCTTCTTTTCCCTCTTTTTTTTTGGTTCCTCTGTCCGTGTCCTTCCCTCCGACCCCCGTGTTGTTGTCGTTGTTGTTGCTGTTGTCTTTTTGCCTTTCTTTTCTCTCTAAACCTTTCGACCCCCTTACCGACCGTTGAGTCGTCGTGATGTGGATGACAGGTCTCCGCGCCCCAGGAGTGACGACTATACAAAATCTTTAAGAGATCAAGGGATTTAAAGAGAGAGAAAGAAAAAAAAGAAGAAGAATTACTCGACGTCCATTGCAAGGCAGCCACAATACCAACCAGAGTATTGACCAACAGTGTGCTGCATACGAGTCGCCCAGTTTTTTTTTTTTTCGTCCAATCGAGTCGAGAGACCCAACAGAGCAGAGGGAGGCAAACAATAGGCACGAGGATGGAAGTACCCGGACGATCGACACCACCCACATAGCGCGCACACTCATTCGGTCGACGGACGAGTCAGCATTCAGCAAGCACCTTGTCCCAGCGTATCCAACACACTCCTTCAACCTCGTATTCAAATTTCACCGCCACGCGCGATGACCGATTCAGTTTCGGGGTCTTCACTCCTTCAGGCCCGAGACGTAGTTGATTCTTCCCACCACCAAAATTATCACAACAACCACATTCGTTCTCATCACAACCACGAGAGGCTGCATCAACGCCAGGCCGACGACAGCTCTTCCGTTGTCGACAGCGGCAGTAGTAACAGCGATAGTGGCACCACCTCTGCATCAGTCGTTCATGTCATTCAAACCGTTTCCGTCATTCAATACATCGACTCAACCGGCGCAACTGTGAGCGCCACCACGCAAACCTCGGAGCCCACCACGACGCAATTCACGGCGGAGCCCACCACGGTTGGGATTGAGAGCGAGCCCGACGCCATTAGTAGCATTATCAGTAGCACCAGCGCCAGCAGTACCAGCAGCACCGACATCATTGTCGACGCCAGCGCTACCGCTTCTTTTGGCATCGAGAGCCTGCCCGACTCCACGACATACTCCGCCGACGATGCTGTCACAGTCATATCTTCTGTCTCTCCAGCGACCGCGTCCTCAGTAGACCCGGCGTCGGCAGTAGAAACTGCATCATCATCAACAGAATCAACTTCATCCGCAGACGCTGCATCCTCTTCCTCGATGGTCTCTTCATTTCCGACTGTCGAATCTTTCGCTTCAATTACTTCCACTCCCTTGTCCACTTCTGCATTTCCCACTTTTACTGGCGTTGCAAACAGCACTACAACAGGTTTGTCAAGATTTTTCTTTGGGCTTGCATCTTGCTCGGAATTGTTCTATTTGATCTAATCGTCGTGCTATAGCTTCTTCTTCCGAGACAGCGTCAAGTTCCGCTTCTTCTACTTCAAATGACACCTTGACAGCTGAGGCTTTTACTTCTTATCTGACGACGTCTACACTCGCTCATTCGTCTGGCACAATTTTATACAATGACACTTACACCACAACGCTTGGTGTTTACTCAAGCTCTTCTTCAACATTTGCTTCAATAACCGGCACAGCGACCTCGACGAGGACCAGTGATGGAAGCTCAGCGACCGGCTTGGGGTATGGCGGCGACAACAGTGATGGCAGCGGAAGCGCAGCCACTGGTGACTCTGCAGCGTCTGCAACTTCTACCAGCGATTCTGGCTCATCGTCCAACTCGAATTCGAATTCAGCATCAGCAGGAACTGTCGCGGGGAGTGTTATAGGTGCAGTCGCTGGCCTAGGTCTTATTCTAATCGCAGCTTTGATGCTTCTTCGCTACAAGAAGCGTCATGGAATGCGACTCAGCGACGGAAATGGCGGTCTTCCCGGGGCTGGTAACCGCGCCATTGGCAATGGTGGACCACCCAACTCGCCTGGTGGCGCGGGAGAGATGTCCCAACGATCAACTCCCTTTGCCGTTCAGTCAGCATTGGCAAGTCTGACCGGTAAACGCAGTTCTCAGCGAACAATTGCTTCAGGAAGCACGGAAAGAGGGTTCCAAAAGGTCTCAGGCAGGAAACTGCCCTCAGTTCTGCAGCACGGAGGTGATGGATATTCTGAACCGTCCAATGTGCGCGATACAATGTTGACCGAGGGATCGTATTATCGCGACTCCCAAGGCTCTCTAGCAGGACCCGACATGCCGAGACTGGCAGTAGGATCACCAATGCGTCCCGAAAGTGGCATACCAGTCTTCCACGCCGGCCCAGCCCGGATGCCAATCACAGAGGCCTCATATTTCGCCGCGCCAAGTCTGTCACCACCTCCGCGGGATCCCGTGGGCCGTTCCCATGCCTCGGCGGATGGCTCATCTATATATGATCCCTCGCACGGCTCCGGCTCCAGATTTACCGAAGAAATATGATACCAACCCACGATCTTGCAGCGCGCGTATTTGCTTGTATATCTTTCAGACCTCGATGATACCGCTTGGCATTCTGTTGGCTTTTGTTCATATGCCTGCGGCATGGAAATGGCGTTTTAATGTTTGATAATTGAGTGAACATTTTTCATGAGAGGAGGATTCCCCAATAGGCTGTGTCAAGCCTGCCACCGCCCACGATTCGGCGGCGATTTGTCATGTACATATAAAGCGACCCAGCTATACCCGCCGGGTGTAGGAAAATGAAGACTACTTGCCGAGGGAACGTTTGTTCCTCAGGCTGTCTATAATCTAAAGATTAATCGTCCCATGATAATACACATCTTTGCACTCAGTTCACATGTTCAGCAGGGTTCAGACCATCAGCTGAATCCAGAATCCGATCAAGCCGGTCTCTTTTAGAAATACAGCAGCCAATACTGGCATGGATCCATCTGCCCGTTGCTCTTTTTGGTCAACTTTCAAAGTTAATGACTTGCTGCGGTAGCTCTTTTTCCGGGACCCGGACGTGTGATCCACGAGATAAAAGAGACTTCCGCGACGCCTTAAATCATTCGTGATAACATTCGTGTTTCGATCTACAAACTCGAGACTTGAACGGGGCCCTTGCCGGGACAGGGAAGCGGAGAGTTACCGTCCCTTTATCAAGCCGCTTGAGACGGTCCTGAAACACGCATGGGGGAAGAAAGGAAGATACCATCAACCTCCGCGACCACCCGGGGCGGGCCACCGCTATGGGCTTGCGCGCAATGACAAATCTGGCCGTGTGGGTTGGGGAAGAAAAAGCCAGGAGAAAGAAACAAGCAGATTTTCAACTACTACGTACTAAATTTACTTATTTGTGACCGTGTTGTTTCCTGGATGACATTTGGCCTGGCTGGAACTGAGAAACGCTCAGTCGGGGGTTGAATCCATATTAGCGAAGGGAAAACATGAGGGCTATTGTTCGACCCACGTGGCGTGACATGTTCAGTTGCTTCCGTACCCTGATTTGCGATCTCATTTCTAAAATCTCCATTTCCAATGGCGCATACGTATGTTGATGCGAACAGTGCTCTCGTAGCAACTACCGAAAGTTACGGCTCCGGTTTCCAGCCCTACCTATAGTGAAAGAGCAGATGAAGCATCTTTTGGACTTTTGAAGTTAAGCAGCCTTATCGAGAGAAAGGAATAACCTACTCTTGAAATTGTCCTGCTTGTGAGATGCAGCCTATAAGTTCCCTATCTTGAAGTAATGGTTCGGACGGCATTGAGCTTGCAACGAACCACTTTACTCCCATGGAGGTCAGGCCGACGGACGAACGGACGAACGGACAGACAGACGGACTAGGGTGGAAAGAGGGTTGTTTGAGAAGATGCAAAGCGCCAAGTCGACCATAACCTCCCATAAGATCCATCGCATGCCGTTCACCACCCGGGTTTCTCGGAAAGCGACATTGCGGCGTCCATTCCCCCCGTCCTAAAATCTGACTGGCTCTGACCCAGATTCAATGCCTACATATGGTAAGAGGGGCGGTCCGGCAAGGGGGCTATAAGTCCAGCCCTGGAGACATGTCTAGTTACAAATCGGCGCTGCCACTTGCTTACAGTCCTTTGCAGAGAGAAGATCATGTATTTATTATATACCAAGACATAGAGAATCTAAATGCTCGAGCAGTGTTCGGGGGACAAGAAAACAGGAACCATTGTGTGAAGAAACCGTGGAACCGGCCGTGCTGTGCATCAATGGGCGAGGTCGAGGCGGCGCAATTCGGTACTCGGCAGCGCTCTTCTCAAAGTGGTGTGACAGTTGATCCCTCCACAGGGGGCCCTCACCCAAGACCTCTCAGACAAAGCCCAAATCAGTGCCCGAGGACAATGAGAATGCAAACGAAAGAAAAAAAAAGAAGGCCTCCAATCCAAGAGAAGAGTTTTGCTCGCACGGAGGTGGCATCATCTTTCGATATGAAGGCTGCTCATCGCGGGGAGCGTCCGTGTCACGGCAAGTCATACGATAATGCAAATATGACGAATGCTGCTATATCAAATTGACAATATATTGCATCAAGTCTTCTTTATCATACGGACACTGACATGTCTTGTACAAAGTCAATTTTACCACGAATAGATCGAGGCCATCAACTGGGGTGTATAGTATAACTGCGCAAGACACAAACCACTGCTTCAACTAATTCTCATCCAGAGTCCAGGAGTAAGTAGTATTACTACCCTGAATGCTTCAACACATTCCCGGAATGTCAGTGCGAATATGAGACACCCAGCCAATAGGCGAAGACTTGGGCACTATTGTAGATGCTTTGGCGTGATCGTCGCTCTTGGAGCACCGACCCTCGAAACCGGGGTCGATGAATTTTTTTTTTTCCTTGGGAGGGAGGGGCGCGCCAACGTGCCTGAAAACCACCCCTTCGTCGCGATAGGATAGTACAATACCAGCATCTACAGAAACTTCAAGTTATGATTCCAGATATTGTTGACTGCGCTGAAAATAGAAGAGGAGAAGCATAACGCCGCCAGCCACTGGTAACAAGAGGTAGTAGTAATAGTATAGACCTAAACTAAGTTAAGAGGAGTCTTGATTACCAAGTTGAATCTAAAATAACCGCGCATGGAGGCTGCTGACGTCTAAGACTTCTTACCGCAGTCACATTGTCGTTTGGCGGTGCTGGGCTAGGCTGGGGCTGGACCCGGACTGGGCTTTTGTCGCGCGGACTTTAACAAGGGAGATAGGAAACCCGCTCCACCAATGCCGGCTTGCACGGTACAGTTGCTACAGATTATCTTAACTTTATCCCGCTCGCTAATGGTTTTTTCGAACCGCCAGACAAGTGTATCCCTTGTAGGCAGAGGCCCAGAGTTGGAGTTCTACAAAGCTGCAACCGCTGCAGAGTCGGACGTGCTCAGCCACAATGAATTCATCAACTCACGTCGGCAAGGGGGTTAGACGACGAAGAAGACGAAGAAGAAGGGGGGAAGGACAAGGTAAAGGAAAAGGTAGGGGCAGCATCATGTTAGTGGTGCAAGGGAACAATGTAGGTGTTAGCGCGTAGCATCTTGTTTTAGCTGTTCTTTCTCGTCGCTGCCTGTATGTATTTCATGTATCTACGGAGTATGTACTCTGCAGCTCATCTATCTAATGTAGTACCGTTGCGTCCATCTATCTGTATCTTGTTCTATCGTCTTGTCATTTATCTGTCCCCCCGTCCCCCCTCCAGCTGAAAACAGGTAGTCTCGAGTCTTGGCCCTGATTCTCGACTACTCCATACAAGGTATTCCGTCCATTTACCTTACATTACCGACCTGAGGATACATACAGGTATCATTGACACCCCTAGCAGTACAAAATAGACCACCCTTTGCCTACACTACTACTTTGTACCTTCCAAGTCCTAGCACCTTTTGAACTAACCCACTTCTTTCTTTCTTCCCGTGCGATTTCCCCATCTTTCCCAAGTAACCCACTTCCCACGTTCCTGCTGGTGCTGCGTGCTTGCCATTGATTGACTTGCTGCTCGCCCGCCTCCTGGCCCCGATTTCGTGGATCGATCCCCAATTATAGTAGTGCGAAACCCAACTCTACTTTCTCCTTCGAACCGACGACACTGCAAACCACATTTGTTTCTTGATAACATTTTCACGACCTTTTGGGGGGAACGACATGTGCTAAAAGAGACTCATGACATTATTGCACATTGTAAACCCAGCAATCTCCAAAGGCGACGAATCCCGCGGCTCCCGGCGCTTGCATTGGTCTGCGCAGCTCCAGGTATTGGTAATCCACCAAAAAAAGTAAAGCTAGGCACAGGAGGGACACACACATCTCAGGAGTTGCCAGGAAGGAGGAGGAGGAGAAGAAGAGACAACGCCACCACCACCTACAAACGACCGACACGACAAAGGCTGGCCCACAATGGATCACCTACGAGTCGATCCGAATAGCTTCCAGATTCCTGGAATGCATGCCCCGCCATTGACAAATCAACCGCCCCCGATCTTTGGCAGTTATGGCATGCCCGACGGTCTCCCCATGCTCCCGCCCGAGCTACAGATGGCCTTTGACCCTTCGGCGCTGCTCGGCGATGATCAGGACGCAAAGAGGAGGAGGATAGCAAGAGTGAGTGAGAGCCTCCACCGGATTCAAGTGCTCCTACCGTACTGGGAGCTCCATGGCAAAGTGGTTGGACAAAAGGCTAAGCAGAGATCTTGTGTTATAGGCTTGCGATATGTGCAGGAAGAAGAAAATCAAGTGCGATGGTAAGCTACCGGCATGTACGCACTGCATCAATTACAAGACGGAATGTGTCTTCACACAGGTCGAGAAGAAGCGAAGCCCACCGAAAGGGTAAGACACAAGACCCCATTCTCACATGCTAAAGCAGTTACTCACTATCCCCATAGCGCAAAATATATCGAGGGACTCGAAAATAGACTGGGCCGCATGGAAAGTCTGTTACGACTTGCGGGTGAGTTGACCCATTGAACCCAGCGACATAAACTTGCGTCGTGCCACTTGCTCGCAATTGCAAACCGCGGGGCTCGGGTATACGCACCAATTGCACAGGGCTGACGAATCTTTCAGGGCTTTTGGATGATGAAGATGGCGCAACGGACCTGGGCACTCTGGAAAAGAAATTGGCCGAAAAGGCACAACAGAGGTCGAGACAAGCTTCTCAGGCTACTTCAAACCCGCCATCACCATCACAAGATACTTCGATCCATGAAGGCGCTGCTTCCACCCCGCAAAGCTCATTGACCTCGCCCGAACCCCAAAAAGACAAGGGCGAGGACAAGAGGCGAAATTCGTCGGTTGCCCCGGAAAAGACCGAGGAAGACGTGGAGGGCTTGTCAGAGATGATGTGCTCGCTTGTCACCAACCAATCTGGAGAGACACGTTATTTTGGTAAGATTTACTTTCCTGTCGTGCCGAGCTGCTTGCAAAATATAATCTAACAGCATCATCTAGGCTCATCGTCCGGTTTCTCGATATTTTCGCCAAAAGGCATTCAATGGGTCAATGAAAGAACCGGAAACGATGCTTTTCAGAACATGATCTCTGAAGTCTCCATTGACGATCACAAGTGGAACCGCTGGAAGCCCGAGATTTTCGCGGATGTATTCCGGCGGCCTGTCTACATACCACTGCCGCCTAAACCCGAAGCCATGTCCTTGCTCAAGGATTATTTCGAGAACTTCAACTGCATGTTTCCAGTTTTCCATCAACCTACTTTCATGCACCTTGTTGAGAAGCAGTATTCCAACGAACCATATGAGGGATCTGGATGGTGGGCGAGTCTTAATGTTGTGTTGGCAACCGCCCATCGCCTGCGGGTTATGAGCAAGCTTGTTCCAGAAGAAGAGGACGACAAGGCTTGGGCATACATGAAGAATGCCATGGGCGTGTTCACAGAGTTGACCATGCGGAATACCGATCTACTCAGCGTACAAGCATTGCTTGGCATGGCCTTGTTCATGCAGGGAACTCCAAACCCCCAACCTTCGTTCCTGCTGATTGCAGCCGCAATCCGGCTATCTCACAGCATTGGTCTTCACAAGAGCGGCAGCGGCTTCCACCTAAACCCTATTGAACTTGAGCAAAGGAAACGAGTCTTCTGGATTGCATATATGCTGGACAAAGACCTCTGTCTCCGTTCTGGCAGACCGCCGGCCCAGGATGACGATGATATGAATGTCGAACTTCCAGCTGCTGAACCAGCGGATAACATCGGCAACATTCCTTTGGCTGACGGAAAGGGCAAAATGAACCTTTTCAGAGTCATGTGCGAGCTGACCACAATTGAAAGTCAAGTGTACAAGAGGCTGTACTCGACGAAAGCTGCCAAGCTTTCTGAGGGTGAGTTACTCAACACAATTGGTGAGCTTGACAAAGCACTTGAGGACTGGAAAGACCGCATTCCGATCGATTTCAGACCAGAGCATGAGATCAAAGCCTCCCATACGCCGCTCATACTCCACATTGTCATGTTGCATTTCTCCTACTACAACTGCTTGACAACAATCCACCGTATGTCGGTACATCGAGGATATTGGACCAGCCGGCTATCAAACTATGCCATCCAGGGCCTTAACGCCAAACCTCTGAACCCGCGAGTCTTTGCTTCCGCTGCTCTGTGTGCATCTTCAGCGCGTGCCACCATTTCACTGCTCAAGTACATCCCACAGGGTGATAACCAATGCGTCTGGTGAGTGTCAAGTATCTTTCGTTATGCAATCATCGCTAATTGGCAACAGGTTGGCCCTGTATTTCCCAGTGTCAGCACTTATGACCTTGTTCGGCAATATTCTACAAAATCCACTGGATCCACGGGCAAGATCAGATACCAGGCTCATGAGCATTGTCGTCACTTTCCTGTCAACACTCGGCGAGGAAGCAGAGACCGGCGGGGTACATCGAATGCTTGGCGTTTGCGCCGAGTTCGAACGCATTGCCAAGACCATCATCGATAAGACTGAGAAGGAAGGATCGAAGCGGAAGAGGAGGACGCAAGATCCACCGAAGCCGAGCAATTCGACTGCCTCACAGCAATCAAGCACAACGCCTCGATCCACCACATCACAGACTACGCCAACACCGCATTACAGCCAGCAGCAGAGGCAACCGCAACAGCAACCACGCGGGTCCGTCTCCTACTCAGCGGGATCGCCAGGCATGCAGAGTGGTCACACTCCCCAGTCGACGGGCTCAAACTACAACAGTCCAATGAACACAGCAAACTCGGGCAACGGCCAAGCTCCAAGAGACGGGCCCAACGCGTGGCCTCAAGATCATCCTAGTGCGGGGCCTATATATGACACACCGGACTTTAATAATTTCCATGATCTGACAGGCTTTGGTCAACCCATAGCATCGCCACCTTTGCAGAACCCGAATGCGCCTGGATTTACACCGGCAATATTACCGCAGGATCTATGGCAACTGCCGATGAGTATAGACTGGGACTGGGCCGAGTTCAGCGGAGGAGCATATCCCAGTTTTGAGAATGGAAGTACAATGCCTAACAATGGCGGTTTATGACGGTCGTGAGTAATGACAAAGCTTTGGAGTCATTCGCACGAGACTGAAGAATCGCTGTCGGAGGGGGGAAAAAAAAAAGGAGCAGTAGCGATGAGTAATGAGAAGAAGCATGTAAGCAGCATTTGGAATTGATGGGTCGGTTGAACTATGAGTAGGTATATAAGATGCGGCAGCCGAATGGCGTTTATCTGGGACTGGCGGTATATTGTGCTTGGTAAATATTTATAACCTTTGATATCAATTTCCACTCACCAATTGACTGTTTAAAAGTAAGCTTCTTTTCAGGAGAGACGGTCACAAAGTATTGAACATCAATGCAAAGTATAAAAGAGGGAGCTATGTTATAGAATCACGTGGCTCCATGGTGGCATGTTAATGGGGTCCACATTTGTATTCCAAAGTCGGGGTCCGGCGGGTGGGCTTTTTTCCCCTCTGAGTTGAGCACGTTGAGCCTCGACACGCTAGTCCTAAACCAGGATAGTACCTGGATGAACGATGATGAGTTGATCAGCACATAGAAGCTCAAGGAGGCAAAGCAGAAATCTGAATGCCGCTAAAGTCTACCACAAGTCCGAGGCGCCAGAGGAGTCATTCAATCCACGTCAACCTCTACGATTCTCTCTCCCCCCCCCTCCGCGAGCAGCACTAGGCACCGGAAAGACCTGTGCCTTTTAACAAGGTAGGAATCGAGACACAACCTGCCCCCAACGCCGTCTTGTCAAAAGCCTTGTGTTTTTCTACTATAATATCCCGCCAAATCCGATAACCTTCCCCCGTTCGAAGGGGCGCGGTCGACTCTGCCCGACATGTCAAGCTTCATCCGGCGGTCGACAGGCCTTGCGCGCATCACAAAGTCCTCTCTCAATGTCTACACGCGTGCGAGCCTGAGGACGACGCGGTTCTCGCAGGTCCCGTCTGCTGTCTGGGCTGCGCGCCACCAGCAGCTACGATACTACTCGAGTGAAAACAAGGATCCCAAGAAGAGCGCATCCGAGAAGAAGAATGGCGCATCAGATTCGCAACCCGAGGTCCAAAGCACTTCATCCCCCGGGCCTGCCAAAGCTGAAGATGCGCAACAGGAGCAGCGGCCGCCTCTGCCCGAAGGATGGGTCTACCTCAACGATGCCGAGTACGAGGAGCTCGCAAACGCCGCCAAGGAAGGCCTCAAGTGGATGCCCAAGTTCAAAGGACACGGTCCGGAAGATGTGGTGAAGGAACTGAAAACTACCGGCGTTCCCAAGGATCTACAGCAGCTCATTCAGAAAAAGGTCAACGGCACCTGGACCCTCACGGATGCTGGCAAGTACATCAAATCCATCAACTCTCTCTCCAATGATATTGCGGAAAGAATGTTTGATAAGGAACTGGGGGAGAAGCCAAGTAAAACGTTATTTGAAAAAGAAAAGCGTAAGAAGAGCGAAGACGACAAGAAGTCTTCGACCGGGTCGCAGTTCTTTTCTCAGGGCAGTGGCAAGGGCAAGAGCTCTGGCCCCAACAATGGGCCACCAGAAAACCCCCTCAAGGGCAACGACTGGCTCACTACAATCATTGGTTCTCTTGTCGCTTACTGGATCTACAACTCCATCTTTACTGGCGATAGCCGTGAGATCACATGGCAAGAGCTACGCAAGAACTTCTTGGACAAGGGTTTGGTTGAGAGAATGGTTGTCAGCGGCAACCAAGTCAGAGTGGACCTGAATATAGAGGCCACCCGTTCCATGTACCCCGACTCTGCTGCGACAAGCCCTGGCTTCCACTACTACTTCACCATTGGTTCCGTTGATGCCTTTGAGCGACGATTGGACGAGGCGCAAAAGGAACTCGGCATTCCCCCGACAGAGAGGATACCCGTCAGCTACCAGGGACAAAGTGGTCTCGCCAGTATCGCATTGGCCTTTGGACCTACGTTACTCTTTGTTGGTCTGCTCTACTGGGTCTCCCGCCGTGGCCCGGGAGCTGGTGGCGGTGCTGGCGGCATGTTCGGTTTCGGCAAGAGCAAGGCCAAGCGCTTCAATCACGAGTCTGCTGTCAAGGTTAAATTTAGCGATGTTGCCGGTATGGACGAGGCCAAGCAAGAAATCATGGAATTCGTCAGTTTTCTGCAGAAGCCCGAAAAGTTCCAGCGTTTGGGAGCCAAGATCCCCCGTGGTGCCATTCTCGCAGGTCCTCCCGGTACAGGTAAGACTCTATTGGCAAAGGCCACGGCTGGAGAGTCTGGCGTTCCATTCTTCAGTGTCAGCGGTTCTGAATTCGTCGAAATGTTTGTTGGTGTCGGTGCTTCCAGAGTACGAGACTTGTTTTCGACCGCGCGGAAGAACACTCCTTGTATTATCTTCATTGATGAAATCGACGCCATCGGTCGGTCTCGATCGGAAGGTGGCGGCAAGTGGAGCGGCGGTAACGATGAGCGTGAGGCGACTCTCAATCAAATCCTGACGGAGATGGACGGCTTCAACACGACGGAGCAGGTGGTCGTGCTGGCCGGCACCAACAGAGCAGATGTCCTTGACAAGGCTCTCATGAGACCGGGCCGATTCGATCGTCACATCAACATTGACAGGCCCACAATGTCCGGCAGACAGGATATCTTCAAGGTCTACTTGAAGAAGGTTGTCACAAATGAGGAGATAGAACATTTGAGCGGCAGATTGGCAGCTTTGACACCTGGTTTCGCAGGTGCTGACATTGCAAACTGTGTCAACGAAGCTGCACTGGTCGGTAAGTATTTTATGAAAACGACTAGCACATCTGTTTGAATTTGCTTTACTAATCTCCCATCAGCCGCGAGAGCCAATGCTCCATCCATCACCATGAAACACTTTGAGCAAGCCATCGAGCGTGTCATTGGTGGTCTTGAGCGCAAGTCCCTGGTTCTGAGCCCCGAGGAGAAGAGGACGGTTGCCTATCACGAGGCTGGTCATGCTATCTGTGGTTGGTTTTTCCGATGGGCCGATCCTCTATTGAAGGTGTCCATTATCCCGCGTGGCTCTGGTGCGCTCGGTTATGCCCAGTACCTCCCGGGTGATGTCTACCTCATGACGGAGAGGCAACTCCTCGATCGCATGGCCATGACTCTGGGTGGCCGCATTTCAGAGGAATTGCACTTCCCGACCGTGACTACGGGAGCCAGCGATGACTTCAAGAAGGTCACCAACATGGCCACGGCCATGGTCACACAATGGGGCATGTCAGACAAGCTGGGACCGCTCCACTTTAAGAATGACGAGAACCAATTCTTGAAGCCGTTTGCCGAGTCGACTGCCCAGACTATCGATGCCGAGGTGCGCCGCATTGTCGACGAGGCATACAAGCAATGCAAGGATCTCCTCATTGAGAAGAAGAAGGAGGTGGGCATTGTTGCAGAGGAACTTCTGTCAAAGGAGGTTCTTACGCGAGACGACATGGTTCGACTTTTGGGCAAGAGACCCTTCGACGACCGCGAGGAGTTCAACAAGTACTTTGGAGGAGACCCAAACAAGCCTACCCCTGGCCAGGAGAGCATCCCACCCTCACCGCCCAGCGGCGGGCTAGATTCGCCAGGCGTCCCACCCCAGCCGGCGATCTTTGAACAGCTCAAGGGAGACGAGTCCAGGAGGTAATCGGTAATTGTAGGAGGCGCATTCGCTTGGCTGGAGCGCGGGTAAAGGCGTTGACGGCTGGGACTCACAACACAACGTTTCTACGAGAGAGGGCGGATCAACTGTCTAGTCCTCGAACAACAAAGGCTCCCAACTCATCTCATGTAAAGTATTTTTTGGCATTGTGGCATTGGAATGTGGTCAAGGTACCATTGTAAAAAAAACTACACAAAACTATTCCATAGATTAGACATTTCATTATAGGAAAATGGAGTCTGGTCTATACTTGATCACACACGAGCATCTTGTAGGGCATGTCGGCTACTTCAGAGTAATACTCCGTACAAATTCATGCGGCGACACAAAGAAATGCCAGAACCTTAGCGACAGCCGGAGAGCCAGACATGGGGCCAGAAGTTGGTGGTATACTATGTTGGAGCACCACAAGTTTCCTGATTTATTTGCCGCACATCTTTCATGGAGATTATAGAACACCCATAAAATTTATGCTGCCCGGGCAGCATAAATTCGCCCCACACTGCAGGCAGGTTGAGGTGGGGATAAGCTAAGGTTGAGGGTCTTTGATTTCACTAGGAAGCAGTCATCAGTCCATGGAAACATTTGAACAACTCACTTGCAGCGCTGATGTGTTCGTGTAAGGGGCAGAATAAACTTGCCAAGACAGTATAAATCATATCTCGTATATATTTATTTGACCAAGATATTCACCAGTATCTGCACCGCACGAGACAGTGGCCACGGTCTCATGTCTCCTTCTCTCCACAATATGCGAACCCCCGAGTCGGCATGATATTGAACCTAGAGCCACTCGAAAGAAAGACCCCAGCAATATGTAAGTAAGAAAAGAGAGGGAGAAAAAAATAAAAATGGAGACGCTAAAAAGCTGGGCATACGACGGCACATTGGGGGTTGTCTATGGTTAATCGCGATGGAGTTCTTTTTTGACAGGGCCAAGCCGTTCTATTTAACATTCTCTAGGCCAGGCCCGTAAGGTACACCAGGTACGATTATTGACTGTCTCTTCGTCACCACATTACTCGAGTCTTCGTCGAGTCTCTCTCTCTCTCTCTCTTTTTCGCCTTCCACGGCGCATTTGTTTGTTTTTATTCTCATGAATTAATTCTGGTACTTGTTGAAAAAGCAAATACTACTCACGGCAGTAAAAGAAGAAATATTTCCAACTTGTCAAGAGCTGCTTTTCCTTGTTTAATGAGAAGAGACTTGCCCTCCCGTCATTATTATCATCATCCCGCCTAATCATTTCGCGCTTATATCCGGACTCCAGCCCCGGAGCGGTCAAGAGTCAAGACATAGATATCAACGCCGCCAAACCAAGGGACATCCTTTTCAGTCACAATCCGCTCTTCTGCCAGGGGGAAGAGGAATTGACCCCAACTAATCGCCAGCGTCGCGGGGGGCGTCGTTTTGCAGCATTGTTTTCTTGAAGTTTTTTTTTTAAGAACAATTCAATGGCAAACACAGATACAAACTCATTGAAGCTGCCCACGGCACTTGACCCGGGAGGCGGCGCACCGTCAGCTACTACGGGCACCGCCGCCTCCGCAACGGCGGGCAGCAACAGCAACAGCAGCAGAAAATCGCCGCTCGAGAATCTTGTCCACACCCACCGGCTTCGTGGCTCACCATCAACAGCCGGCGGCGGCGGCGCACATGAGCAAAACAATGATGGCGGCGATGATGAAGAAGACGAAGAAGACGAAGACGAGGATAATGTCAAACCTGACAAGTGGTGGAAGATTCACCTTTTCCGCGGCATGATCAATGATATACGCCGGCGCGCCCCGTACTACTGGAGCGATTTTGCTGATGCTTGGGATTATCGTGTTGTGCCGGCCACCGTGTATATGTATTTTGCCAAGTAAGTTGTCTGTCCCGGTCTGTTCGTTGCGTTACAGAAACAGGCATACGCAAACTCATTATGCACGGCTGCAGACTTGCGGGAAAGATCAATTCCCGCCAAAGTGGTCTGCAGCAATTGATGCGCCTTTCCAAGAACGGTTATTCTGCCTCGTTATTGAACGCGGGGGGACAGTCTATCTAGCACACTGCGTTTCGATACGGACCGCTAACATCAGTCTTGCTATAGTATCATGCCGGCATTGGCCTTTTCATTGGACATGTTTACCAAGACAGATATGCAGTATGGTGTCAACGAGGTTCTTCTTGCTTCCGTGCTAGGTGCTGTCGTCTTTTCCCTTCTGGCCTGTCAACCGCTCGTCATTGTGGGTGTTACCGGTCCCATTACAGTATTCAACTAGTAAGAGGATTTCATTACTCCCATCCAACTATACATGAAGACAGAATACTAATCACAGTTTGCAGTACCGTCTACGACATTATGAACCCCACAGGTACAAACTACCTCGCCTTCATGTGCTGGATCGGCATCTGGTCCCTCATCTTCCACTGGATCCTGGCCATCACCAACTCGTGCAACTGGCTCAAGTACGTGACGCGGTTTCCCTGCGACATTTTCGGCTTCTACGTCGCCTGCATCTACCTGCAAAAGGGCATCCAGGTGCTGGAGCGGTTTGGCAACGACAGCCCCTTTTACCTGTCCGTCGCCGTCGCCCTGCTAGTCTTCATGATCGCCTATGCCTGCGGCGAGCTCGGCGGCGCCAGCCCCCTGTTCTGGCATCCCGTTCGCGTCTTTCTCAAGGACTATGGCACCCCGCTCACCGTCATCTTCTTTACTGGTTTTGTCCATTTTGGCCGCATGAATGAGATTGAGCTTGAGAAGCTGCCTACCAGCAAGAGCTTCTTTCCCACCGCTGACCGTGGCTGGTTTATCCATTTCTGGGACATACCCGTGAGCGATGTCTTTTTGGCTATCCCATTTGCCATCTTGCTCACCATTCTCTTTTGGTTTGATCACAATGGTAAGTTGCACTCGTTGGCACAGGCCTTTGAAGAGTCTCGCATCTAATATCTTTACAGTTTCATCCCTGATTGCGCAGGGAACCGAGTTTCCCCTCCGTAAACCCGCCGGCTTCCACTGGGACCTCTTCCTCCTCGGTCTCACCACGGGCGTGGCCGGGTTACTGGGCCTCCCCTTTCCCAACGGCCTGATCCCGCAAGCGCCCTTTCACACGGAGTCGCTCTGCGTCACCGTCGCCGTGACCGACACGGACGAGGCGGGCGAGGAAAAGGGCCACTACTCGTACAAGCCGACGCACGTGGTGGAGCAGCGCGTCTCGAACCTCGCCCAGGGCCTGCTGACGCTGGGCACCATGAGCGGGCCCCTGCTCGTGGTGCTGCACCTGATCCCGCAGGCCGTGCTCGCGGGCCTCTTCTTCATCATGGGCTACCAGGCCCTCGAGGGCAACGGCATCACGGCCAAGATCCTGTTCCTGTGCCGTGACAAGGCCCTCACCCCGCCCTCGCACCCGCTCCGCCGCATCCGCCGCCGCGCCGCCGTCTGGTGGTTCGTCGCCCTCGAGCTCGTCGGCTTTGGCGCCACCTTTGCCATAACCCAGACCGTGGCCGCCATTGGCTTTCCCGTCTTTATCCTGGCCTTGATCCCCGTCCGCGCCCTCCTGCTGCCTCGGCTCTTTACCCCCGAGGAGCTCGGTTTGCTCGACGGGCCCACGGCCAGTCCGTTTACCCTCGAGAGTGTCGGCGGCTCGTACGGACACTCTGAGCATCAGCAGCCGCAGGACGAGGGCGTCACGTCGTCGTCGTCGGACGGGACGGGACGGGCTCGAGCCGGCGAGGCTGTTTTCGGCAGTCGCAAGAGCGCCGAGGACAGGGCGGAGCGTGGGCGCGCTGGCCCAGAGACCAGTAGAGAGAAGAGTAATGATGTGGAAATGGCCCGGGTCCCCACCAACACAAGCACTGTGAGTCGAAGAACTCAACCGGGTAGGAGTGGAGGAGAGTAATATAAATCGCGTTCATTTGATCCCCCGAGTATGGGGCCGAGGTGTTGCTCATGCAACATTTATTAGAGAGATATAGAACGGCCTTTTCTTCTTCTGAAAAAGGCAAAATCATGAGAGACAGATTCCCTGATCCATCTAGGCATACGTTTAATTAGCGGATACCATTTCAATTGACCTTATTTTTCATTTCAATGGCGGCTATAGAAAACACTTGCAAAGTTATTCCCCGTTTCAAGGGCAATGCGCTGTTGGTCATGTTGCAGAGTGATGCGAGAACAGGCAGGTTCATACAGCACTCGATATTCCTTGACCCCATCATGGTGTCAATCCGTCAAAGCCTAATGGACCGACCAAGTAAAATCCCCGGGCGAGCTTCTAGAACGCGTCAGGGGTGGGAATGCGGAAACTAGCCTCTCTTTCTTCTTCCTCCTGATGGAACTCTTTCCACTCATCTTCCGTCACGTGAAGCCACTGGGATATGATACTAAAGGTAGCCCAGATCTCACCGGAAATCATAAGTCTGACAATCTCGAGTCCGAGGATGTTGCCTACAGTCCGCCAACAAAGTCCATCCAGCAGGCTGACTTGGTACATTGCATCAAGAACAAGGCCACGTCGCTCAGCAAATGATCGTGCTGCCCATCGTATAGCCATTGTATCAAAGGGAGTACAGATGGTATACGTGATAAAGTTTGTCACAATGTCGGTCGCCAGGATGGCTGGAAGGCTCGTAAGGGGATTGACCGTGTAAACAGGTTGGTGAGCAGGCTGCTGTCCACCTTCCCCTCCAAAGCTCGGGCGTAGTTCCGCCGACCATACGCCGGCAGGCTGTTCATTAGACTCGCTTGTGTCGACGTCAAAGCTGATCAAAGTTGGATTCACCATTTCAGCATCCTCCTCGTCCGTGCCGTAATCTTGCTCGCCGCCTCGGCTCGAAAAGGTGCTCTGCCTCCTGACCGCACCTAGAGCAATGCCATTATCGGCAGCGGAGGCTTGTCCTTCCAGGGCTTGCAAAGTGGGTACGTCCTGCTCAGGACTCCGACCGTGGCGGATTTCCCTATCGGCAGCGCCAAGGGTCGGCGATTCGCCTGCAGTCTGCCATCCGTCTTCGGGTAAGGGTGTCCTCGGCTCAATCGACGTACGAGGTATCAAGTGTTCGTTCCTAGCCGGTCTGGGTAGTCGTGCGTGAATATGCGGCCAGATGCCGATATGGATCCAGTTCCAGACTCTGCCACAAAGATAAAAGGCAGCATAGGGGGCTACGTTCACCACCAAACGGTTGACCCAAGTTCCAACGGCTGCTGGACCAATTATGCCAATGGCTGGCGGAGCTGGTATGGGTGAAGCGTCCGTAAAGGGGATGAAAAATTTCAATCCGGGGAACCAGCTCGAGCTCGAGATGAGACCTAATCTCTGCATGGTCAAGAAAAGGTGCAGATGGAACTGGCACCATGACAACCCAAATCTCAACCTTTGGTTCTGGTTAGAGCCAAGATCTTCAGTAATGATAACACCATGAGAACGTACCAGCGTCTTTCAATTACCCAATCTATGGACAACCGCGAATAGTGTAATCCCTGCATTACAATGAAAGGAGGCAAACCAGTCAGTAGTAACCGACTGAGCGTGTGCTGTTCGCGCTCATACTGCATAAGCTGCAGAAATTGTACATTTGAATATGGTTTGTACAGCTGGGGGAAGGGGGTTATGGAGTCAGCAAGTCTTGTGGTGAATTGGTGAAGAATATTTTCCCAAGTCGAGGCATACCATGATTCTTTGGCGCACGCCGTGGACACCCCAGATACCGAAAATACCAAGGGTCCTACCAAGGTTGAGCAGAGTGTGGCCGGTTTCCGTCTCATATATCTGGTGTTCACGAGCCATGATCATTTCTTCGGTCTCGGCCGTGGAGTCGGGCTCGGCCACGCCAATGACCTCCATCACCTCATTGTGGGCGCGAATGACATCCTTGATCCTTTGCTTCGTCTCTGGGTTGATGATGCGGCCCTTTTCGTCGTACTGGCGTGGGGGCTCGTGAGGATCATCCTCGCCGGTACCTTCCACGACGTCGTCGTAGGGCGAACGGCCCTTTTGGGGGATCAGGTCAATCGTGGTGTTTTGGACAGAGAAGATAGGAGATGGACAATATTTACCAATGCCATGGAGGTCAAGGGTCCTAGCCTGCCCATTTTGACAAGGATCTTTCAGTCCCAAGTATCTGAGCATGAAGCGTCGTGCGATGATGTATTATTGTTTGCAGATTTGCAGAATTGTTGATTGGCCGCAGCCGCTCAAGTCATTTTTGAAGCTGAAGCCTAAGAGTGCTTTCATGGAGCTGAGCAGTCATCAAGCAATCAAGCAGAAACCAAAGTCCTCAGTAAAGGTGCATAATTTGGACAAACTTGCAGGTGGATTTGGCACTTGACCTGCACAAGTGGTTCGAGGCGTGTCCGGGCGGCGCCTGCGCAAAAGGGTCAGTCAATCCAATCTGGTCGAGAACCGCGCAGGTTCAAGTTGGCAGCTACGGCAAGCTACGTAGGTACTTTAGTGGGGCCCAGAAACTGCATGTGGCCCCCGACCAGCATCAGTCCATTTGATGCGCCGGGCGCTTTCAAGATCACGTGATGCTCCTCCCCCCTACTTTCTAGCACCGTGTTTCCGAATTCAACCATGAGCGAAATCCGTAATCACTCTAGAACTCGAGTTCAGCTCACACCATGAAATGATATTGGCATCCATAATCCAATTCTTCAAGATAAATCTTGCAAGTGTATTTGATGTCTGTTCAGATTGGGTATGGAGCTACTCTGTCTGCTCTAGAATGCTTTGATAGGGAATGAAGAAGCATAGAAGATGACAGCGACAGAAAGGTATTGTCATTCGTTTAGCTTTTCCATTAGAGATATAATTTATCCTCCAGACAGGTTACTATCTCGATAAAAAGGGGCCAAGCATAATTTACTTGTGTTCACCACAATTTCTCTACAGGCGCTGGAATGTCAGGAGAATTGCACCGATTGGATGATTGTGAAATTCTCTTCCGTGTTTACGTGGTAACTCAACTTGATCAATGCTGACCCCAGATCATTTCTCAACTGCACATGTACTGAAGCTGTAATAATTGCGTATGGCTTTTTAAATTGCTATATAACGATCTGAATGGACCACCGGTAAGTCTTCACGTCTTCTCTCGGTTGCAGCTAAGATTCATAATCCTCGTTGGAGTCAGAGTTGTCCTCGGAATTGTAGCATGCAAAGTCGCCCAAGTTGACAGTATTACACGTCGCGTCACGGATCGCGTATGCCACACAAGCACGATTGTCCTCACCCGCGGCCCACGACATCATCCAGAAATTCATGTCAATCCCGTACATGTCAATGTCTTCACCCGCTAAAAGTGAACAAATATGTCAGCGTCTTTCCCCGATCGAGTAGGAATTTCAGGCAAGCGGTCCACATATCACAGATTGTGCAATTGTTTCCCAGGCCTAGCTGTGGGTTGTCTTAAATACATGGAAATGGGGAAAAAGAAAAAGTGTAATAAAGGGCTTTTTGGTACTTACTGTCATAGTTGTATCCGTAGGCCTTGGTGTGGTCGTTGTCGGTACCGCAGTTCTTGACCGGGACTTCACTGCCCGACAAGCCGCAGCGACCGTGAATGTTTGCCGCGATGCCGTCGCACCACCCCGCCTGCCGCTGACCGGTGCCGCTGATCTGGACCACATAGTTGAGGTGGTTGTTGCTGTTGGTGTTGTCCCACTTGTAGTAGCAGTTCACGTTGGCAAAGGGCATGGAATCCGCGGCAATCTGGCAGTCTTGGGCAATGGCAAAGGATACGGGCGCCGTCCCGTTGGCAAAAGTCGTCGCGTTTTGGCTTGAAGAGGTTGTGTTTGTGGTATATGGGCTGGAGGCGTTCCCATAGCTCGCCGTCACCGGTTGGAGGACCGCGGCAAGCAGTCCTACGACGAAGCCAACTGAGCTGCGCATGTTGACAAGGCAATAGATGTGAAATGGGTCAGGTAAAATGAATGAAGATTTGCACACTGAGTCGGAACCAAGAAAGCTCGTAGGACTTGAGAGAAGAGTATACGAAGGTCCAATTGTACAAAAAGACCAGATACATGAAAACAACGATGCCGTTAATAGGAGTTTCTATTGCACCGGGACTAGTTCCCGAATGTTGCCTGGGAAAGAATCTCACCGTCTTTCATAACAGGAGGCCCTGTGGAGATTGTCAGCCCTATCAGACTTTTATAGTAGATGGGCCGATTTTCTTTTTCAGTCGAGATGAATGACCTTGGATGACAAGGTATGCCCAGAAAGTCTAGTTTCAACGGGTCAAATCCGCTAATGGCCTTATTTAGTCTGATCTTCGCCTTGATTAGTCAAAACTGCCTAACGGCTATTCCGAATATATGCACGGATATCATGGCTTGAGAACGGCTGAGGTCTACACTACAGGAATCGCGCCATTGTGGGGTATTCGGCAGGACCCTAGAACATTAAGCTTAAGATTTACTTTCTTTAACAGGACTGACAAAAAATGCCGCTGCAAGGGTAGGTTACTGAAGTAGAGCCACCGTATATCCACAAGTATCTTTCAGCTGACCATAGAGACATTTCCATTTATTCTTCTAGTTACATGGCTGTATAGGCTCTGGCCGCCCATTGCCTTGTGCTCTCCTCCAGTGTTTCATCATTCTGAAGCTCGCCGAATCGAGACTTCCAGAACTTCCAACGGTCTAGATTATACGTGTCTTCACCCTTGTAAAACTCGTCGGGGACCTGGTAGGGCCTGCGGCTGATTCTGTCCGCGCCCAGGTCCTTGTTCAGCCGACAACGCTCGTGGAACTTCCGGCCAGCGTTGACAATCCACACTGCAGCGGCGGGAACGACCTGGTTCAGAGAAACATGTTTCGGGGTGATTTCCAGAGCGGTGCGCAGCATCCCCAATCCGTGTTGGGGATGCGGGCTGAAGAACGAATAGCCTTCGACGTCCTCGCAAGCGACCGGGAGTGGCTGGTCATTATACCACAGAGACTGGAAGCTATTCACGCTCGCCCATTCGCCGGCCGTGTACAGGTCCTTGGGATCATCCACTACACAGTCGTAAAGGCCTCTCCAGCTGTTCAACTCATTCAATTGCCCAAAGAATCGTGGGAGGCAGAACCAAAAGTCTGAATCCTCGCCACGAGGAGCGGGACGCTTCTGAATCGCGTACAAAAGTTGAATAAGCCTCTTGAGCAATGGGTGGAGGGCCGGAATCTCCAGAATTTTGCTAACCCAAATCCAACCGAGATCCCAGCAGTAGACCTCGAGTGTCTTTTGACTCCACTGACTAGCATCGGTCAGGGTAGCTGCGGTATCATCTGCTGTGCAAGATGTATCTCGAAGGAAATTGTTGACGCATTGGTACACCGGCAGTAATTCGGCGTAGAGTTCATGGCTTGGATCCCCCTCTCCAAGCTGTACTTCGGCCATTGTGTGTTGGTTTGCGCGTTGGTAGTAAGTGAACTTAATCGACAGTGGGCCGTGAAGGAGCCTGGTGCCTCACGCCGTGGTGGTTTGTGTGGATGGTAGTATAAGCGCCACAGCCCGATCAAAAAGAGAACTGCGGTAAAAAACGGATTGGTGTTGTTGGTAGCCAGGATAACCAAGACGAGAATGAAGAAATTTATCCCTCGTAGATCAATTGAGTCTGAAGCACGGGGCAATTCTGTAATTATTAAGGATTGTTCCACTCGTAGATGGATGGTTCAAGAAAAACGCCGGCACAAGCCTAGGTAGGTAGTCATGTGGAGCCGCACTACCAAAAGCAAGGCGAGTCGACTCACTCGGGCAAAGGGAAATCTTGTTAGTGCGTGATGCTATACTATACTCACAAGGCTACCCTTAGTTGTTGCCAGAAGTGGGCCGGCAGATCAACTTTGGGCATCTGTACTTGGACTAAAGTCGTTTGATAAACGGGCCACGAGAGAAACAGCCAAGTATATTCAGAATAAACGTGTCGCATAATGTACTTCCTGATATCTTAAAACTTACCTAAAATAGAAACAATAACTCACTGTGGAATCTGATCATGTGTATATTGATGACTTGGTAATGCCTAGGTACCCCTGGCTACACTGGATCTGGTGAGTGCGGTGCAGCCGGCACTATCGTACCTTTTACTCGACAGTGATGCATATATCTCGCCATTTTCAGTGTTTTATGTCTTGGACGAGTTCCCATGCCCAGAAAGAACCATCTCAATTTGTCCAGAAAGAATGAAGTTCAACAAGTTATTGTTGCCCTTGGTGGCATTGGCAGCAGCTTTGCCGATACATTACACCCTCCTATCGCGGTCCCCCGAGACCTCCACTGTATCTAGTCATACTCACTCGGTTGTGAGAGACTGGATCGTTGATGCAAAAAATCACTTGCACGATGCCCTTGCCACCACCCCTGTAACGAGTCTTTCCAAGCGAACGAATCCCTTGCCAAATGGCATGGTCGTGTGCAACGAGTCTTGGGACCGTTTTAGGTGGTATTCACGCCAGGACATACAACGCGCAGTGGACGAAGGACATAGGCGGCGGGTGGCAGGAGAAATGACGGCGGGCTGGAGATCGGGCGCCAGAGGATATCCCCATCGGTACTACGATGACAATACTTTTGTCAGCAGTGTGAATGCCGGAGAAGCAGACACTTCCATATTCTACGAATACCCAATCCTGCCCGATGCTACCTACACTGAGGGCCGCCCCGGTCTGGATAGAGTCATTTTCGACAGGAATGGGAACTTTATCACAATCATCGCGCACGAGACACGCCAAAATGCCAACGACTTTCGTGTTGGCTTTGAAGCAGGACCAAATGATTGGAATCAGATCGAGCTGCAGAATACAAATGGGATCGGCAGCTGGCAGTAAGTACCTAGCCTCTAGATCAACTATGATATACTTGGATGGCTAATCTTTCATCTATAGGAGATGGCTGAGCAACCATGCTGCCCGGGGAGGTTTGCAGTTTGTGATTGGATATGCCTTCGCAGACAAGGCCGTGCAATTCTGGCCTAGGGGAAATTAATATGGTGGCGTAACATATATCGTCATTGCTCTTGTCGCACTTGGTCATTGAGTTGCAATTGGGCCCTACTTTACCAGTCTTGCTCTCCTTCTGTACAATTGTAGGCAATCTTGTAGAGTGATCACTCTGGAGGATCATATATGTTGGGGAACTATGGATGTGGGCAGGAGGACCGAACAAGTTGACCATACTACCGCATTTGACGCGAAGGACAACCAATGATTACCTACACATCTTTCTTGCTCAATGCTTCCTTGTGAAACCAGCATTTAATAAATTATTGGCAACCCATATATACAGTATCATGATGTTGACTTCAACAATACGCGTTGATGGGACCAACGCTATGCCAGTATCTCAGATTTCGCGTGAATCTGGTCCATGAGAAACAACTTCTCCGGAACCTCCTTCCGTGGGAATACTCGATATCGAGGTCAGAAAGCGAAGCCACTGAGGATGTAGTGGTGTCTCAAATCGACATAGTAATGCAACAATCTGATCGCGTGTTAATGGTCCAGGGACAGATCCCGTCAAGCTTTTGAAGGACACTTGAAGTCATCTTAGCCACGAGATTCGTCTTCAATGATAATCAAGGAAAATTGATTCTGCTTACATAAAAGCAACTTGGGCAGCATCCAAACTGCAGCAAATTGTTCAAGCAGGAGCAGAAGCACAGCTGACCCATGAGAGTGACTTTGGCCACTCATTTCAACATCTAGAACCCCGGCCTTGCCATGGAGATCGAGGAATGCTAGGGCCGTGAAGAGCACAAAGCAAACCCCCGGGTCCACATGGAGCACAAAGGCCCTGTCCCATTGCTCGGCCACTCCTACAACGTCTTGGCAGGATTCGAGAATCATCTGCCAGCTCAACAGCCATTCCTCATCAGAAGAGGTCGGGATAGCGCAAGATATGATTGAGCCCAACAAGCGGCACATTAGCAAGTGAAGGTTCGTGACCATGCGAGCGTGGTGGGCGGATCTTGTTTCGCCCTCGAAAGCATTTCGCCCATGATTGGTGTGATTTGCAGGCAGTGCTAGCTGCAGAGTTGACAGGCATTTCTTTGCTTCTACAATCTGGCTGCTCATTTCTTGGGTAGGCCCAATATCGCGAAGCTGTAAAATCCGACCGAATTGTCGCGTGGCCGTAGATGTAATCATGTGGCAATTGAAAATCGATGCGCTTGATGGCGAGGAGGTAATTGAAGACATGACCGTCCACAGAGATTCGGGACGCGGGGGTAGGAATTGTTCGGCACTACTATACTTGGACGGGAGACAAGTCTTGATACGGCCCTCATCAATGAGATAAGGCGTTCCCGATGCGATATTGGCATAGGTGTCTAGCCGATAGATACACCACCAGACCAGCCGCCAGCAGTCAATGTTCTCGTGAGTTCCCGCTGAAGCTGACTTTTCCGAGTCGAGGCGATCTAGTCCTTCCCAGTATGCTGACCGCGTGAGCTGGGTGATTCTCGTCCAGGCTTGTCGTCCGGGAAACTGGTGAAACTCGTAAAATGCTAGGATGCAACCAAGACGGAACTGGCTGAGGGATTCAGCATCATGATCAGAGCTTTCTTCAAAAAGTCTACGGGTGAGCAGGATATCAATTTGTCCATCCACATCAACATCCCCGGATGAGAATTTGTACTCCGTGACCTTGGCAGTGATCAAGACTACTGCCAAAAGTAGCTCATCACTTAGCTCCGGACTTTGGCCAGTCAATGTTTGGTCAAATAAGGGAATGGCTTGATCAATCGTGCTGAGATACTTGTTCAACCTTGGAAAACGACGGTTAGTACTAAGTCTGTGATCGGTCTGGGACTGGTTTGAGGTGCTGTACAAAAGCTCTCTCTCGAATGGGTATATATGTACGCCAGTCAACCCCCTAGAATCGTGAGAATTTTCCGTCCTAGGTGTGCATGGTGAAAGAGAATTCCCGGAAGTGAATGCTCCCAGATTAGGTAGTGAACATTCAATTGTCGCGGGAGAGTCGGTAACATTAGGCGAAGCTTGAAGATTGTCAGCTTGATTCAGCAGATGAGAGTCTGATTGCGCACACAAGTTGGAGGAGCTCTCAAAGACGGGACGCTGGCTTGTTTCGCCAGCAGCTGACCTGTCTATTCGACGGCCCGCACGAGGTGTGCCTCGGGGAGGACCGGGCTTGCGTTTTATGGAAGTATATATGCAGTTGTGTCCGTGGCGGGCACAAGATGAACATACGGGCTTCGCAAGGTCACCTACAGCAGTCGCCAGACGATTAGTAACCAGCTACGTGAGGGCGCAAGACATGGCAGCTTTGGTTGCCGCGGAATGTCCATGTATTGCATACATTTCACCTTGCGTCTGTGACGACAATCGTCAGCTTCTACGTTACAGACATGCGGAATTAATCACAGTACACAAACCAGTCGTACCGGATGCATTGGTCGCAGACTCGTCTCTGCAGGGGGCCTTGTGCATTCTCCGCCCTCGAACGCAACTCGTGAGACATTGCGAGCAGCAATTAGATCGTGTGAAAGGGGTCTGGTTGCATTTGTAAAGACAAGCCTGGACGGCTGTAATTGTCGGCACAATGTCCGATTCGTTGCGCAGTGCAGGTATCATGCAACTGATTGCTTCCCTGCAGGCTGTAGATTGCTGGTGAGTTCCGACTGGTAATCGCGGGTGCCTTGTCTGCCGGAGGAACTTCAGCTTGGGGGGCTGATGTTTTAAGGTTAGTGGAGTCCGTCCTCTGTAGTTCTTCCGAGCCGGGGCAACTAACTCCCTAACCAGGTCGGAGGAACTAAGAAGTGGGTTCAACTTTGGGCAACCTTTTTGCCAGGCGTCCACAGCACAGTGTCGCCCTGTAATCATTTCAAAGCATTCTGGTTCGAAGTGTCAAAGAACTTTTCAATGACATCTGATCCGAGAACAGACAATTAAGTGTTGAAATGATAGAAAACCCCAACCTTCAAAGTATATACTAAATGCTGAACTCATAATTGCAGGTAAACTATACACAAGCTCTAAGTTTCATACATTACCTTCTGGATCTGGATCTATTTGGCGAGGACATGAGTACTATTATTGGTGTGTATACATGAAATTTCTAAACTGTTTGGTTATTGTTCATGTGAGCGTCCATTTTGGCGTTCCTTTTCTCCTTGTTGATAAAAGAGCTGCCAATGGAAAGTGACGAGGTTGGGAGGCAAGGGGTAGATGAGTGAACACAGGTATCTGTATGTGCGGCTACCGTACTAGACTACGTAGGTAAGAATGGAGAGCATCTGTCTCGGCTCTCTGAAAATAGCAATGCAACAGACGAGATCGCCTACTTGCTCGAAGTTCTAAAAGCCCTTCTCCACCAGCTCCCTGAACTCGCTTTGCGCTTGTTGTCATTCGTCTGTTGCGCAGATGCAGGTGAGAGAGTGGGTGTATTTGAAGCCGAATGGCCTGGTAAAGGTGGCGTTGAGGAAGGCGTGACGGATGGAAACGATACAGATCGGATCGGCAATTGAGTGCTCGTTCGAGAGAGTGGCTCCTCACTTTCAAAAGAGACCGATGGATCCGGCATAGACGGACGCCTATGCGGTCCAAATGCGAGTCTGATTTGGTGCTCTATCTCCGGATCGGCATCCTGAGTTTGATAGCCTGCTCGGTTGAGTCGTAGTAAAACCTCCGCGTCTGAGATGAACTCTTCCCACGTTCTGCGCCCTACTGGGAGAATGTTGGGATCTGCATCCATGCTGAGAAGGAGGTCTATTACAGGAAGCATGCGTCTCTTTACAGCGTAGTAGAGCGCCGTCCTTCTTCCGGAATCTGTGCCGTTAATATCATGACCCAATGTCAAGAATAGTTTGATCATTGGAATGTTGCCCGTGCCATTGGTAACGGCTCGTCGCAATCCTGTCACTGCCCTGCAACAGCGTGACTTGCTAAAAGCCAAGTTACCCGTTGCTCGCGCTTTCTGGGAGCGGCTGATGGGTCCAAAATCTAACCATTCTTCCGCAGTAAGGCCACTCTCATCGAACAAGGTCTGGGGTTCTGCAATGATAGACCTGTCAAGTAAGAGATGGATAGTATCCGTGTCTCGACTATGGATGGCCAAATGGAGAGCAGACCAACCATGGTTATCCTGCTGCGAGGCACTGGATCTAATGCCGTCGTATTGTAGGAGGGACTGGACAACGCGAGAGTGGCCCATAAAGGCTGCGTGATGCAGTGCAGTCCACCCGTGACATGTCGACTTGAGCGGGTCGGCTCCTGATTGAAGGAGGAGATTCACAATGGAATCATGTCCTCCGTTTGCGGCGCAGTGCAATGGTGATGTGCCATAGGAGCTAACAGCATTGACATTGGCTCCTTTGTTCAATAATAAACCCACAATGTTTAAATGGCCTTCTTCTGCTGCCCAGTGTATGGCAGACCAACCATCACGATCACGATCGTTTGGATTTGCACCAGAATCGAGGATGGCTCTTACAATAATATGGTTGCCAAAAGCTGATGCTTCCCCCAAAGGCAGCAACGACACACTTTGGATCTGAGAAGTCCTGGCGCTGAAACCATGGCCCAAGAGCAAAAGGGTCATCCCATCATACCCCAGACCGGCGGCCCAAGCGAGAGCAGACTTCCCATCTGCGCTGAATGAGTTGACATTGGCGCCCAAAATTAACAGCTTTTCAGTGACGCCTACTTGTCCAGCGACCACAGCCCAAAGAAATGGAGAAAACCCGAAGTTGTCAGTGGTACCTGTGTCTGCACCATGGCTGACTAAAATGTTTATGGTCTCGATGAGGCCTCTTTCTGCTGCGTAATGCAGGGCTGTTTGGCGGTTTTCATCACCTAAATTTACGAGGTCTTTGCCGCCGGCGCTCAGGAGCAAGTCCATTATAGCTTGGTCATGGGACTTTTTCATGACAGCGACATGCAACGCTGTCCTGCCGGCACTGTCTCGGTTGCTCAAGCTGGCACCCTCACGGACCAAGGACTCAACCAAGGGCAGATTGCCATCGTGCACGGCAAAGTGAAGCTTCGTCATCTCCGAGCTGCCTTCATCGTCGTGACTCATACTGCTATCTGAAGCCATAGTAGCGTCGTCCGAGAAGTCTAGGTCTTCGTCGCCTAGCAGGCTGTCCATGGAGTCACGTGTAATTCCAAGTCCCGGCCCATCATCATCCACTTGGTCACTCTTGAAGTCGTCCGTATCTTCATCGCCATCCCCGGGAAGCTTCTGCAGTGTAAGCAGTGCGATTTCTTTCATGTGAGCGGCCACGTGCACCTGAAGAGCATCGCTCGAGAAGACGGTACTGTATTCAGTATTTTCTGAGGACTGGAAATCGTCGCCGAATGGACACTCCAGTATCTTTTCATGGGTTCGTCTTCGGGCAGCACTGCTGAGAGTCCTAGCGTACGCCTCTGGCACGCCGTGCTCCTGAATAGAATGTTCCTGGTAGTGAGTCTCTTGATCAAAGACCATTGGGTCGTGTGAAGGAGCCCTGCACTCCCACGTATGTCCGTGAGCAGTCTGCATATGGCTCGACCAAGCTTTTGACGTTTCGAATGTGAGCGGACTGGTACCGTTCTGACTTTCTACCAAGCATTGTGAAAAAACACAAATGAATGGCTCCAGGTCTCCAATGACATGATTTCTAGTATATGTTAGCCGGCATATCCCCACAAAAAGATAACACCGATCTGCTTACTGCCACAGCAATGGCCTTTTGGTGTTGTTGAACTCGACAATGACGCCGCAGTATGGACACTGTTTTGTTGGAGGCATAGGAGGGAACGATAAATTATTGTTCACGAGAGCAGATTTCGCCCGCGGAACCTCAGTTGTGGATTTGGCATAAAAGGCTTGCACAGCAGTTTGTCGGGCAGTGGTTGCATTCGTTGCTGGAACCGGCGCAGGCCGCAACATTTTGCTGGTGGTCGTAGACTTTGGCACCGCGGGGCCCGGAGCAAAACGAACAGTCGGTGCAGCTGGCGTCATCTTGGGGAGTTGAACCACGGCCGGCGTAGATTGCGGGGTCTGAATGCTCAACTCGATGCGCCTCCGATGGGAACGCTGATAATGAAGCCGTCGGAGTCGCAGCGCATTGGCTTCTACCAATGCCAGGCGAAGCGCATCCGGTGCCTCAGGAAATCGGAAACGAATATAGCATTCAGTGTAGATACGAAGCTCGGCTATGGCATCGTTTGATTCCTTGTCGCCTTGGTATCTTTCAATCTTGCGGGCTCGGTTGGCTTTGGCCGACTTGCGCACAGCGTTGGACAGACGAAAGAGCCGGGTCAATGTCCCGCCAATTGTCTCGGTAATCTTCAAAATGTTTCCTTCTGCTGAGTCGACGTCACTGTCCGAATCGCTTGCATCATCGTCGCCCCTCCTCATTACTTCGGAGTCTCCATGTGCGGAAATGCGTTGTCTCTTCCTGCTTGTAGTTTGTGGCGGTGGGCGGTGGTCAATTGGCTTTACTGTGGTCGATATACTCGTATTAGCCTTCACGTTCAATCTCCCCGAATTTGACACAGAAAATACTTACAAGACGTCAAGGTATCACAAATAATATCAAGGAGCTGATGTATGATTTCCGCAGCCGTGGGGCTGAATCGGAGTCGGTAGTCCAGCGAAACATTGAGTGGCCCGTAGACATCCATGTTTGATGCCCACAGAGAAAAGCGTGCCAGCTGGTCATCCATGATGGTAGGATCTGGCACGATTTCTGGCCTGACCATGTACTTGTGAAATAGCGACTGGCATCGTGTTGCGTGTTCTGCGATGGTTTGGCTGAGATCATCTTGGAGGAAGACATCGTCCATCGACTCGTCTCGCGCGCGATCGAGACTTTCCATGGAGACAGAGAGAGAAAGCAGGTGCGATACGGCGGTCGGCAGGTCCAGTGCTTCTGAACGAGGGCCAAGATCCAGGAAGCCGTTCCTAGTTTCTTCGTGTCGACACAGCGTTCTAAAGTCTATGATAACTGTCGCGCGAACTTCAAAAGTATCGGGTAATGTCAAGACGCCCTGTGTCTTGGATTGCCGAATCGCGGGTTTATGCCCAGCCTCAACCTTCTCACCAGTACTTAGTAGGGTTCAAGTACGGGGGTATATGAGGTGAGATATGGGTATAAAATGTGCTAACCGCTAGCGATCGGCGGCTGCACTAGGCTAGTTCCCAGTAGCTTCGTTGGCACCCGGGGCCTGGCGCTTGGCTAGTAGGTACTTTGGGAGTCCCTGCAATATTTTCTATCTGGACACCAGCCGTGGGCGTTGATCATGGTGTTGCACCACACCCACTCGGGTGCATGGAATCCATTCATGCACTGCATATGTAGTATCAGACAGTTGGGAATCCTAAAGTCCTAGATTAGATCAATTGGGACCGCCTGCCGCAATCCGGGTGCCCTAACCAAATGCCAATGGGCGCAGCCTCGTCTCTGCGGTCTGCTTTCTTGGCCATGTTTCGTAACAAGTTCTCACAGAATTGAGGCATGTATTACAAGCTCTCTTCTTTTAGAAAATAATCATTCGTCAACCATTTCTCTCGTTTATTGAAAAAAAAAAAAATCCAGACGCCCCAAGCCATGTCTTTTACAAAGCTGTATTTCCTCTGCCCGACATCTGATTTTATACATCCACCACCAACGGGCCCGCTTTGTCTTGGATCTATAATCCGCTCCACTTCCGCACCACAATTCCCTCTGAATAGAGGGAACGTCGTCGCCGTGGCTGATGCATATCCACCCGTCGTGGAAACGGACTGGAAAAAGACCATTTCCACCGAAAACAGCTTCGGGTTTGGTGTTTATGCACAGTTTCTGCAACTGGCCACCGCTGGACTGCCCCTGGGTTCCGAGCTGAACATTGATCATGCCAACAAGACGGCGAGTGTCTTCGCCTTTGACGCCATGACGACGTTGGCCTTTGAGCCAACGCAAGAATACGTAGAACAGGCCGTCAAGGTCCCGGCCGTGCAGGCGTGGCTGAGGGAACCCAAACAAAAGTTTGCACCCTCCAGCTCGCTCTTTCTTGTCACGGGTATCAAGCTTGTCCAAGGCGCCAAGATCAAATACTCAACTTCGCGCAGCACGGCAGTCAATGGGAATCTTGGTATTGATGTGCCTTCATTTGGTATAACCTTGGGACCCAAAGGCCACTGGACCAGAGCAAATGACGACGCGACCGAGTCCAATCGCGAGTCGGAATTCGTATTTGCATTCCGCGTGAAGAGGCTTAAGTTTGGGCGAAGACTGAAGCTTGAAGAGTATAACAAGGGCGCGTTCATGGGCGTTGGTGGAGAGGGAGAAGATGACGAATGTGTTTTGATTGAGGACGTGGATGGGGCTGATATCAAGACTGCTCGGGCCGTTTCTGATGTGACTGAGAACGGCAATGTCTATTGCGCCCGCCCTTGATCGTATTCAATGTATCTTGAAATACGACCGAGACAACATTTAAGCATTTCTGATTAGATATCGAGCCAACTCATTCCTAGGATTCTATTTATACATTTTCCTTTGCATATCCTTGAGCTTCTCATACACACGCTCCCTTGACAAACCCCCCTCGAAAAGTGTATGAGGCGTGATGTAGTCGTAGCCTGCCCGCCTCTTTTGAACCATACTGTTGAATACCAATTCCATTGAATGAATATCTTTCATCCACGGTCCCAGCCTGTCGGCTTCCGCAATGACGTGGCCGGCTTGCTCGTCCTGCTGTCGGGCAAAAGAAAGAACTGATGCGGCCAGTCCAGCAGCAATCGGTGTCGCGACCGATGTTCCCGACATAATATTGACAGGTTGACCGTCGCCGTTCTTACCCGTTGGCCAGTGAGACGAGACATTTTCTCCAAGTAAGCTAAAGTTGAAGTCTTTGTCATGCGCTGTCGGGTTGAAGGAGGAAGGGTTGCCATTTCCATCGGTTGAGTGTATACAAAAGACGAGGGGATAATCAGCTGGAAATGCTCTGCCCGAATTTCCTCCATCATTTGATGCCGCAGCGAATAACAGTGTCTCATGCTTCAGAGCATTAGATATGGCTGTTGTCAAAGGCTGATTGTATTCGCGAATCCCGAATGACATTGATATTATGTCCACTTTCCATTCAGAGACTGCGTAATTGATGGCCTAGAGAAAGCAGGACAAATTAGCTCGGTCCGAAAGGTCTGCTGCGGCATACATAATCACCCTTGCAATGTCATTGTATGTGTTGGGATCCAAAGTCTCCCGCCGTGCAATTCTGGCAACATAGATCTCAGCACATGATGCAACTTGCAGTAAGAGACCCAGGGCATGAGTGCCGTGCCCGATCTCGTCTTGAGTGTCATGTGGCTCTGTCCCATTCACAAAACTTCGCGCATCCTTGATTCGTGGGTCAAGTCCACGATCTTCCCTTAGGAGTGGATTTTGAGGGTCAAATCCGGAGTCCAAAATGGCTATTCGCACCGGTTTGGCCCCAGGTTCCAGTTGATCAAAAGGGACAACGTGGCGATAAACCGAAGACACAAGGCTTTCCATCCATTGTTTCGAAAGTGGGCTCCTAGAACATCATCAGTAAGCAACCTCTTAGGAACTTTTTTTTTTTTTTTTTTTTTAAAAGACCTTACTCTTGTGCAGGACCCGTCTGGTGGCTTGCATCAAAAAAGTACAAGCTGTTTTCTGAAGGCTCAGCGACGTGTGAATGAATGTGCAATCCCGAAGATGGTTCTGCCGACATCCGTAATACCACATCTGAGTTGAGGGACGTGTAGCTCACTGGCGCGGTGTCAGACATGGAACGCTGCGGATTTGCCCGTGCTCCGTTGCTTGCATCAGAGATGTCGGCTTTGCCTGTATGATAGCGGACGACTTCTCGGCCGAAATCGCCCCAGCAGAGTTCATTCTGTTTAGAATCGAACGAGCCCAGGTTTTCGAGTCGAATACTCCAGGATTTGAATATCTCGGCCTCGAGTCTTTTGACAACATTCTGATAGAAGAGCCGCTGGACGCTCACAGATTCAAAGTCGGCATGCTGTCCAGGGGGCAAGTACTCCCACTGCAGGCATGCCTTTGTAGCGAGATAGTAATCCACACCGGCATCATGTTCGAGAGTCTTGAGCATGTCGAGACTGGTATAGTAATCAGTGTTGACGTTCCTGGGCGCAGTCGCGTCTTTTTGCATCAGCTCCACTGGTGTGCAATAATGAAGCTCACACAGGAGTATGCCTAGCGCCAACACACTGGCGTTGGGATGAACCATGTGTTTAGAGGCTTGAGAACTGTCTCCATTGTTGGTACTACGGGCTGAGATGATTGGAATGTGCTCCAGAGCCAGGAAAGGTTTCGTAATGTTGGGGAGTTCTCCATCCTGGAGTGGCTCAAAGAACTGAATATTAGAGTGGTTGAAAGAAGGTTGCAGCCACGGTGTTTCCAGGAAAGGAAGCAAGGCTGTAGCCAGTGTAAGAGCCAATACTCGCTTCCCCTTGAGTGGCAGTGCAGATCGACCGCCGGGTAATTCTTGCTGACGGTTGAACAAAGCGGACAACGATACCGTCCGAGACACTCGATCACTGCCAAAGGTCTTTGGTTGTGGGCGAAGCCTCTGAAATATTCCACCTTCAAGAGCAAAATGCAAGCAATTCCGCTGATCGAGGGATTCTGTGATGCTTTGGCATATATGGGCAAACTCGGTTGGGCTGCTAAGTGTCGGCTCTGATAAGCTTCTCAATCTATGATCATGCATGCCTCTGCATCAAAAGTGTTAGCAAGTAGGAGTCATGCCACAAAGGTTCGAGAGCGCACTTGACCGTGATTTTTGCTTCTTGCAATGCAGTCGCGGGTAGGGACCGCACGCCAAAGAATACTTCAAAGCTCATATCCGCTCCTAAATCTTTCTTGCGCTCTGGCAGCGACAGTCTCACGCTCAACCCTGAGCACTTCTGGCAAACGCAAACCCAGTGTTTTCGCAACGCATTGTCCAAGGACACCAAGTGCCTCCTCATCGACACGGCAAAGTCGGCATCGGGGTCTTCAAGATTGGACGCAGTACTCGGCTCTTCACGAGGAGGCAAAACTCGGCGCTTCTTCGCATCTCTGTCCAAATGCGAAAGTTGTTGAATGACATCGTCGCTCTCTCGCCCCCGTTTGCTAACGCGAATGGCGACGCCTGAGTCCGCGCGCGGATCGTAGTTTGGCCGTGTAATCATGCGACGCACTGTCTGAAGCTTCGGATACGGCCCATCATGTTCAAAACCCTACTCAGTGACTTCGCGTTAGAGTCTTAGACTGTACTATGTTCAAATTTCAAGACGTTTTCAGATAGCGCGTCCCGTTTTGCAACATCGAAGAACGTCAAAGACTCGAGTTTGCAGGAGCACTTACGGAATCTGATTCTAGACCAGAGTCGGTTTGAACATAACCTTCAAGCGCGCGAAGCGTTTGCGCAATGCGCTCCGGGTCCATTTCGTCGAATTCATCGTGCTGCAGAAATGAGTCCGTTCGCAGCCAGGCTTCGCGCGTCCGCGATTTCAGTGATACCGGATGCACCGGCCTTTCTGGGCGCCTTCGACCAAAGAATCCAAGCATGGATTTCAACAAGCCTTGGGAATCAGCGTCGTCCATGATTGCGCATTAAAGCTGATAGACTTCGAAATTCCACTGGGGCGCGGGAAGACATCGTGCAATGAGCGGAAGCGTTCTGCATACATATTTACAGAAGTATCAAATCAGGCTGGGCTACATTCACACCCCAAACCTCAGGAAGTCTTGGGTCGCATGGTGTATCATCCTTTGCTGACCGTCAAAGCGGTGCAGCCTTCCCAGAACAGACGAACTGGTGGTGGCTTGCCCGGAAATAAGCAAAATTACGATCCGTCAGCTACCTTCGAATTTGCGGCACAGCACCAACCTCGGTCCTCCGACCCTCCATTTCAAGTCTGGCAGACAGTACAGATCCTTGTAAAAGCTGAGCCACCATCTCAAAAGTGGCAGCAGCATAAGGCTCTTGTATCTCTTGTCAAGCAAGCAGGTTTAGTGGTCTGCTGTCTTTGGGCTGAAGACGAGCGAATCGCCATTGTTCAAAATGCGCACCCCCAAATACCTGCACCAAAGCTGGGCAACCAGGGGGCAGGATCATCTGTCTCACCATCTGCTGGCGATTGGTCGCAGGGATGAATGTATGCATGCCCAGCCCTTCTGCGTTTGTCCAGCTAATGGGATCATTTACAGCGTCGTACACTCCAAATTGGAGAGGTGCAGGTACTACAAGGTACTGTACATGGGCAATCGCCATTTGCCTTGGGCCTCGAAATTTTTCTCCTTCGCAGCCTCGTCGCGTTACTCGTAGATAAGCGACTTGAGTTCTCTCATTCTCTCATTCTCTCATTCTCTCTTTACCTCTTTTCATCCGCGCCGAAGTATTAACCTCGACAATCATCTTGTTGCTAGTGTCGCAGGTCCTTTGATACTGCTGCATCCCATCAACTTTGCAAATGAGGCTCCTATGATTTAGTGCTGCACGAGTCCAATCCCACCAAAACACTGTACCCTTCAGCCAACAGCAGCAGTACCTGTTCTTTTTCTTTCCAACCGCGAGTTTGCAATCTGTACCTGAATTCTTTTCAATTGCATCTCGTTCGCCATATTTATTCTTTACTCTTCCCGTTCTCAGCAATTCAACACCCTTTCTTTGTTTGAGTTCAACTCAAGTACCTGCAGATAGGCATCATGTCCGGACCAGCAGTAGAGCTCAAACAGCGACGGGTACCAGAAGTCGACATGAGCACAACAAACAACCACACAGTTCAGCAAGAAGCCAAAGGGCGAACTGTGACGTGTAAAGAGATTTCTGAATGGCAATGGGACAACAAGTTCATCCTTAGTGGCTATCGGCCGGAAAAGGGGGATTACTGGGACATCTTCGTCAGCCTAACCTTTGTCCATAACGAAACTTGCAATATATACACGCATCTGATCGGTGCTCTGGTTCTTCCAGTTATCGCAACTGCCACCATGCGATACCTTGGTGAGCCTCAGTTCCTCAACGTCATAGCCATGGACTACAACATGTTCGGATTCTTCTTTTGGTGTGCGGAGATCTGTCTGATCCTCAGCACACTTTTCCACCTGATGCAGAGCCACTCGCATCGCGTGGAACAGTTCTGGCACGGGATGGACATGCTCGGTATCATCATTTGCATAGTGGGCACATTCTGCTCCGGCATCAACTATATTTTCTACTGCGAAGAGCCCTTGCAGTACTTGCATTGGGGCATTGTGAGTTTTTCTCTTGACAGCTCATACGAATGTAATGATGTACTGACAAGAATTCCAGAACTTGACATTTGGTACTACCTGTGGTGTGCTTATCTCGAACCCAGAGCTGAAGACACCACGCTGGAGGAGAGTCAAGGTGGGCGCCTTCTTTGCTTTTGGCGCCTCGTCCTTTATACCTCTGCTGCACGGAGCTCAGCGATACGGGCTGGAATATATGCTCAAGTACGCGGGAATGAAGGGGTATCTAGGAGAAATTGCTTTCTATGGTTCCGGAGTGATGCTATACGCTGTAAGTCTAGACTTTCATGTATTCCGTCCCAAAAGTCAAGATTTCTAACAACCCCTCAGTTCCGAATTCCGGAGCGTTTTGCGCCCGGCAAGTTTGATCTCTTATGTAGTTCTCATCAGCTCTTTCATGTCGCTATTTTGGGCGGAATGTGCTCGCATCTGGCTGGTTTGCTGCAAGGTTTCACAGCATCCCACACGCTGGATGTGTGTGAGATGAAGGGCATCGATCGCGCGAATTAGACTTGTATTGGGGTTTGGACTCATCTTAAATCTAGTGTCTGTATCTCACGAAGCAATTGTGGTCGGGCAGGAGACCAAGTGGCTAAGATGAGTCAGCCCTTTGGAAAGTTTGGAAAGTCAATTGGAGTACCTATATGAACAACCCTCTCGAGGGACCGAGGTTTCTTTTCGTTTCCATTCAGAGAGTTACATAGACAGAGATAGCGATGGCAGGATTTATGCTAGATAATGAAGTCGGCAATATTTGGAGAGCCCTCAGATATTATGTGTTTTGCCCTCTACGTTTCTCTAGATATGACTTTGCAACTACACTGATGCAACACTCAGCAGTGGTAGTCGCGGCTGTGGTGACTCCATCTGATCTGGATTGTACAATTAGGGCGTGCATTTCGACTCAAATTCAACAACTCAACTTTTTATATAATGGTCTATTTCGAAATTGTTGATCGTTGATCATTCAGTAATATTTTATTGCGCGATATATCACTCTACACTGGCCTGAGCTTGGTGTGGAGCTCCTACTTTTGCGGTACGGCTCAGTACTATATCGCAATATATTACCATGATTCTGCGGGGCGTCTCACTAAGATTCTGACATTCGGGCACATAATTGGAAGAGTCTCTTTTAGGAGTATGAGGCATGTTGGTGCCAGCACAATTTTGGACGCTTGCAGGCATCCTGGTCAATAAAGTCGCCAACCTAGGTCGAGTAAGCAAGGTTTGTGAAAATCCATACTATGTAAGGTGGCCGTCGTACCCCTTGAGACAAAAGTGCACAAATCCCAAAAATATCAATGGTGCAAATACGAAAGAGCAGATCAATGTATGCGACCCCACGTCGGCTTACGAGCCTGGATCCAGGAACCGAAATGGATGTGGGCGTCAGCCCAAGTGCCAACTGGCAGTGGAAACATGTGCACTATTCCTGTTGCTTGTTTCCGGCAAGAGCGTGCCGAAAGATAGCGCTTGGTACCCACTAATGGTTGGTTGGGGACCAAAACATGGTGGGTGGGGGGGCTTGTCTACAAGGTATCAATGGGGGGTGATGCCCGCTAATCTACCGACTAACAGTATGGTCCCCCATTCTGGCACAAAAATGCCCCCAAAAAAGACCTTGAAGATCCACGAGATTCCTATACAGCCCTTGTGCTCAACACAAGTGCGCCCCTTCTGGAATTCAGACTACCTGAAAAGTCTCCCATATGTACTGTACTCATATATTCGCCGCCCTTGCAAGTTGTCGTGATATATTGCCAGCGCCATTTCGCAGAATTGGGATGTCCACACTAAATTCAGGCTAGTATACTCTGTACTCAGTACTATAGATACGGGTGTCTAGGCTTAATAGTCGAGCAGATTTTACTAACCCACTAACCTACTGAGTTAGGTATGTTAGCCTAGTAGAGTTTTCGCGTTTAAATCAAGTACTATATCAAAACCAGCAATAATCCATCACATGTACAGTCCAGAAGCCCTTGACAAGACGACGTAAATATCTAGGAAAGCCCGAGTATGTATATGTGGAGTGTTTTGGTAGCTACTGTCGCAAGGTCTCATGTAATCACCAATGTCAATTAATCAAGTTACAAGAAAAGCTACAGCTTAGGAGATGTACAAACAGGCCCAAGTATTCCTCTTTACATGGCTCTCATCTTACACTACCACTCCTCATACAGGAACGCTATGTGGGTGCCCATTAACCAATAATACGATTCATCATGTTTTCAACTTCTGGCAAGGCGTGCAGGTTTTGTTTGACTTTAGACTTGAGTGCCCCCGTGGACAGTAACAAGCCATATTGCTTTCCAATAATTAGGCACTCCACAAAGGTTTTGCACGCACGCTTCTGAAGCGGTCCTGGGTCTTGCTTTGCTATCAAGGCACTCATGGTCGCTGGAATGCCCTCACCGATGAGCCATTGGTGAGCGGCGGGATCCTCTTGGCAGAGAAGAAGACAGGATACTGAGGGTATGTTGAGGAAACGGTCCTGCCCCTTCTCCTGGGAACGCTGAGCGATTTCAACGATGCTCGTCAGCAAGAGAAGAAGCCTTTTGGTGTCCTTTTCCTTGCCGATGAAGCTCAGCTCATTGGCGCATGCCTGATTTGCATCATTGAATAGCTCGACCTCGTAGCTGCTGTCAATGTACCCTTCGAAGAACTCTGCAATGACCCTGGCAAAGTATTCAATCGGCTTGGGTTGCTGATTCTCAATCATGGCAATGTGCGACGTCAAGAGCACCATTGTACGTGCTGCATTGTCTTGCCGGTTGCTTGTTTGGACACTGACGTCGAAGCCATTCAAGAAATCGCGGACGCCCTGGTGCAAGAACTCCTCCGCGTCCCTGTTGTAGGCGAGGGCAGTAAAATTGGAAAAGGTCTTTGATGTGATGGCATCCCCCTCTCTCCACCCCTCGCGGCAAGCCACAAGTTTGGCTTCCGAACCGACCATGACGGAGATGACCAACAGTGCTTGAAGATCGCTGGGGGCGACCTCGCTCAAGATCCGCTCCGGGAGTTCGCAGATGGCCCTTAACCTCCCGCGGTTCCTGGATAGGACGACCTGGACAAAGAATTCGCGATGTCTCTCGGTCCATCGTCGCAGCTCGTCCGTCCGGTTTTCCCGCACGAGCTCTTGGAGCACAGACAGGTTCTCCCAACGGCCCAACGCCACAGACCTCAAATACAGCGTCACCAGCTGGAAAATAAGGGGAAAGCGAAAGGAAAGGCTAAAGGCTTTCATGACCATTTCGACCTTGCGCGACGCCTGCTTGTAGCGCGCGAGGAATATTTGTTCCTGAAGGCCCAATATCTCCTCCACTCGCTCGTCCATTGGGTCTGCAGGTCCTCGTAGGGTAACTCCCGGCGCAGTGGGTAGTTCGTCTACACGAGCTCCGTGTTCAAGCAGCACCTGGACGATTTCCTTGGAATTGGCCTGAATGGCGCGAATGAGTGCCGTGTCATTATGCTCAGTTTTGGTCTCAAGACGGGCACCGTGATCGAGCAGCACAGCCACGACGTCCTTGTGTTGTCCAGTAACGGCAATATGGAGTGCCGTCAGGGTGCTTCGATCCTTAAAGTTGAGTCGAGCACCATGGTCAAGGAGCAAGTCCACCATGTCGCGGTGGCCTTGGTTGACAGCCCAGGAAAGCGGCGTCCGACCATAGTTGTCCTTGCGCGAAATGAGCCGGGAACGCTCGCTGATCAAGAGCCTAGCCCACTCTATATTGCCCAGGTACGCAGCGAGATGCAGGAGTGTGAATGAGGGCGGGTTTCCCCCATTCTTTTCCAGCTCCCAATAAACTTTCCACCATTCTTCGCGAATGGTAGATTCCACGTCGAAGAATGGGCGAGAGAACTCGGACTGTTGATCAATCACACCTATAGCGTGCTGGAAATGCATAGGCCAGTATTGACTGGCATAAGACAATAAAGGATCAGGGCCAGAATTCTCCGTGGTCCCTCGAGAGGCGCCATATCCATGTTCAAGGTGTAACAGACAGGTTTGCATTAAGACCCTGTGAGTGTGCTGGGTCATGTGAAACATGTTGATCCCTTTGATGTTGACCTGGTTGCTTTGAAAGAACTCCTTTGCTGACTCATGGACCAGGTTCACCACGTCTCCTTCAATCTTTACCAGTAGCCCGCCGAGTCTGAGTCGTCGCTTGACCACTTCTGTCGCCGGAATATTACCAGACGGCTTGATCCCCGTTGCGACTGTCAATTCTTCCACTGTAAGGGGTCGTGCCGCGAGCACAACCCATTGAAGGATAGGGACCAGCGCCTCCTTGTCGTCAATCTGCTGAAGGATTCGCTGGTAAACTCCACCCAGGCCTTTGGGAACACGAAGGAGAACCTCATTGATTTTGCCCCAACTCCTGCCTTGAAGCTCATTGGCAACAAAACCTACCCACAAAAAGGTACCATCAGCACCTTCCAACAACGCCTGGCGAACTCGCGCAACCATTTCCTCTGAAAGGTCTTGCTCGGTCGCCAGCTCCGCGACTTTGGCCAAGATATATCTCTCGACATCATTCGAGGTCTCGGTTTTGGAGTCATCCAGCTTGATCTGCTGGTATTGGCCCAGCTTGTTCTCCAACACGGCTGGCTGCGGTCGAGAGAGGACAATGAGCTTCAGTCGCGGGCCTGCGCTTTCCTGTGAGCTGGACAGGTGATTTCCAACGGCATCGAGAAGCTGTCTGAGCGATTCTTTTTCGCATTCATCCATACCGTCCAGGACGCAGACTACCTGAGAAGACCTACTCTGCCGAAGCATGGTCAAGAATACTCTCCACAATGAGACGAAGCTCGAAACGGTGTATTTAGTTGTTTCAGTTCCCTCGAAAGCGCCTTTGATCTCCTGTGCCAAATGCGGATGTAGGTCGATCCATTGGTGGATGATGCCTCTCATTATCGTCACTGCCGAATTTCGGTTCTTATCACGGTTGGAACAAAAGTAATATAGAAGAACGTCGTTAGCAGTGTCAATCACGGGCTGTAGCGCTTCCGTGATATAGATTGCTAGCATTGTTTTCCCTTTTCCAGGACCGCCTGAGACCCAGAGGACTGGAAGCTTGGGGTCCTCTAGCCATTTTCGATAACTGGGATGCTGTATGAGCCATTCACATGTGCCGTCAACTCTGTGTCCCTTCAATGCAATAAGAGACTTTCGATCAACTTCGGGTCTAGTCAATAGTAAAGCATCGAGAATCGGCACTGCTTCGGGATAGGTGTTTGTTGGCTGCGAGATCGTCTTGGAAACCGAGGGTATGAACGACAAGACCTCTTTTGCATATGCTGCAGCAACCACCGCTGCATATGCGTGCCAAATATTTGAACGGTTCGAATCTGCATAGTCACAGATTCCGCGGATGACCAGATACCGCGCGGCATCTTTTAGGCCACTGGTCTCGGTATCGAAACATAGAACGCCTTGATTTTGCGCCAACCTGTCTCGATTTGTCGCTTGACGCGGTAATTGACGACCAGAAGCAATGAGACCATAATGTACTACGGGGTCCTGAGTGTCTCGTGGTCTCCGGGGTAGAATTCTGTCCGGATTGCAATGGTTGCATCCGTCTTCGTTGGTTTCAATGACTGCATGATCATAATCCGGCTCGAAGAGGATGTCTTGCTCAGGGCCTGGATGGGCAAAGGCCTCGGGATCTTTCTGCATGATCTCGGAAATGAGCCGGGATATCTTGCTTTCTTCAAAAATTGTGGCTGTTTCAGTCTTTCCCATGGCTGTGAGAAGCAATGGTGTTGGTTGGAGCAAGGACCTGTCGCTAACAAGCTGATCTTCAGCTCGCCTCCTCTCGCCCAAGTCGAGTTGGACAACGCCCGGCCTACCAGCCGTTGACTTGCTGACGACGACATCACCAAGGCGAACATCCTCCTTCGTGTTTGGTACTCCTCCCGCAATGCCGACTAGGAGGCTGTACCGGATAGATTTGAAGGTCGCGTGCATCTGCGCGACTACGTCTGCAACCGACGTCTCGCCGTAAACGCCGGATTTCGGATATGCCACAACGACATTGTGGCCTTGGAGACTCCCCAGAATGTAGCAGTTGTTGTCCTTTGAGTACTGATCCGGAGGTAGGTTATCATGAATGCGATCAAGTGTCGCCTTGGCTGCCTCTACTTCTGTTGGTAGTGCGCAAGCCCATCCCACAGAGTAATCTTCATTGGACGCCATCATTCAGATTATAGAGCTCTAGTGATAGGCGTCGAGAAAAAGGCCCAAGGTCGGTGCCGGCGCGTTCTATACGATTATTGTAGGGCTTGCTAGAGTTTTGTATGTCTAGGTAAAGACCAGTTCGACTCTTCGAAACATGGCATGAATTATTGCTGCTTGAGCAAGACGAAAATTTGCCATTCCAAAATATATAGCAGTGAACCAAAACTCGAGGGGAAAGGAGAGCTTTGAATCAGCCCTGTCTCCGAATTGCGAGCTGCAGAAGTCAGCGCCTCGTCCAATTTGAGACGAGGATGTCGCGGTACATGTACCTACATCTACATTCTCCGAATCCGTCCCGAGTATATACCCTTGGTGCAACGGAACCGAAGCTCAAAGATCCCTGCTAGGACTAACACGACCCCTGAAATTGAATTTCACTCAACAGTCGCAGGGGTGTGGTTATAGAATCAATCATGTCTCGGTACCCATGTGAAGAGAAAAAGGAATCTCCGGGGGACGACACCCCCCAAGGACCCCTGTTTGATGTGGCATGTCAGGCTGTAGGCAAAAAAGCAATGCTGGAGTAGACATTGCAATTGGACATCTACAAGTATCAGATAAGTTGCTGGAACGACCGAATAAAAGGGTGCAATGCAAGCCGGGCCTTCCCAAGTAAGTTGCAATTGTTGGACAATGAAAATGGGGACTGTCGGTCTGAAGGGCAAATCATGCCACCAGAGAAATACATGAAGGGTTGCGAGGGCGTCAAAGTAGGTACATGTCAATACCGCTCACATGCCTAGGTACCAATCCTCCCTTGACACGCGCAGCGTGGGGAGTGGCACCCTTCGCGTGACACGACGGAAAACAACAGGAAGGGCTATCATTTCTTTTTTCTTTTTTTCTCACACACAATAGTTTCGAGGAAGAGCACCATCTTTGTTTCACTCTTTATGTCAGATCCTGCTTGTATCTCCTGTCCTGGCTATCGCGACACCGCGCTAAAGTCAGCTCTTAACTCGATACCAACGGGAAAACGTCCTCGCATTGCCACCCGTTTCATTGGGGCTCTTCAGCAAGTCAGCGAGCCTTGCGCAGCGTCCCAGAAACCGTATGGTGTGCGTGGAATATTGTCAATTGTGGAGGTTATTTTTAACCCGTCAGCGGGGAACTCCCAGAGGGGAATAGCCGACAGAGAAGTGTGGTGCGGAGAGTCCATAAGGCTCTGTACCAGGACGCTCCCCACTGTCGTTGATGTCTAGAGGGAGACGGGGTTAAGGAGACAGTAGCGGGATTCAACCCGTTTGTTATACTCTTGTTATCCAGCGCGCGTCGAGAGTACGGCCAGCGGCGCACGTTCAATGCGCCATGGGGGAACTTGAAGAGAAAATGGAAGGCCCGTCTTCTTCATTATCCATTCCCCCCCTCCAAGTCCTGGCCCCCACCCCATCGTTGTCACCAGACGCGACAGCGATACCGTCTGCTCATCGACTTCCAGTTACGCCCCCACAGCCGCTGAAGGATTCTTTTTCGAAAGAGTCAGTAAAAGCTTTTCTCCGTCAGAGATTTTCAAAAACCACATCCAGTGAGCGCAAGGCATCCCCAGTTCTACTCTCCTTTGACGAGCTACCAGAATGGCACCAAGATAACGAGTATATCCGTCATGGCTACCGTCCGATCTCAGGCTCGGCTCGGGTCTCGTTCCGCAGTTGGTCCTACCTCCACAACGAGTCGGTGAATATATTTTCCCACTTCATACCGGGAATCGGTTTTCTCCTCGGCGAGTGGTACATTCTGCAGTACCTTGCAAGTAAATACTCCCGGATCACAGCCACTGATTATGTCATATTTACCATATTCCTCTTGACTGCCGTCATCTGCTTGGGGCTGTCGACAACATACCACACCATGATGAACCACTCCAACAAGGTTGAAAAGTTCTGGCTGCGGCTGGATCTGGTAGGAATAATGGTCTTGACAGTGGGCGACTTTGTGTCGGGAATTTATGTGATTTTCTGGTGCGAACCTACGCAACGCAAGATATACTGGTCCATGGTGAGTAAAATCCAATGTGCCCTGTGGATATCTCACCCGGCACTGACTTTGGTTGGCAGATTGGAGTCCTTGGAACGATTACCATCTTGATCATGGTAAATCCCAGATTTCAGCATCGAAAGTTTCGGGTGTTCCGGACACTTACGTTTGTGGCGACTGGCGCGTCTGGTTTCGCACCGTTGATACATGGAATCGTCATATTTGGTTGGTCGCAAATGGTGAAACAATCTGGTCTACCATATTACCTTGTTGAAGGAGGTTTTCTGTTATTCGGAACTTTGTTTTACGCAGTGAGCCTCCGACTCCCTGCTACATATGGCAGCTAATCATCGCTAATGTAGTTCTGCAGACCAAATTTCCCGAAAGTCGATATCCAGGCAAATTCAACATATGGGGCAGCTCACACCAGATCTTTCATGTAATGGTGGTGCTCGCCACTGTCTCCCAATTGGTTGGGATCTTAGAGGCTTTCGACTATAATTACTTCCATAGAACATGCTTATCTGTCTGAGTAGAGGAGAGGGTGAATAGAATTCTCACTGGGAACGGCTTCCAAATGCTGGTGATTGAATTTAAAGTAGAAATATGCGGTCCCTTCGCTGCTAGGGCCTATGACGGGTAGGACTCCTGGTTCCGAATGGAGAGTTACTTGCGAGCATTTATACAAAGAGGCCAGCAACAGTAAAGCCAAAAGCAATACATCGACTTCAATGAGTCCTTTGCATCGAATAGTAGAAGCCATTCGAGACATTCTGAAATTCAACATGTACTCGGAGACTTGGAAGGACGGGACCCCATCGTGCATAAGCTTCTTGAGGCTACACCACCAGACAACCTTGTCAACTAGAGACTGATCGTCCACGAACCCTAACTAATCAGTCCGCGGCCCCCTTCTGTCTTCCCGGAAGTTCCTTGGCCAAATTCACCAATCTGGGGAAATGAAGGTCTCAACTATCTTTTCGTAACGAACCATCAGCAAATTTAAAAAAGCATATTTGTGTTCTTCTCTATGCTCACGAATGGATGCCCTGGGGTTGGAAAATAGCGATGAAGCAACGGAGCGGACTTTAAGCTAGTGAAAACATCTCAATCAAAGTCATGTGTTTGATTTTACAACAATAGTCCACTACTGAGTGGATGAAAATGACGTACACTAATTACTGCCCACAATCTCACGGATCAGGCAATAAGAATACGATTCGCAATCATCTCCATATTCGGTTCTTGGTATTAGCCTCGGCGATTAATCTGTCGGGGCATTCAACCCGCCCGAAACCTTCCAGTACAGATATCTATTGCGAAGAGAGGTTGTTGTGGATACTTCTCGGACGTAATGAACGCGGAGATATCACTAACGCCATGAAAAGTTTAAAAACGTTCTATAATGCATTGCGCAATTCTCCAGTTGTGGGGTCCCTCAAGTGCATCAGTGGATTCTATGGAAGCCGTAAACTTCCTTAGTTTTCAGGATATGCCCACAAGACTACTAATGCCAAGTCCGTACGTAGGTAGATATCGAGGCTTGGCATGTAAAAGATAGGTATCTGATTATTAACCATGCCCTTGTCCTTTGATGCCACCTGAGCATTCGCCGAATCCGTATTCATCTCATTGCAATATTTATAAAGACCATCTCTCTTCTTCAAATATAGAATTAGGCTATACTTTCACAAGATCTTAATCGTGAACATTCTCAAACTACCTGACATCACAATGGTGCACACACTCCGGTTTGGCGAGACTCAGGTCCCCGTCCCTGGCTTCGGTGCCATGGGACTTACCTCCTACATGGGACACAATCTTACGTATGAAGAAGCTGAGCCCGTCCTTTTGAAGGCGGTAGAGCTTGGATGCACCTTTTGGGATACCGCTGTGAGTCGGATTCATCTAGATCCTCGCGTCAAAAACCTTGCCTTGGCATATGCTGATTTGAACCGACGAGAAAGGTTGCTTATGGAGCGGGTTTGAATGAGAAGCTACTTGGCGAATTCATCAGGAAGCACAACGTTCGAGACAAGATCTTTGGTGAGTCCGTACAAAGTCATGATGTACTTTGACACAGCTGACCGTTCCGTGACAGTTGCTTCGAAATGTGGCTTTGAAGTTCTGGGTGGGCCACCAGGTATCAACAACTCCCCATCCCACATCAGGTCCTACCTTGAAGGTACCATTGAGAGACTTGGCTTTGCACCCGATCTCTACTATTTGCATCGAATGGATCCCAGTAAGCATATTACAAGCACCACACGCCATGGCTATCGCTGAACCCGCACAGATACTCCCTTGGTTGATTCAATCACGACCTTGGATGACCTCCGCAAAGCGGGAAAGACCAAGTACATTGGTCTTTCAGAATGTTCTGCAACGACACTTCGAAAAGCCAATTCAAGTGGGATCTGATCGAGTCTAGCAACGACAATGAATCTGCTAACTTTTGGTGTTAGTTGCCAAGATCGATGCAGTTCAGTCAGAATACTCTGCGTTCGAGACTTTGCATGAAGAAAGTGGTGTCATTCAGGCAGCCAAGGAATTGGATGTAGCATTCGTCGCATACAGCCCGCTCGGCCATGGCTGGCTTGTGGACAACTTTGACTTCAAGTCGCCAGACGATTTTGCACCTGACGATTTCCGACGCACCGGTAAGCATTGCCCTCACTGCCTCACATTCTGGACCTCGAGAACATGTAATGACCAACGACTTCTCGGTTTAGTACCCAAGTTCCAAGGCGAGAATTTTTACAAGAACAAGGCAATCGTGGATGAAATCAAGAAATTAGCGACCAAGAAAGGATGCACCGTCGCTCAGATTGCGCTCGCATGGGTCGCCGCGCAGGGCATGATCGCCATTCCCGGAACGACTCAGGTTGCACGGCTAGAGGAGAATTGGGCGTCCAGAGACATTGATTTCAGCCAAGAGGAATTGCAGGAAATGCGCACAATCGTCGATTCTGCCAAACCCATAGGTGATCGCTTTGACGCGATACAAGAGTCCTTCATAGATCATTAATATGAGGGACTCGCGAAAACGCTTGCCTCGGATGGGAGGAGATCAAGTTGAACTTGCGAAGCTGGGTCGCGTGCTGGAGGGGAGGCAGTTCCTGCTAGTATGTATGTTCTCTGAGATAGGCTCTGGATTTCATGTTGTTACCTTGATCTGAATAGCCGGTACTGTTACGCTGCGACCTCGCGTGCAACGGGATACCTCAACCAACACGTGACGAGCAGCATGCAACAGTACGCAATCATGCAGGACGATATAGTTCTCCACAGCGGGGATTAGATATACAGACTATAACTTCACAAAGTGGCACTGGTACAGTCACATTGCAAAGACTTTACGACTAATGCATGGAGATCTTTCAATAGAACAAGGATGGTGGAAATGTGACTCAGAAGTGACTCTTACCGGGGCTTGGCTTCAATGGGTGCTGATCCTTGTTGCGTGACTCTGTTTGCCTCAGGGGACTGGCTTATCAAAGCCGATGCCAATTGTGCAATATTCCTATATTATATACCCATGTACCTATCTATAGATATTGATGCATTTTGTCTAAATGAGAATGACCACCTAACTTGATCCAAGTTGAGAGGTTACCCTCAGATCTTATCTTGCCCAGCTTGCGCTCAGCTAGCTTCATAAACGTGCACGGATCCACCTTACGAGCAGATTACTCTGCATTCCATCACCATTCTAATTGCCCAAGAAGACAAACGAACGCGAAAGCAAAAAGAAAAAATTGAGACCTATTTCTCAACTCCTTAGCATCTTGTTTTCACAATGGAGGAACTTCATCAATCGTCCTTGTTAGAATCTGGTGGGGTCAGGGTCGCTGTTCAAGGTTGCGTAAGTTTTAACAACCATGTAGCGCTAGGGAGCTTGACAAAGCCTCGCTGTGTCTATGACCATCACTACCAACCGTGACGTCTGAATCCTTTTTATCGGACTAGAACTCTGACGGAAAACAAAATCTAACGTCTATTCTCAGGGACACGGTCATCTTGACTCAATCTACCAGTCTGTCCAGAATGCCGCAGAAAGTCGAGGCTGGGATGGTGTGGACCTTGTGATTATTGGGGGCGACTTTCAGGCCGTGCGTAACGCAGCAGATCTTACAGTAATGTCCGTTCCCATCAAGTACCGGAAGCTTGGTGATTTTCCAGAATACTACAGCGGCCGGACCAAAGCGCCGTTTCTTACCATCTTTATCGGAGGTAACCACGAGGCCAGCTCACACTCATGGGAATTATATTATGGCGGCTGGGTAGCGCCTAATATCTACTACCTTGGATCCGCCAATGTGCTTCGTTTTGGGCCTATTCGGATCGCTGGCATGAGTGGCATTTGGAACGACCCGGATTACAATAAACCCCATATCGAACGACTACCCTTTAACCACTCTAACCACTCCAACCACAATGACATCAAGAGCTTTTATCATGTTCGCGAGTTCGATGTACGCAAACTCCTCCTTATCAGAGAGCAGGTGGACATTGGTCTCAGTCACGATTGGCCGAAAGGTATCGAGCGATACGGTGACGAAGAGGCTCTTTGGAGGATAAAGCCATTCTTCAAACGGGGAAGCCTGGATGGGACACTTGGAAGTCCCGCAGCCACGTACGTTTTGGACCGATTACGGCCGCTGTATTGGTTTTCGGCCCATATGCACTGTACGTTTTCGGCCGTGAAACGGTTCGAGGTAATGGCGCCAGCGTCGCCGAGTTCAGAACAGAAGCCAAGGCCAGTGTCCACTGAACCGTCATCCGTTGCGCCATCCGCAGTTTCTCCAGGTATTCCCGGGCAATCTGTGCCTGCAACCATATTCAACACCGAGACAAAATTTCTGGCTTTAGATAAGTGCGGGCCGGGGAAGAAGCACTTGGAGCTCTGTTACATTAAGCCAGCTACTGCTGCTTCAAAGTCAGCCTCCAAGAAATTCATATTGGAATACGATCCAGAGTGGCTTGCAATAACGCGAGTTTTTCACCAATACCTCACCATTGGGGAACGTGACGCCAAGATGCCAGCCAACGAAGGCGAGAACGTTTACACAGAGATGATCGACAAGGAACGTAGGTGGGTAAACGAGCACATTGTGGCTCAAGACAAGCTTACAGTTCCCGAAAACTTCACACTTACTGCCCCTCCACATAACCCAGGAGACCCTGAGACAGTGAATTCGCAACCCAGGGAATACACAAATCCTCAAACAGTGGCGTTTTGCGAGCTTCTTCAAATTAAGAATCTCTGGGATGCAACGTCTCAAGAGAGGAACCATCGGAAAGCCCAAGGACCGCACCGAGATCCTCAACCCAGATCTGGTAATCGTGGTGGACGTGGTCGTGGAAAAGATGGCGATCGCGGGGGCGGACACGGAGGAGGAGGACGGGACTGCAGTATTGACCGTCCTTGAACTATCATGAATGTGAGATTATGAAGCAGGAGCGAGATGGTCAATTTAAAATTCAAGTGCATGATTCTTAGTGCCCCTGAAGTCACAAGGTCGATAGCAGCTTAGAGAAAAGGTAAGATGAGCCAGAAAGAATAGAATTGGAACATTATTTCGACCTCCCCTGCCTGTGGCTGCTACTCAGGGGAAGCTTTATTTCTTTGTTTGGGTCACGCCAAAAGTAGTCAAAGCCGGCCAGTCTGAATGGTCACTAGTCAGCCCTCGATGGCATATGTGGTATTGGAGGAGGGAAGTCATACCAAAGTGCGTTCGTTCCTTGTTGATATAAGTTACCTGAGCGGTTTGACCGACGAATAGTTCCTTGCCAACTGTGGATTCGAAGCAGTAGCCGTATCGCCCAAAGACGGGACTATACTTGGCCCCCTTGTCGACTCTTCTGTCCTTGTTGAGCTTTTTCCAGACCGCGCCTCGATCATCAGTGGCAGTCTTTCCAGTGTCGTAGTCAACAGTAATGCTCTGACATCTATAGCAGTTGGCGGTAAGTGGCATCTCGATGCCTCCGTCAAACGTTATTTCACCCCAATAGTCTTCGACGAATGCGCCTGGCGACCCTTGGACCACAATATTTGGTCTGAACTTGGTCACATCCATGGTGCTGTCCCCATCTAGGCGCGAGCTTACTTGTCGATTAGACTCTTCGGTGACGACCAAATAATGGGCGATATCGTTAAAGGCAAGCCGCTCTTCCGGCTGCGCCAGGAACGGGACGGTTGCTCTAATTCTCCTGACCAATCGAGCCTTTTTGAGGCCGCCCCGACTGTGAGGGGCCAGGGTACCAAGTACAGGTCGAGAACCGTTACCAATGTGTACAAGTCTTATCTCAAAGCCTAGGCGATCCGTGAACCACTGGGAGATCTCGTCGCCCATATCATAGGCTGCGCACGAGCTTCCGTGGAGGTCCACCTGCACTTCGCTTCGGCCCTCAAGAGACGGCACGAGAGGAAACTGTATGCTTTGATCCGAGTCGACACTGGCATCACTGGCACCAAACTCGGAGCCAGCACCATGCCAAGAAACACGGATCTGGGCGTTTGCCATGTTCTCGCCCTGATCCTTGAGATCTATCGCAGTCCTGAATAGAGCCAATTGAAGATAGTAACCGATCAGCATAGTCTCATGCCTGGTCAAGTTTCCGTCCTCATCTCGGTGAATGCGCTGCAAGCAGAATGTGCGGTCGCCAAGGAGACCATAGCGTCCAATGTAAGCTTTTTCAAGCCGGCAGCCCCGGAGACTTTTGACGGGATAGATATAAAGCTACGTCGCCACAAGATCAGTCGTTCGAGCTCTCAAACGCAAATCGCAATGATAAAGAGAGGTCGACTGACCTGAGAAATCTCGAGGGGAGGCCCGGATTTCTGCGAGAAGGTGACGACAAGGGCAATGACAAGGATTGCTATAACCACAGCGACTTGCACGTGCGCAGAGCTCGTGCCGACGTTGAAGAATTCCTGAATCATGATCACGGACGGCGCTGTTATTCTTGAATAACAGTCATTTCGGCAAGGGCACCTCGGAATGTTGGGTTTGAAGGCTTCTCCGGCAGAAAGTCTTAAGAAATGGGAGTGTAGGGCAGAGGCTGCTGCTTTGTGGGTATATCCCGCTGCTGGCTGCAACAACTACGTAAGAGCGATCCTCGGAATCATGCCCCTCTTGATATTTTTCAGGTCTTGTAACTGCATTAGTGTAGACTGCGGTAAGCGCACGTTGATGGGTTGCACCATGCACCGGCATTTGCAGTGATCTGCGTGCTATGAATGCTACTAGATAGCGCTTCAACTGTTCTAACTGGAACCGTGAACGTGGGGAAGGGGGGCATCTACAGGTACCTAGGTATGAGGTAGCTTTGACTATGCCGCATACGGCAATTTGATTGACCACTTCGGTAGCGTCCTCGCCCGGCATCAACGTCCCCCTCTGTCCCGTACTATCTCCACCCTCCAACCGCCGTCCATTCCATCTTTCGGCCTGCTACTATCGGCGCCTTCATCATGCTACTGACTCAAAGGCTGCAATATCAAGCCGATAGTCTATGAAATCTGCGGAACCGTGTATATTTCCCTACCGTCTCTTCCCCAGGGCCCCATTTGGTCCCCGCTAAAATCATCACGGTGACTGGTTTTCATTGATCAGATTGCCGAGAAGATTGGAGAAAACTTACCTGTTCAACATTGTGAAACCGCCTGTCCAGCGTTGCTATCAAGATTTTTCCTCATTTCTACGAGGAATGCGAAATTTCACCTCGTATATTCATGGTCCGAGTGAGAACGGTCGTCGGTTCTTGCTGGTCCTGCAAGAAGCGTCGCATTCGATGTGATCTGGGCAAACCGGGCTGCGTGCGGTGCTCCCTGATTGGCGCGTCCTGCGACTATGGCGAGAAATGCATCAGATGGAACTCCAAGGCGGCCACCTCAATACCTGCTGTCTACCAAGCCAACGACATGGGCAGTTACCATGCGACCTCTTTGGCGGTAAACGAGAAGCGTGCTCTGGAATATTTCCACGGTCGCCTGTGGCCCTTATTTACTACTGCCTCCGAGCCCTGCTCCCCACCAATCGTAATGGCCCTCCAGCATCGTGTGCTGCTACTTGCAATCTGTGTCATCTCAGACGGCCATCGGATTCTTCAAGACGGCAGAAATGATCGTCGTATGCTTAAATCGAAGCATCTTGAATGCCTTGCCGCGGTTCGAGGCGAGCTGGACACTCACTGCCAAAGTGGTGACAGATTACCGGTGTCTCTTCTGCTTGCCGTGCTCTTTTTGTATTTTCACGGCGGCTACATGGACTGCACGCTGGACATGGCCTCAACGGCAAGTCACCATGCCGGGGTCAGAGCCATCATCGCAGGCCTCGGCGGCATAGAGGCTATCCTGGACGAATGCCCTGAGCCGCTTCATATGCTTCTCTCAGAGTTTGCATCTGCGGACCTCACCACCACTATGATCAAAGGCGGTTCTCCTGCGTATGGTCCAGCCTTTTGGCTCGCTGTTGATAAGCGTTGTGTATGGTGGAGTCGGGACCCTTTGGGCCGCTCCTCTCTCGCATCCGTATTCAGCGGCATATCGCGCATGATTGCATACCAGGTCGGGCTTCTTAATAAGGGAGAAGGCCCTGACACTGACCGGATCTTAGAGTTTGAAGCACTCTTTGACCCGGTCTATATTCCAGTGACATCGGGAGGTTTGGGCAATCACGAAGGTGGAAGCAAAACCGCTACGAAGAACAGCCTTGAAATATTCAATGCCTTCAGCCTTATCCGCGCGTTTCAGCTGGCGGCGCTTATCTATCTCCGAAGGGCCGTCTGTGGCCTACCTACCTTGCATCCTCTTGTTCAACAGCATGTTCTTCCCTGTCTGGATTGCATTCTTGACATGGTCCAGCCCACAATGGTATTCAACTGCGTCATATTTCCACTACTAATTACTGGTGCCCACGTTCAGTCGCTTGGCTATCGACGCAAAGTGAGAAATCTAGTGAGTGCAATTCACCGTGATATGAAGTTCTGCTCCGTTCAATCTGCTGGTGTGTTTCTGGACAGACTTTGGGCCAGTCGACCCGAGGTTTTGTCATGGTATCAGATGTTTGCAGGGCTGAACCTTGATGCAGTCATACTATAAGTACGCAGGTATATACTGTTTGATATATATGTATTTGATGCCCCGTCTCAGCTCCTATCATGCGGGCTTCAGCAGCCGCTTTTGGATAAGCTTTCCTGATGTCTAATGTCCTTTTTAGTCACTGGGATCAAGTTGACCAAGAATTTGTAGCTGCAACACAACTCTATTACCAATTCTTTTCTTTCGTCTTCGAACACGGTCAAATTACATCAATCCTTCGCAGATACTCGCCCACAAGACCAGCCATATAACCAGCCCCAACAAGCCAGAATTGATCATGGAACCACGTAATGCAGGAATTTGGATGCCAGTCGTGAGGCTTGACGCCACAATGAAGAGGCGATAATGAGAGTCCAGGGAAATGATTTGCAGAAATATCTATGGCATTATACTACACACGTCTAATTCAAAGTGTCATTGTCCACAGTCTTGATTGTTCGCTACTACTGCTCAAGTCTAAAGTTAAAGACCCCGTTGCCTCCTGTCCCCAATTCCCAATCCCCAATCCCCAGTCACTATACCTCTGGCCCCCCAAGGCTGAAAACCTAAGCAGCAGAAGAGCTGCGGGACGCAGTGTTCTCCCATAAGTTTGCGGGCCCGGAAACTTGACCAAAGTAGTGTAATAGGCTTATTAAGTGCGTGTAGTTACGCAGTTATGGCTAGATATAATTTATAAATTAGCTTAAATAAAAGGAAGCTATTTCCTATGCGTAAATTTTATCGTAATTTATTTAGGTACCGGATTAATTATATATCCGGTGCCGAAAATCGGGTGCACCCGTAATATTACCTTTTTTTTGGGCTTTTTAGGGAATTAAACCCTAGATTTTTAAAAACTCCCTTTTTAACCACTAAGCTATAATAGCCGCTTATACCCTAATTGCTTTACGCAACGCTTTTTTTCCGCAATTTTTATTATAAAACCCGAAATTCTTTTAATTATAATATATTTTTTATTACGAATAAAAAACTTAAAACGTAAAATCCTTAATAATTATTAATAAGCCGTTATTTTTTTAATATAAAGAAAAAAACGCTATCCGGATATATTTAGGATATTAAAGCTTTTATTAAAAAGTATTTAATTAATTAATTTAATATCGAAAAGCGCGTAACCGGCTATTGCGTATAGCCGGTATTTTTTTCGAATAAATAAAAAAATTCCTAATATTTCCTTTAAATAAAAACGGGAAAATATAAATAAATTAAAAATTTAATTTTAAACTCCGATAAAAAGCGAAAGCATTTTATTAATTAAATTTTTAAGTTTTTTTTTTAGCTAGCCTTTTTTTTCGAGCCTTTATTAATTATTTGCTTTTAGCTGTTTTAATAATAGCTTTTTATTTTTTTTTATTAAAAGCCTTATTTTAGCCTTTTTTTATTTATTTATTTTATTATTTACGCCGAATCGGGCTTTAAAATTATTTAAAGCTTATATATTATTAAATACGGTTCGGGTTTATTAGGTAGGTTTTGTATAATTTTGCTATTTTATTAATAATTTTCGTTTGAATTTTTATTTTATAAAATACTATTTTATACGGAAAGTTTTTTTAACGATTTATTTTTTTTATAAAATTTTTTTATCGAATATTAAAAGCGGTTATTAATTTTCGCTTTTTTATAACGATAAGGGATTTTCGCTTATTTTTTATAATAAATTTATATAAAATCGTAGCTAAATTTTATTAAATACGTTTAGCTTAATTATTTATAAGCTAATAATTTTATTAATTTTATATTTTATATTAATTTAAAATAGCTTTTTAAATATTTATAATATTTTTAGGTTTTTAAGCTTAAGCTATACTAAATTTTTAGCTTTAAATCGTTTTTATAGCTTTTTATTTTTATTTGCTATATTTTTTATTTTTTATTATATAGCTGCTATTATAGCTTAAGCTAGGTTTTAGCTTTTTTTTTTATTAGTTTACGAATTTTTTAGCTTGCTTTTTACTCATTTTTTATAAAAGCTTTTATAACGGAAATATTTATTTTATAAATTCGGCGTAATATTTATAAATTAAAAAAAAGGGATTAGCGCTAATCGAAATATTACATTTATTAATAGCAAATATAATAAAAGAAAAAAATTCGGGCCAATTATATTAAGCGTACGAAATAAAAGCTTTAAAATATAATTAAATTTTTTAATTTATACGTTTAATCGAATTGTTAATTTTTAAATAAAAGGTTATAAATAACCTTTTTTTAATATTTACGATTTTGCATAAATAAGCCTAAAAATCGCTTATTTAATTCGATTTTTTATTAAAAATAATAGCTCGAAAAAAACCGTAAAACTTTTAATAATAATTAATAAAACGCCGGGCGTAATTAGGCGCTTTTATAATATTTATACTTTTTGCTATAATTATTTTTGCTAAGCAATTTACGATTATTATTATAAAATAAAAGTTTTTTTTTTTCGTAAAAAGCTTTATTATAAAATCAATAAAAAATTCCGAATAAAACCGGTTTAATATAAGGAAAAAAGCCAAAAAAGCCGCTTTTTTTTTTCGCGCTAAATTTTAAAGCGCTTATAAATATCGTAATTAGCATAAAATTTCCGTATTGCTTTAAATATTCCCGGCTAATAAAAATACCTTAATATTATCGCAAAAATATTATCCTTTTTTAAATAGCCGGTAATAAATAAATCGTAAATTTTTTATATAAATATAATTTAAAAAAATTCCTAATTTAAAATAAGCAATTTTTTTCGGAATAAAAAAGCGTTTTTAAAATTTAATTTATATTCCGTAATTAATATTTTAATATTATATTTTTTTAAATAACCCGGGCGGAAATATACGCGTTTTTAATTATATTATAAAATATAAATTAATAAAATTAATATTTTATATTATAGCTTTATTTTAAAATAATTATAGCTTAATTTTAAAAAATAAATCTTTATTTTTAAGGATTCGATAGCTTTATTTTATGCTTAATAATTTTCGTTTTATAAATTTAAAATATAAAAATATTATATAAATTAGTATTTAAATATATTCGGCATTTTCGGAAAATATAGTAATAAATAGGAATTATTCGTTTTTAACGAGTTATAAGCGGCGAAATTTTAATTTCGGGTTATCGACCCTTTTAAAAAGGTTTTATTTTAAACGGCTAAAAGTATTAAATTTGCCGCTTTTCCTTTTTACGCGGAATTATAATTAAAAATTAAACTCGGATAAAATTAAAAATTATCGAGTTTATTTTTTAATTAAATTTTTTTTAATAATAAAATATTATAAATTTTTATAATTTATAAAAATTTTAAAAAATTTAGCTAAGCTTTTTATTTTTATTTTTTTATTTTTTTAAATAGCAAACGATCGTAAATAGCTTTTTATTATAAATTTCGTAATTAATTTCGGCTAAATTTAATTATTTAAAAAAAAAAGGCTATAAAACGTAATTTTTTTTTTATTATCGATTTATAAAAAAGCTTTTTTTAAAACCTAGCTAAAATAATCGCATTCGATTATTATTTTACGCTTTTTATTTTATATCGCTAAAATAAATATAATAATAAAAAGCTTTTTAAAAGTTTCGAAGCTATATTTTTTTTAGCTAATTTTTATTTTTAAAGTGCTAATTTTTTAAGTAAAGCTAATAAAAATCCTATAATATTGCTAAATTAAAGGATAAATTCTTTATAAAAATTCGCAAAGCCTATAAAATTGCAAATTTTTTTTACGCTAATAAAAGCCTTTTATTTTTTAATAGCCTTTATTTTTTTAAGGTTAATTTTAATTCTTTTTCCGGCATAAATAATAAATTTTAAATATTTAATTTAAATAATAGCGAATTCGTATTTTTTAAAATCGAAGCGAAGCTTAGCTTTATTTAATTTAATAAAAATCTTATTTACCTTTAATATATAATTTACGTAATTGCCGTTAAAATAAATTAAAACGTTGTTTAAATAAATAAAGCAAAAATTATTTAAATATTTTCGTAATATAATATTAATAAATTTTTAAAAAATAGCTAAAACTCTTATTAATCCGAAAAATATTATTAGCTATTTAAATAAGCTAAAATAAATGCAAAAAGCGGTTTTTTATTTATTTATTTTTTAATTTTTATTTTATAAAAAGCGGCTTTAATATTAACTTTAATAAATTATTTAGCTTTTAAAAAAAAGCGTAGGGTTTCCCTAATAAAAGGAAAAGGATAGCGATTTTTTTTATAATAGCGTTTAAAGCTCGGTAATTTACGCAAAAATAAAAATTTTTTCCGGGTTTTTTTATAAAAAATATAAGGACTCCTCCGGGAAAACTATTAGCCCTAATTTAATTTTTATTTAAATAATTAATAAATATTTTTTTAAAAATAAGCAATTTATTTTTAAATATATTATATAAAGGGCCTTATAAAATTTCGCGAATTTTGCCCTATTTATTTTTAAATAAAATAATCGCATAATCTGTTTTAAATCGATAAAATAAAAGCTCCGCTTATTCGTTATTTATAAATAAAAAAGCGTAATATTTAAGCTAAAAAAGTAACGTATCGGTTACCTCGGAAAAAATCGTTTTTCCCTTAATTTTTAGCGCTTAATTAATATTTATTATTATAACGGCAAAAATTTAAATAATTCTAATTATTTTTTTAAAATTTTTACGCGTTTTATATACTTCCGCTATATAAATAGTATTTATAATTATTTATATATTTTTTACGTATTAAGTTTTGTTTTTTATTAATTTAAATGCTTTATTTTTATATTAGCCTTTTTTACGGATAAGGAAATTATATTTTTTAATGCTAAATTTAAATGCTTTTTTCCTAAATAAATATATTACGTTATTACTTTTTATTTAAAGTTTTCCTAATATAATATTATAAGCTAAATTAGGGACGACGTACCTTATTATTATTTTTTCCGTCCGTCGATATTTATCTAATAAATAGCGATTTTTCGAATATATCGACGTTTTTTATCGTTTTTAGCAAGCCGGAGTTTTTTTATTCCGGATTTAGGTACGCTTAAATTTTTTTTTTAATTATAAAAAATTCATTAAAGGCAAAATAATAAAAATACCTATTATCGATAAACGCGTTATAATAAAATAGATTATTAACGAATATATTTATTAAAAAAAAGGTGATATATATATTATTTAGGATATTTAAAGCAATAATTATAGGTTTTTTTTTAAGCTTTAAAAGCGACTTTTTTTAAAATTTAAGTATTTTCCGACGGTTTTTTATCTTTTTCGAAATCTAAAATAACCTCGGCGTAGCTAATTCGGGGATTAAAATTAATAAAAAGGCCGTAAATAATATATTTTTAATAAAAATATTTAAATTATTTATATTTAAAGTATAGTTTTTTTTTCGGAAAAATTAAATTTCTTATTTATTACGCTAAAAAATTTAGGGTTTTTATTTATTCCCTGACGCCTTTTTGCCTATTTATATTACGCTTATAATATTAATAACGGTAATAATAAATTATTATAAATCGAATTTATTAATTCTTTTTATAATAATATCCCTTTTAGCGTTTATTCGATTTTATAAAATCTCCCGAAAAAAGGTAAAATAAAACGAGGTAATTCCGGCTTTTTTTAAAAACTAAATTTTTGTATTTTTAGCTTTTTTACGTTTATTTTTTTATAAGGTATTTAGGCAATTAGCTATTTTTTTTTAATTATATTTAATTATTAATCGTAATTATCGTTAAATAAATCGAAAATAATTAAGCGGTTTTTTAAGCTTTAATTAATAACGGAATTAAAAATAATAATTTTAATTACGTTTATTTAATTTAATTTTTTATTAAAATTAAATTAATATTTAAAATCGTTTAAGAAATCGAAAAATTTTTAATTTTCTTTTTATTTTATTTAAATTAGGCGATTACCCGCGATTTATTTAGCTTTTTTATCGATAAATTAGTTTTTGATTTTTTTAAGGAACGTTTTTTATTTAAGCTATTTAGAATTAATGCTAATAAATTATTATGCTACGTAAAAGCGTTTATTTTTTAAAAAAGCTATTATAAAATTAAAATAAATAAATTATTTATTATTTAATAGGTAATAATCTTTTATTATTATTATTTTCGTTATAATAAAAAAAAAAGCTTAAGGGGTTTTATTTTTCCGTTTTAAAAGGGCTATTTAGCGGTTTTATAATAATTAAAAGCGCTATTATAAAAGGCTTAAACCGTATTTTCGGGGTCGGAATTTTTTATAATATCGTATATTAAAAAAAAAAGCGAAGGGTTATTAAAAAAAATTTTTTTTAAAGCGATTTTATATTTATTAAAATTTTCGGATATTACGCTATTAAGGATAAGAAATAATATTAAAATTTTTATAAATACCCTATTAATTTATATAAAATTATAAAAACGAAATTAGTTTATATATAATAAGCTTACTAAATACGTATAATTACGCAATTATAGCTAAATATAATTTATAAATTAGCTTAAATAAAAGGAAGCTATTTCCTATGCGCAGATTTTATCGTGACCTATTTAGGCACCGGATCAATTATATATCCGGTGCCGAAAATCGGGTGCACCCGTAATAAGTAGTATGCCTTGGTAGTGTAGTGGATCGCCAAGACATCCACCTTGGCGCATCTGGTTGAACGCGCTCAAAGTCGTAGTTCATTAACAATTTGCGCAAGAATTACCTTCATCACCGCTGACGCATAGTACCGACCAGGGCTGCCATGCATGTTAGCAGCCTCAATCACTCGCAGTTGGGGCAGTTTCCGATTGCCAGGGCTAAAGGACATACCAAGCCATTCTTCCGATTCCCCACACGTGCCAGGTGTTATCCACATCGGTCAATTTGGACGGTTCTGGTTGGAAAAGACGTGAGAGCACCGATCTTTGGCAAGCATTGGCTGACCTGTGATGGGTCGGCAAAGCGGAACCCATTAAAGCAAGAGGATCCGGGTAGTAGGTTTCGCTTTGCATGATTGATCGAACTGATGTGCATGCCCAATCACCAACATTGAGTTTAGTACCATCAGAAAATTCGAACGACTGCAGAGGCGATCGTCGAGTGCTCACTAAAAGATGATTAAACGGGCTGTGCATGGGAAGCGAACGCGTCGTGCAATGCAACTTGACTTACTGGCCTCGACTGGGGTCAAGCGAGCCGATAATTTGATAAAGCTGTCAAGCAGAGGAAGGCCTTGAGAGGTACGTTCGAAATGGGCCAACCAAATGACCGGAATTGTGCTTGCCTAAAGACGCAGTGCGGCCGTTACGAGTAACGTGTGCTGACCGTCTGGAAGCGGGGACAGGTGAATGCTGCCCCAGGATTTCTGGCGTGTATTTTGATTGACTCATGGGGCCCCGTGTCGGTAATATGAGCTCACGACGTGGATGGGATGAGTCGGCAAATTGGGGTGCACCGGAATATAACAGCCACCAGCTTATATAAGGCACAGCAGCCGGAATGCCGAGTTTTCTAGGTTAGTGTTTGTGGTTATATGTGCCGGAAAGTTGAGTCATGCTAAATCGTTGCACATCACAACAGTGGGCAATGAGCAATATTCGAGAATACATTTGTTGGAAATCGAAGGACACAATAAAGAAGAACCACCTCTACATCGATGAGCCGTCATTTTATAGTGACATTGGAAGCATCGAGCACGTATTGTAAAAACTAATCGGATTTCTCATAGATACCGGTGAATACACAAACATAGCGTGTCTTTCTGGAAACGTCCCTATGTAGGTACGAGTTACAAAAATATGCCTTGTTCATAGAGCAAATTTAGTGTGCCGCCCCTGTAAGTATTATAGTTGGCGGGCTATCGCAAGTAACTTTAGGCCCCACAGCGGGGAACGTCCTAACCTAGCTGTCAGTACTAGGTATGGAAGGCTTCGTTACCCTATACTGGTGCACACCTACCTACTTATTTCTCTCTTTAAAGTCAATAGCATCTTTCTTATCTCGCTTCTGCCTGAATCTTACCTGACCATAGATTCACAGCGTGCTTGATCTCCTCTATCAACCTAATCAATCCATTCTTTTGCGCACAAGCTCGCTGGCTTACGGAGTACAGGCAAGTCCCAATAAGCCAGGGGCCTAGCATTCTTGCGACTTTCCATAGGTACTTTCTTGTAATGCCTAGATCTCTCAGCGGCACAGCAAGGGCCCGCGGCCTTTACATTTCTACCATCGTCAACGTCACGTCTCTCCCCTCCTACGGTGATCCAAGCGTTCACCTCGTTAGCATCTTTTCGCCTTTGGTCTGGCACGCCGCCGCGGACGACGGTGCACCCTACGATCCGCACGAACAGTAGCAGCAAAACTTGCCGCGGTTACGCCCATATTTGCAGGTTTATTATACAGCCGGGTGAATAAGCCCCTTGATTTCTGAGGATCCAATGATTACCAAGACATGCCACAGGTCAGTTACAACAACAAAGATACGTTTCAGCAGAAAGATTGAATATGCCAATGTACAAGGCCTTGGCGGGCTGCTTATTTATGGGGCAACATACCAACTTCTAATGTCACGGGGTCCGGTACGGGAAGCATAGGCGGATGTATATCAGTCTATTCTCTACGGTTCTGATAGGGTTACGGGTAACCTTATTGACAGGACGTAGCTCGAAGAGCTGCATCTTCAGTCCGGGCGGAGACAGTGAAGATATCGTCAGTCTACGGGTCCACATCGGCCCGCCCGGGATCCATCCACTTCGTGCTCATACGCAGAGCCGTGACAGGTACCCGTGGATATATGGGGACCAGGCAAATAGCTTGTGCCATAATGGAACTTACACTGCCCCGATAAACTTTAAATTGCATTGTAGTCCTCTGGGTAAAGCATCCTGTGTGCCCAACTGTTCCATGCTCCTTATATCTGTCAAAGAAGTTGGGTCTTCTGTAACATGGAACCGCAGCAAGAGATACGCAACCAAAAGTTTCACCTCAACCGTGGCAAATGCCTTGCCCAAACATATACGGGCGCCATAACCAAAGGGCATGTAATGTCTTTCCATGGTGCGAAGTTGCTCAGGGCTGGGGTGAAGCCAACGATCTGGGTCGTATACCTCGGGTCTAGGGAATATTGATCGTGAATGGTGCATGGCGAGGGTCGACGTGGAAACTATCGTCTGCAAGGCCTTGATATTAGAAGTATTTCTTTGCCGCATTTTTTTTTTCTAAATCAGGAAATCCAAGAGTGCTTACTCCTTGCGGGATAAATATACCGTCATATTCCTTGCCTGTCGGCACGACCCTCTCAGCTCTGCCGCTCGAAATGGGATTGAGCCGGTAGGATTCCTTAATGCAGGCTTCCAAGATCGGAGCTTTGTTGATATCGCCGAAACATGGAAATTCGTCTTCGCCCATCGGAAGGTTCGCAATCTCTTGCCGAACGCTGATCTGCCATTGGGGGTTACGGGCAAGGTTCCACAGCACATAAGTCAAACTGACGGTGACGGTCATCTGCGCCGCGTTCAAGTTATCCAGAAGCTCTGCATTGATCCAAGACTCTGACAGAGGCTCGCCTGACTTGGTTTTGCACTGCTCCAACCTCCTTAACAGGGTACCATCGTGTCCATTTCCCACATATGCAGCGACAGCGTTGAAGTCGTCATGTTGGCCGTCGGCGACTTTCCTGGCTGTCCATTCTTCTAGGCGATGTTCACCCGAAAGGAAAATAGGGTCCCCATATATTTTGGAGGTTAAAAAGCGGAAGATATGATATATCCATGGCAAATTGAACAGGAGTGGCTGGAAAACCTCGCAGTACTTCAAGTCGTCTAGCATGGCGAGCTCTGTGGCGGAGTTCTCAACTGTGTACGTACAGTGACCAGGGCCGAACAGGAGGTTTGTAATGTTTTCAAAGGCGTAGCGATTAGCAAGCTGGAAGAAATCAACCGTCGCGGTGCCAGAGCTCCGGTCGAAATGCTGTCTGACCTGATCTAGGAAAGCAGCCGCCCGCGCGCGAATAGGCTCCACAAATTGGGGCTGATAGATGGAAGAGGGCTGGAAAAAAGAGAAGCTATAATTTCTCCTCTCACGATGCGTTTCGTAGCTGAGACTGTTGAATGTCGCTCGTTCTCCGAACGCGATGAAATTGTCGAAGAAACTGCTCTTGGGATGACGACTACCAGCCCCGTAGATCTCTCGGGTGGTGGACGGCGCTGAGAAGGAGACTTGGCCGGGCGCAATCAAGACGATCGGGCCATAAATCTCATGCCACGCGTGGACTTTGGCGGTTCGTTGTAATTTCAAATCATAATACGCCAGAACCAGTCCTGTGATCTTGCATAACCTTGGGCCGGGGATATGCGAAAAGTCGGAGAACCAAAGTCTATACACTATGGTAAAGACAGTGAGGATGGACATGAAAATGAGCAAAGCCCCAATGGCAGGAACAAATGCGATGCTGTTCAGAAGCATTTTGGCAAAAGAAAACCCAGAAGAGCACAACCAACGCCGTGACTCATCAGCAATCAAGAAATATGGCCTGTATGGTCAATTCGGGGGTGAGTCAAGCATTCTTATACAAAATGGGTATGAAAATCGGCAATAAATATTAAGTCCTTGGTGGCAATTCTCTTTTCAGACAACACCTAGCTTTGACATTAAAATCTACCTAATCGCCCGAGAACGGGTGTAGATGTCATATTTGACGATGCGACAAAACTAACCTAGCTTTCTACCTAGGTCAGTGGATATGGAAATCAGTCTCAGACAGCATAACCACTAACAGGGTCTTGCATATTGTCATATTTTGGTGATTCCTCCGCTGCAGAGTTCCCTTTCCGTAGTACATGTTTAAAGCTTTACAGACTCTTGTAATCCTGATATGTATGCAGCAAATGAACTAAGAGACCGTAAAAGCCCTGGCCAATACTCAAGGAACCTATAAAATCTCATGGCTATCCTAATGCAACAAAAGTGAGATCTCCGCTTATTCCTAAAACGGAGTGTGTGTCCAAGGATAGTTTCTGAGAGTGCACGTTGTCAGGAGGTCTCGGATAGGCGATGACTTGTGGTCAATTCTGGAATGCCGGTAGCGAGACTACCTGCGTACTCCCCATACCGCTGGTGAACATACAGTAACCTACGACCTGATCAATCTCGCTTAACTCCTATAACACCGACCCGGCGCATTCCCATGATACACACTAGACAGACAAATGCCATCCAACCGAACATAGTCCAGAAGGCAACCCTATACCCCTTCATTAGTGCGTCAGGCGAAGACTTATCAAGAAAAGTTGAACCATTCGTGACGGACGCCGCGATGAGCTGCGCGACACTCAAGCCGATGGCACTCCCGAGCTGCGCACATGTGTTGAAGACAGCGCTGCTGAGACCCTGCATCTGCTTAGGAAACACATCCGAGATTATGAGTAGACCGATTGTGAAAAGGATATCACAGCTGATAGGCGCGAGGATCTGTCGGAAGAGAAACCATTAATAAACCTTTGGGCGGTAAGGGCTTGGCTCCCTGCAGTATTTTCACATAATGCATGCAGTGATACTATGAACGATGATGAAAGTCACGATGTAGCGTGATGAGAATATGGAAAATGTTTTTTCTAGCTCACCTGAGCGAAGAAGGCGTTTTCCCAATACAGCTGGTCGATCTGGACCACTGCCATAAGAAGTGGTGCAACGGTACTCATCACCGACGCGGCCAACAGCATCCACAAGACTGGCATACGGTGAACAAAAAAGCCGGTTGTAATACTTGTGAGCGCACCAGCAACGAGCGACGGGACGACTTGAAGCGAGGCCCGAACAGCCGACAGACCTTGGACCTGTTGGAAGCTTCAACAAAGGCAGAATAATTATCAGTATATAGACGCAGAGTAAAGCTGAGAAAGCTTACAACAGGCTACTGTATAATTCCATGCAATTGACAAGACCATTGGTCAAAAGTACCATGATGCAACAACTAGTAAAGACGTGGCTGCGCCACAACGAGTTGGGAATGAGTGCATTACGGTTGTTCTTCTCCTGACGATGCATCCAGGCAACGAAGCACGGGACCGAGAGACCACTTATGACGATCAATACGATAGTGGCCGGATCGTGGATGCTGCCGACGTCAGCTGACAGGGACCTGAATTCGAGCAGTTAATACCTCCCACGTGTACTAGTTCTCTGTGTGTGCGCGTGTTGGTGGCTGTGGTAGGGAATGGGAAGACCGTGTCGATCATTCGTCGATACTTACGCCAACACATAGGATATGGAAGCTAATCCGATGCTTGCCAGGACAATTCCGATTACGTCTATGTCCTGAATGAGTCTCTTCCAAATAAACGGAAATGAATCAAATCGAGGTTCTTGTCGCAGAGCCCAAATACTTGCAAGAAACAAGGTGCTGCTAGCAGCCGCAGCCAGGTAGAAGGCTGGCCGCCAGCCTACCGTGTCTGTGAACACTCCGCCAAGAATCAGGCCAAAACAGAAGCCGATAGGTTGAGAAAATCCCATGCAAGCAAATCCTATGTTGCGGGGTCGTCCCTCCTCCACGCTATTGGAAATGAGGGCGATGGATGAAGGCGTGATAATGGCATACGCAAGTCCTTGTGCGGCACGGAAAGCAATGATCTGCCCACTACTGCGGGCTAAGCCGCAAGCAACCGCGGCAAGGGCACTGAGGGAAGACCCTGCCAGATTCACTTTCTTAACACCAGCAACATCAGCAATAGAACCAGCCAACAAGAGGCATGACCCTGCAACTAGGAAGTAGCTGGAGCTTGGCCAGACAAGAAGACTCTCATCCAGGCGTAGCTCGGCTTGCATAGCCGGCAGCGCGACAACAACGATACCATTACAGTAGCTGCTGAAGAATGACTGGCCGCAGGCCTGGGTAATGATGAGGACTGCCCTGCTCTTCGGGTGAATGCCTGTCGTCGTTGTTGCGACCGCTGGGACGGCGGCGGCCGCTTCCTCCACTCCGGATGTTGAATCTGCTGTGGGCCTGGCGGGGGAAATATGCACATCTGCTGGCGGCGTCTCGCGATACTTCTGCAAGTCATGCAACTCGGTGGCGGTCTGTGCTGACATTGTGATGGTACTTGTGATTCGAGACTTTCGTTTTGGGGTTTGTGGGGGATTGTAACTGAAATGATGAGGGAATGCAGATTTTTATGTAGCGACAATTTTCATGGTCAGACAGACTCGGAGATAAGGTCAGTTCGGGCAGGAGGCTGGGATCAGAGTGTAGGGGTAAAGGCAAGAAGTCGTCCCTGGGCATAAGCGTACTTGACGTCCCTAGGGCTATGTGACAGACAGATATACGCAGATGCAGATTTACGTAGCATTCCGGCTGGTACCGTGCAGTGCCCGCACCATCCGATCCCACTGAATCTCATCTAACCCGCGCCGCCTGAGGGATCCCCCCCGCATATTGGCGACAGGGTTTTTGCGTCTATGGGTATGTAGGTACGCACGAGTGTTTTCTTTGCTGGTTGATTGGAGAAATCTATCCGAGAACATTGAGAGGCTCTATTCTATGGCCACAACTACAGCCCCACCAGCGGCTAAGGCTGTCCTTCTAGAATTTCATTCTACCTTGGCAGGGTTATAGTATGCCTGCCGTCGAAAAGTACCTGGACACCGCGCCATCACACAGCTGCAGGCAACTCCTGATGACGAGAAGGTATACTGTTCTGCATCGTGGAGAATTTTATACGTTTAGTATTTGGATTTCTGTGCTTAAATACAATCATCGTTTATCCTCCGCGACTCACTCCCCACTCTCGATTACCTACTTAGAATTTCTTTTTTCTTTTTTTCAGAACAGCGCACGGACTATCATTAAAGTATGTATCCACTGCTTCCATCACGATCCGTGCGCAGGCTATAGCTATCATCGTGGGCTAGAGGGAGCCAAAAGTGTAGTATGTGGCAGCTTGAGCAGACTGGTTTTCGCTAGACTGTTAGATAAGCTACACTCCCATGAACGATATTCATAGATGTTCCCCAAAAACATGCTAATCTTTGGTAGCCCAGGTTGCCATGACAGTCCAACATGGGGCTGACTCCCGCCTTTCTTTTGACCAGGAGACGCATTCCTGGATCCAGCGACTGCATGAAGCATGGTCCAATGATGGCCCCCCATCCACTTTCGCCGCCCTCCGAGACGATCTCTTGGGTCAAGTTGAGCATCTCGACATACGCATCTCCACCCTCAGCTCCCTGGCTGAGATAATCGGCTTTCACGGCCACGGAACAGACCCTGACTCCCGATGGAACGAGCTTCTGGCTACGGCCAGTCTATTCAGGTCGCGCATTAAAGGCACGGGTCGGAAACGGAAACGTGCATACAACGAGACCAACCGTCTCCGAAACCTTGCCCTGATTTCTGCCCTCTGGTCGCCCGCCGTGGTTTTCCATTATGGTTGGAACGAAGCCAGCCAGGTCCAAATGAACATGCTGCGAGCCTGCGCGGCGACCTATCCTCGTTTCTTCGTCGACTTGCTTCCCCGTTTGAACACCGTCTTGCTGGCCCGCCATTGTCAGGGCATCCAAGACTGCAGGGTTAAGACCCTAAACGAGGCACCGCTCCAGCCGCACAGAGATCTGGATCTCATAACCCTGGCCTTGGCGGTCCCCAACGTCATGGCCCAGGACCAATGGGTAACCAGTGAGGATGGCCTCGTTCCTATTGATGAGGCTGGTACATTACTCAAAAGTGCACGGCCGAGCCATCATGAAATCTATCTTCTCCGAAGGGACAGGTACGGCCTGCTCACAGCTCGAGGTGAGGAAGGCGCTCCGTCCTCGCCGCTGGACGTAGCCATAGATGCAGATCCCAACGTGTATTTTACCTCTGGTAATCCTTCCATCCCGGCTTTTCAATACCAAGCCTCACCGAAAAATACGCCAAGCTTGGATGTCGGTCACCGTGATTTGCGATCATGCCCCTTGAACGTACCCATGACCCCCCCTGTGCTGCTTCCAGAGACACAGCATCCACACTCAATTGGCACGACAAGATCAGATCCAGCAGCCGTACGCTCATCCACATTCTCATCCAGAAGTCCATCTACCGAGGCGACATCAATCACTCCCTCAACTGCACACATGTTTCCGAGTGAAAGGTGCGACCGTTCACATGAGCAAGGTTGGGACGCATTGGTGGACGTATTTACCCCAACTTTTGCTTCAGACATTGATTTATTCAATTCATGCGACCTTCCTGATACATTTGAATGGGTAACAGGAAATTCTGCTGATGCTCCAAGTTCGAACATGCCGTCAGCCAACCACCGCCCGGATCTAGGTGGGAGGTTATCCCATTCCACCTCACCCGCCTGTCCAACGCAGGATATGAGTGTACAAGACTTGCGCATAGAGTCGCCTCCGGTACTCCCGAGTCAGGGCCCTTTGACGGTGGAAGAGAGCCTCCATAATCGCTATCGCGACTTGATCATGGCACACATCCAGATAGCCGGGACCGGGACCGGGGATCAGCAGAACCAGCGAAATCACTGTACGCAATGGCTCAGTCCTTCCACTAGGTGGGCATCAGTATGGACAAAACCGGACAGCAAGCTACCTCGTGGCGGAGCAATGTCGCGCGCAGAAGCGGACATATTTTATCTGAGTTCCGATGAGGCCTTGGCAGCAGGGCAGAAGGGCGAAGTCCTCCGTAAACCTGTTGTCGTCAAGGAAACGTTCTCCGATTCTGGTATGCACACTATACAAGAATTTGCAACGCTTTGGCGTGACACCAAGACAGACGCGTCCGTCGACACCTGCTTGCTTGAACACCGATCCCCAGCAGCTCCACACAACGAGTCTCTCATGGCCATACTCTGCACAGTGCATCACGATCGGAGTTTCAGCACTGCCGATCTTCGCAACGTCACTCGGTCGCACCGACCAGTTTTTACAATGCTCCCACGCTTTCGCCTATTTGACAGTCTTGCAGAGAGAGTCCAAGACGCAATTGTAGGTAGAGCATCCGAAGTAGCTACAGAAAGATCGGAAGGAAGAGCAACAGCAAGAAATGGCTCAAACGAAGAGATCATTTCAAGACTCATCAGTCTGGTAAGTAGAGACTCTACATTCAATGCCCTAAGCCTCGCCGGCGCCTCTTCCGGCACACGAGTCGTCGCCATGGGTGGTATGTGGTTACGAAACTTGGACGGCGTCATGTTGTGCACGTTTGTCTCGGAAGAGACTGCTATCGCAGAGGCAGAGGGTCTCGCTGAGATGGGAAGAAACTGGACTCCAAACGGAAGACATAAACTCTTTGTTCTCGAGCAGGATGACGTACTGTTTATCCCGCCAGGAATACGCTTGGCATATGTAGTGCATTCTCCGACTAATAACCTCATGGAAGGCGGCAATCTCTGGGACAGTCTGAATATTGTCGAAGTTCTACATGCTGTTCATTGGGCATATACACACCGTCTGGCACTGGCCGACCCCATTGCTGAACAGCTTCCGCACTTCCTCACTGAGCTTGAGGTGCTCGTGAAACACCAGCTAGAATATTTCCGAGGTCCAGAGACTGAGAAGGATTTCTTGCACTTGTTTGAGCTGGCTATCTCCAAGCTCGCATCACTGGGACTCTAGTCGTTAGTTTCTCACGATATCCAGACTATGCATGGTTAGATCACATTGGACTTGCATGACAAACACTAATCAGAAACACTGTGCCGACAAAATTAGTATGTGAAGGGATGTATGGGTATAACGGCAAAAGGTACTGCTTCTAGAAGTTTGCCTGGGTAGGTGTCGACTGTAATAATGTGAGAATATCGAAAAGCCATGAGTTTTGGCAATTGTGCTAGAATATCGCAAAAAGTAGTGGGAAAGTCGGCTAATCAATGCTACTCATCGAGTCTATTGAAGTATCTACCAGTCAAAATGATTCCCTTTTGTGAACCTGTTCGGCGACGTGATCGGCCATGCACTGACTCAGCACGCCATCGCCGGGTTGATGCAAAAGTCTGGTGGAGGCAATCTGTAGGGATGCATAAATATCCATTTATGTAGACACTCTTCAGATAAACACAGCAATGTATTTACTGGAGATCCCACGAGACACATCATCACAAGGCTTTGTATCTATGACATACATACCTACCTCAGTGCCTGGATCTAACACGACGGGAAGGAATCACGATTTAAATGCCTGGATACAAGGTAATCATATAATCCTTCCACAATCTGTTATCCTCCCACATTTTATTCTTTCTTTGACATTCATATTATTATAGCACCCCATTCATCCTCTCTTACTTCCGAAGCCATTTTCGACATCCCAGAATCAGCATCCCCAGCCCAGCAGAGGCCAGCAACATCATGACAACAGTGGTTCTCTCCATGGCTCACACCCCTGGTGCCTCCTCTATTGCCGCACTTCTTATCACGACTTTAGTTCTCTACTTACTTCACCGCGGCCGCCTTTTTCTTTCCAGCAAAGGCCATGAACAGCGCCAACCTCCAGCTCCGCGAGAGAAGATCCTGTCTCGACGGCTTCAGACCAAGATGGAGGAGCGGATGAAACGCTACAAAGACATGTACTACAAGTTGCAAAACCTGGAGGAATTCCCTGAAGTCTTACCAGAAGCGCGCCAAATGCTACAGTCGCTCTTGGAACAAGGTCTCCTGATGGCGCGTTACAAGCCGCGCGCGCGGAGCATCCGGAGCATGAAGGACTTCGACCCCGAAGCATTGCGCAAGTTCTTAGAGGCGGAACAGGCCGACGTCTTGCACGAGTTTGAGTCCTACGTGCAAAGAAGAGAAGCTGGCGGCGATCGTGAACTCTGCAAAACATTTGAGGATGCTCGCCAGTACCTGGTAAATAGCGCCCCATGGAATTATACTGACGGAGCGTGGCTGTCCCGCACGCATCAGATCACCACTCCGTTCGCCTTACGGACTGTGACCAAGAACGCATGGCAGATATTCTCCGAGGAGCTTGGCGACGGCGATATGGAGAAGAACCACATTGTGCTGTACCGGGAGCTCTTGCACAGTATTGGCGTGGACCTCCCGGATGGCGATTCGGCCGATTTTCTTGACCCGCGCCACGGGATGGGCGACGAGTCCGTCTGGCGATACGCAATTGGGCAGCTGCTCATTTCCATCTTTCCCAACGACTTCCTGCCCGAGATCTTGGGGTTCAATCTACACTACGAGGCGCCAGCACTCAGCGGCTACAAAGCCAACCGCGAATTTCCCGAGCTGGGAATTTCGCCATATTACTACGCTCTGCACATCTCCATCGACAATGCCGACTCGGGTCATTCGGCCATGGCACTGGGCAACATTATTAATTTCATGGAGGTGGTGCGTGAAACAGGCCTGATGGACTACGAGAATGCCTGGAAGCGTGTTCAGGCCGGTTATCTCTTTGGTCAAAGCCTCGATGACAACGAAACTGTTGACCATTATGAAGAAAAGCTGGTCGAGTTCTTGCACAGGAAAGGTGATCTTGCGCGCAAGATCCATTGCACCAGCAGAGCACGGATTGGAGGCCGTAGTCTGTCATCGTGGTTCTCGGAGCCCCAGCCAGACAATGGCAGGAAAAGCGAACAGGAAAAAGGCGACAACGTTGAGGATTGGAAGGATGAGTTCATTGTGGCCCTGGCTGATTCGAAGCCTTGGGTATACCGAGGTGACAGCAAGAAAAGTCTACTCATGAGAGAGCTTGCCTGGAAAGGCAGGATGTTCGGTGCCTTCACCCACAACGAAGTCGAGATCATGAGCACGTGGATTGACTCGTTGAAGGCAACCAAGATCGCCGACCCAAAAGAGGTATATTGGGCGTTGGTCGGGGGCTACGAGAACGTAGAGAAGAAGTTTGATGTACGGAGGCGGGATGTGGCTGTGACGCACCCAGTGTTTCCTCCCATGCAGGAGTGGTCGCCAAGCACAGTTGGTCACTTCAGCCCTCGACCGCCGCTGAACATTGCTCCGGATCAAGCCAACCTTGGTTCATTGTGGCCGCTTTGGTTTGCGCACACATGTCTCCTCGAGAACATGATCAGTTCTCCGCACCAGACTATCAGACCGCTCGCATCCACATGCTTGCAAATCCTCCGAGCTGAGAAGGGCTACCAACCTGAAGGCACGGGTATCGCATGCATGGATGAGCAGCTTAGCCCCAGCTACAGCCCCGATCTCATCGCGCTAGGCCTCAGCATGCTCCAGAGACAAAAGATCCCTGAGCCCAGTTGCCTCGGCGATATCGTTGGAGCGCAGGACAATGAAGATCTCACGGGTGCCGCCAAGTTTGCCTTGACCCTGTTGAGTTGGGCTCAGAGGCCCCGGAAGAATGGAGGTTTTTTGCTCGGATTGTCCCGAGCATTTCTCGATTTGGAGGTCTGGGTAGCCGGTAACGACAGGCTACTTGGCGGTAAAGAGAGGACAGCTCTGTGGAGCGTGACGGAGAGAAAAGCGGCCAGGTATGAAAGTTGTCTGAATCATCTCAGAGGTGATGGTTTGAAATGCCGCGAGTTCGTCGGTGGTTACGAGCATGGGCGAGATCAAATCGAGAAATTTCTAGGATAGGAGATATAAAACTTGAGCAGTCTATGAACGATTGTCCCATCTCATGGAGGAGGGGATATCGACCTCTCATGTTGGACATTTTCTTGATAATTCGCAGTCATTAGATCATTGTCTCTTTTTTTGAAAACACGTCAGTAATTCACGCAGACCTTTGCATAATCGATGCGGAAACGGCCGATAACCCTTGGTCAATTAGAATCAAACTCAACTCTATATCTTGGCTCGAGGAGACTCAAACAAATCGAACATGATAAGATCAATCTCATTCGGCCCCTGATAGCACCGATGCAGCGGTGCGTACAGGCGGTCGTTGGAGTTTCTCTGCAATTCCTCTCCCGCGTTTACAATCGGCATGTTCTTATTGACCTCAACCAGCTTCCACTCCTGAGTTGTGCGATCCAAGACCTCAAGAAAAGGCTCGTCGTAGAAGGTCAGCGTTAGAAAGCCATCGTCCAGATGCGAAGGCATGATGAAAGACCCAGGTTTCACCTTGGATATCGCCAAGTACAAGTTGCTCAGTCCGGGATTCCCGGGATCATCCAGAGCTGCTGGGACAGGCGGATCCATCGACTTGCACACTGCTGTTCCCAGCTCCCGCAGCACATTGTCGATGAAGTCTGATGTGCTTGCGACCTTTTCTGAGACGGGGTGCAAGTCTGTGGGCAAGTCCAGCGTATTCTGAACCTTTTCCTCGCGTCCCAACTGTGGAGAGCAAGAGATGAGTAAACTGCATTCGCGAATTTTCACTAGACTGAGATAAATGGACACTCACATGGATTTTCTCAACTCCTGTGTCAAATGTGTAAAATCTGGGAGATGAAGTGTCAGCGACAAAGTCGCGAAAGTCCTTGTCTCGTGAATCCATAATACGTGAATGAAGTTTACGAACCCTTTGTAGTATATGCCGGAATGATACTTCATCTTTTCCTCCGCTGTTCGTTCGAAAAAATTGCGTTGGTGGCGGTAAACTGGCGCCAAATCTGCCAAAAAGTCTTCCGAAGTTGGACCCGCCATATCCAGGAAGAAGAGTCCTTCATTGGAAAGTATACGAACCATCTTCTGTATCTCATCGCTGTCTGCAGCCAATATGCGCTCATAGCTGAGCACCTCCAGCGGCATTGTCTTGCGGTGTTCGTCCGTCGCCATGGCAAGAAGATGTTATTTGGATTATGATGCGCAGCCCGAGCAGTGGATATCAGAAACGTGGATATTCAAAACACAACGCGTTTTAAGTACTCGATGCCCGAGGATGGTTTGTCTCTTGCAAAGTAGCCAAAGTCAAGCGTCGTCGACTGTTTAGTATACCCACCCACCTGATCACCTGCCAAGACTCTCGATGGTTCCCTTTTGCCCCTCCTCGCATTACCAAGCAATCAGAATCATTAAGCATTCTTCAATTAGCACCAGGTTAGTTTTCTCTTTCTCTTTTGAGCATCAAGAATGCAACATATTTTTCTTTTATCTTCCTGATGGTATTGAGACCACAGCTGCCGCAGCCAGAATGCACTGCAACGATGTTTGTCCTGTCCTGTCATTTGAGTCATAAGATTTCGCTAGCTAATTGCTAGTCAGATCCCATACAATCAGCATAAAATGAACGGAAGTCATGTTTCAAACCTCCTGCGACATGACTGTGGTCTCGAGACCTTCGACGCCCGTGTCCACAGCACTCCTACAGTGGGACCTGATGGAAGCGCCACGGTTCTGTTGCGACGGCACGGGCGGTTCATAGAAGCCTATCTCGAACCGGCTTTAGAATACCGTGACAGCCTTCACCTGGCTCAGCGTCTTACTAAAGAGTCTCTTGTACGGGCATGGGGCTCATTGGCGATCCAAAATGGCGATGCTGAAAATGAAGTCGCTTCTCGGGCTACTAGAATCAAGATCACTAAGATTCGCATATTGTCCGTGGCAAAAGAAGATCTTCCGGACTGCGCGAGTCTTCATGTGGCCTCTGCCAAGGACCTACCACCGATCGAGTCACGATTGAATGACCGGCTCCTGGACGGTCGAGTTGCTGCAACGGCTGCCGTATTCAGGCTCTTCTCGGGCGTTCATGAGATTTCGGTTCAGTATCTGGCTCAGCATGACTTCCATCATATACCAACTCCGGCCTTCATCGGCTACAGATTTCCCGAGGAAGATGACGATTACTTCGCGCTGCAATACTTTGACAAAACAGCCAGGTTGGCACCTACCGGTGAGATATATCTAGGTATGGCTCTTTCTGCCGACCTAGAGCGTGTGTATGACTATCATACCGTTTTCCGCCGGGAGTCTGTTTCCGATGGGCGGCATTTGACCGAGGTGAGCCTTCCCATTATTATTGTGGCTGAAGCCCAGTTGTTTGGAAGGGATAATCGCTAACAGGATTGAAGTTCACGATGCTTGAGCTCGTGAGCAACATACGTCACGATTGGACGGAAATCCTCGAACTTGCGGATAACCTTCTTGTTTCACTTATCCGATCCCTTCAAACGCAGGAGAAATATACGGCGCTGATTGAGGCAGCAAAACGACTGTACCCCGCTGCGGGAACATTCAAGCTGGGACTGAACAAAGAGGGGCGACTTCTACGGCTGCGATTTGACAAAGCCAAACAGGTCCTTCGGGACCCGTTGGGTTTTAAGTCGAATGACGAAGATGATCTCACGTAAGTCTTGAGCCGCTCCTTTCACCGTGCCCAACTAGACGTGAAATCTCGAGAACAATAATTCACATACACTTATATCTAGGAGAGAGGAGGAGGAAGCCCTCGGCCGCTTCTTTGCAAGCGTTGATTCATCGTTGGGGCCTCCTACCGATGTGTTTATTATTACACACTTCCCCCGGCATTTGCGCCCGTGCAACGTGTATCCATCGGACGATGGAGACAACACGAGCCAGTCTTTCGACATCATCATGCGCGGGCAGGAAATCGTTACAGGGTGCCGTTTGCTTCACTCTTACGAGGATTTACGCAGTGCGTTCATCAGTCGTCCGTATCCCATAGACCCCGACTCGCCTGAATGGCGTCCCTACGTGAGAGCGCACGAGATCGGCATGCCGCCATGGGGTGGATTTGGACGTGAGTCTTTGTTTTCATTTCCTGAACTGTTCCATCAGCTCCACATGCGTGTTACCCGACGTAGCTACACCTCTACGAGCTCGCCGTAATCACGTTGAGACATGGTTGAGATGATTCTAATCAGATTATAGTGGGTATCAATCGCTTTGTACAAGGGTTTCTAGGACTGACTGACGTCCGAGAATCCGTTCTTTTCCCTCGCGATGCAGCTCGACTAACGCCATAATGACCACGCCAACCATTAGATGCCAGTGTGTCTTACCTAAATCAACGGGTCAAAAGGATATGCGAATACTCAAGTAGCTCTGTGACGCGGCGGTGCATATACCTACAGCATAATGAGTGTATAGATATTGAGATATTTCAAGTCTTTTATCCTTTGATGCGCATAATTTCCATCCTTTTATTTTTTGCCATTATTGTGAATCGAATATATAAATTTCAATCAAACTTTTTTTTAACAAAAAAACACGCAAACGGAACAGCTTTATATTCGGCACAGTATAATGATTATATTGAAGATAAACCGAAGTATAAGGACTGTTAGGTTTATATTATTAGAAACGTAGAATGTAAAAGAATACATTAAGCAAAAAGCTTTTTAGTGCCACATTTGTACTTGCTGATCGCGGGTAGGAGCAAGATTTGGTCGCCATCAGTATCGGCGGTAATGCAGAGAAGAAGACTGGTCCTTGTATGATCGCTACTAGTGCTACCTTCTATAATCCTATCGGACATTTGTGCTCTGACTTCTCCACTTACTGACGTTTGCCGAGCCACCCGGTTGATTTCTAATAAAGCCAAGACGTGCTGACAACATATCATGAGATCGCCGGCTCTTATTGGCGAATGCCACTTTTTCTTCTTCTTTTTTTTCCAGATCCCAAACCCAGGTGGAGGCTGATGATGATTCTCCACACGAATCCAACCGGGGAATCTGATATGATCGAGCACAGAGTTATGTATTGCTTACAGTACCCACGTCGGGGTTTGCTCGAATCCAACTCATCGAAGCAATTGCTTCTCCTTGTGCGCAAATACAGACCGCGTAAGCACTTTCGCGATAGTACAGAGCTTTGAGGCGCATATCAAATTGACGCGCATTATATAAATGACCTCGTCATGCTCCGCTACCATCTGGCAATCAATCATTACCATGAGTCTCGTCTGCCATCACCTGTTACCATATCATGGTAATGAGCTAACCACCATAAAGTCAGACCGTGTCTCATGTTCTAACTGACTAAAAATATTCAGGATAGTGTCCCCACCGTCACGTCAGTCGCTCTACGTGGTACTCGCAGAGGCATCCTTGGTCGGGGACAGGACCGTCCTATATTGACATACCTGGGACCTCAGGACGTCTTGTACGCGATACCCCCCTAGCCAGGATCAAGACCGGATACAAGCTGTTGTCGAACCCTCCCCGCAACTCTCAAGCCGCATTCGGCTCGGTCTGAGAAGATGCAATGCAACACGTTTTACTTTCCCCAGCTTTCCCCTACGCGAGGCCAAACAGATCTTGGCTACCAGAGAGATGAGAGTAGGTATGCAGTTGAGGTGCCCGGCCTACAGCACTACAGCGCAGAGGAGGAAGACACCGAGCCGCGTCCATACTTGAACAATTTTGCAGACGTCAAGTTCGAGCCTCTCGTCGTCTTGCACACTTCTGGATCTATAAATGCTAGAAATTTGGAAGGCAGTTCCGCAGAGTCATCACAGGTTCTAGCAATGAAGCGTTTGAAGTTTTCTGAGAGCCTTGTCGGCACCACAAAATGCTGTGCGACCCTGGACGCAAGTCTCGGCTCTAAGGTATCTCCATCGTTGGCAACGTCGGAGACCATCTCGGAACAGTACGTGGGGAATAGGGTAAAGTAATGGAGTTTCTAGATTGACGCAGACATTCTTGTTTAGTATCGTTTGTCTAAATGTAATTTGTTACATGCAAATGGCATTGCCAGAGGGTGGATACTGTATGCCACTCACCAGGTTGGCTCATTGGTCGGTTTCGCTGCCGCCCGGCTTGTATCATAGCTGAAAACATCGTTCCCAAAAATATTGCTGACAGTACCCAATTCCCCCCACCTCTGTCTTTCTCTCTATGCCCTCAACGCAACTCAACTGCACAGCATTGCATCACACCCTTTCAGCACTACGCCCTACGCATTCAAGGACAGTTGACCACCATGTCGTCCGTTGCAAGCTCCAACAAAACCCCTAGAGGTGTGAAACCAGCATTCGTGCCAAGTGGTACAGACGCTCAGAGTACTCCGATACGTAATAAACAACCATCCGTAGAAAGAGTTACAGACCGTCTGGAGACTCCCTCGCTGGATGACCGCTCCTACCGCGTTATTCGCTTGTCTAACCAGCTCGAAGCTCTGCTCGTCCATGACGCAGAGACCGACAAGGCTAGCGCCGCCCTTGATGTCAATGTTGGGAGTTTCGGCGATGAGGACGATATGCCCGGCATGGCTCAGGCCGTTGAGCATCTTCTGTTCATGGGGACCAAGAAATACCCAACCGAGAATGCATACAACCAGTACCTTTCCGCCCACTCGGGGTATTCAAATGCATACACTGGTGGGACGTCGACAAACTACTTTTTCGAGCTCAATGCGAAGCCAACCGACGATGCACAGATATCTGATAATAACAATTCTCCGCTATACGGCGCCCTTGATCGATTTGCGCAGTTTTTTATCGAGCCTCTTTGCTTATCTTCGACCTTGGACCGTGAGCTCAATGCAGTGGATTCGGAGAATAAGAAGAACCTACAAAGCGACCAATGGCGCCTGAACCAGTTGTCCAAGTCTCTTTCGAATCCCAAGGATCCGTACTGCCATTTCTCAACCGGCAACTACGAAGTTCCAAAGACTTTTCCCGAGTCTCGGGGGATTGATGTACAGGCCAATTTCATTGAATTCCATAAAAAGCACTACTCGGCAAACAGGATGACGCTGTGTGTCCTGGGTCGTGAGCCATTGGATTTGTTGGAACAATGGATTGTCGAATTCTTCTCGGCAGTGCCGGATAAGAGGCTTCCTTCGAACCGATGGGAGCCAGAAAAGTTGTATTCCAAGGAATTTCTTGGTATCCAAAGCTTCGACAAGCCTGCAATGGATTATAGAGAGCCCAGTTTTTTCCCCTTCTTGGACAAAGAGTTCCTCTACGAGTCACAGCCCAGTCGGAGGTATATGCATAATTCTCGTATACCAGAAGACCTGTATTTGAATTCCCTTGGTCAAGAAGATGATTCTGATGACCCTGAAATGACTCGAGTGACGCAACGCAGACACCGCAGAGGGCGTGGTGCTCGCAAGAACAATGCATATTGGAAGCAGATAAACAGCGAGGTCAATACGGTCAGTTCTCCGCAGTCACAAAATAAACCTTCCATTAATACCAGGTCTCTAGAATCCATTTGATGGTCGCGAGCTGCTCTTTGACGATGGAAACGGGAGTTTGAAGGCGCCTCGTATGGCAAATCTTGATACACAGCTCAAAATCTCAAAGCACAAAGGGGATGACTTGGTAATGTCTTCACACTGTGCAAAGGAGCTTGGACTCTTGGGCCGCATATCTTCCGACTTTGAGGATCCTTGCTTGAGAAGCATCTCTGGACACTCAACAGCTGTAAAAGGCATCTTACGAAACGTGCAGTTCCGTCTCAAAGGCGGCTCGGTCACATTCCGACGTGACTTCTGGGTTTCCGACTCCATCAATGATATCGTCGATGTCATGATTGGGGCCAACTTCATCAAAGACCATTTCAAATTGTTGTTCGAGAGGGTCAAGGAATGCGTAAGCACGTTTGCCACGTGGTTCTCCAAGAAGAGAGAGACTCCCGAGCAGAAGGCAGAACGCGAAGAGAGAGAGCGTCAGCAACAGATACAGATTCTCGAGAACGAGACGAAGCGCTTGCGTGAAGAGAGCGAGATGTACAAGCAGTCTGGAAGGGCAAACGATGGCAGCCAGCAAGGCGGGTCGCAGAGAGCACCCTTGGCGGGTCGCTCTTAGACCCAAGAGAAGGGCCTCCGTATAAGGTCTTAGAGCGAGGTTCAGCTACCGCGCGGATTTTGTCGAGTCTAGGTGCACCACCAGGATGACGACAGGTTTAAAGGGCGATCGCTTTGCTGGATCCCTAAATGCATGGTCAGACTTTGACACCTATTGATGATTGATACAGGAAAGAATCTCTTTTGGATGGATCCCTCAGTCATCAAAATACTGCTCGGGAGCCTTTGTGGATGATGAGAGATATCTAGGTAATCAATTCATCTGGATGCCCCCCTTTCAAGAGACCAAAACACATCATCGTGTTGACCATGGATACAAGCAGCCTCAATCATTGCATCCAAGCCACAGGCATCTCTAGTGACTCCCTAACAAGCATGTTTGCCGTAAAATTAATCTATTTCAAAACACCCCCATCATATGGTCGTATTGCTAGTAAGGTAAGGGCCACTCTTGTGATATTCTGATGCCTAAGTAGAACTTGTACCGATGAACACAACTTGGACGGCGGCAAACCTTGATAAGATATCACGGTCAGACCTTCTGCCAAACACATTATTGCAAATGTACTTACGCTGAAGTCGCGCCAAAAACTTCGACCAACTCTCCATCATTCATGAACCACAAGGCACTCGAGAAAACAACGCTGAATACGCCAACCAATCCTAGTCGACTACCCATATTCTCGACAAAGTATAGAACGATGATTGCAAGAATGGGCAACAGAGAGGCAATGACAGTGCAGATGAAATTGGAAACCGCAATCAGACGAGAGTCTTCGTATGTGACGATATCAGCGTCCGCATGACTCGGCCGTGTTGGCCGATTCGACCGCGAAAGGCTCTGGCGGACCCTATCCATCTGGTCAAGGTTACTTTCATGTGTCAGGCAAATGAGGCATACTTGTAATCATACCATGGCGCTATTAACAAAGTGGTGATATACAGGCAAGACCTTGTTAGTAATGAATCTGGAGATGCGGTTGGGGTGGAGCGGAGAGGAGAGAGACATGAGGTCTGCGCCCTGTGCCCAGGTATCATGATCGCGACCGACAAGGTATACGCCGCCTAGTCTTGGCTCTCTCAGCCAGCTCTGGAATTTATGTAGCTCGTGTGGCTCAGGACCAGGAAACTTTGAAATCTGGCAGTACTGGAATACAGCATCATCTATAGAGTCATTTAGCATCACTCTTCTTTTACTTCGGGATGGAAACTGCTGCGGCCAGACTGACTGTATTCCTTGAGTACCTTGCGGAGCTGCTGCCACTTTTCCCATTGCTGTCCCGAGTCGGGCGCATTGTGCATGTGAGCGAGCGTATACCAGTCCAAGGCAAATGTTCGCCTATCTCGGTCTTCTGAACTGTTGTTTTTGGCTTCAAGCGCTCGTAGATCCTTTTCTAGCCCCACGATTTCAGCTTGTAAATAGAGAATGTTTTGTAGATTGAGGTTTGCAAAACGTCGGACCATGACGTCTTCGGGGTGTTCTGCCATGAAAGCGGCAATTTTAGTATATCCCTGAGTGTCCATATTGACTTGTGTTCCGCAAGAACTCGATTGAAATCTAGCCTAATGCGCTCAACGATCTTAAGACTCACTACGGCTTCTATATTTGGTGAGGCTGAGAAGTGGTTAAGCCAGGAATCGGTCGTCTTGTCAAACGCCTTCAATGCAGAGATTCACGTGGTTCGCACTCTGGGCATGTAGGTAGTAGCCGGGCGGCTGTGGCGCTGAATCGAGCGGGAGTTTTGGTAAATTGTTCCGCTTGATCGTCGCCTAGCGAGTACCTCCAGCAGCAACCCCACCCCCAAGCTTTGATTTACCCTACTCCTGCCCCCACCGCGCTCTGATCGGGCGTGAATTGGGTACAGGCCAACGCAAGCCCCTCAAGACCGAGCGCTTCTGCCCGTTAGCCACCTTCGCGCTGCTTATCATCGTCGTGTTTTGAATGCTTTTCACCCAAAATCGCAGGTCTTTTTTTTTTTTTTTTTTT